TATTATCAGACCATCTAGTATTTTCAAATCACCACTAAATATAAGTACTTTTGCGGAGATTTCTAGAGCTGAAATCTCAGTTCCAGATGGCGCGATTCCAGAAGAATTCATTTATAGTAGAAGTATCTCTAAGTTGCGTACTGTGGCACTGCGCGCCTCCGTACACCACTTAGCGGTTTTGACACTTTACGAAACCGGTAACGTATATTTTACAACACAACCATAACACCAACTTAACCTTAAATATTTACAAAACCATCTGACACATAAACGACTTCACTAATGACTTCACTAACGACTTCACTAACGAATTCCCTACCGTCCTCACTAAATAAAAATAACCTTATTTTTATTTTTTTAAATTTTTTATTTCATTACAAAGACATATCCGACTACATTTACTATGACTCTTTCCCAGAACGTTTCCGTGAACTATTCAAAACTCAAGTAAAACTAAGAAACATGCATTTTAACAAAGACAGACCCATTGACGATGAAAGAAACCCTGAATATATTACAATCCCTTATGACGCAAAGTTCATTGCATACATTCCTTATGGTCGCAGAGGAACGAAAACTATTTCAACAAAGAACAAAAATTATTTCTGGAGCGATGAAGAAAATTGCCTTATCTACATAAATGCATACTTAAATAAAGCTACATATTTGTACAAAAGAAGGTTGGACTGGATTTGAGCTCTACATATACGACGACGATGGAAACAGACGTTGTGTATACCCATACGATAATATGTACCATTGTTTTCATCAAGCATTAAACGAATACATAGTCAGTAAGGGTCTCATTCCTGTTGAGTAGATATGCTTTATTTTTGTTCTGTCATTTATATAAAAATAAACTTAAAAATTAATGATATCACCACCCTCACCCGTATGAAAACATAGCACAAAATAAATTTAGGTGAAGTGGTGAAATCTCACCTCTTTTTTCACCCGGTTTTCACCCTGTTGAATTCATTGCTTTATAACTCTCTTCCTTTCTCCAACTCTTCTAACTTCTTCTTAAGTTCAGCAATGTTGTCCTCATGAAGTTTAATCTTCCTTAATATATCTTCTCTATCTAATGGTTGCTTTATCTTCTAAAACTGAACTCTACCATCCTTCATAGTATGAATGTAAAAACCTTCTGGAATAGTTCCTGATTTAATGTATTCTACCAAAAACTTTTGTTTCATTGCTTCAGTGACTTTATTTGTCATTTCAATAAATAAAATTTTAATATTAAATAAAAATAACGTTATTTTTTCAGTAAGGAAACGCAGGAGTTTTACGATTTATTTGAGGAGTAGGTTCTGGTTTTAAATGTTGGCGTCGGTTTAGGAGTTGACTTTTGAACAGGAGTTGTACTTCCATAGGTTCAGGAGTCATTGAAGGTTTTGCTTGTAGGTGTTGGAGTTTGTTTAACTTCAGCTACTTCAGTATTATTTACAACATTTGCTTTATTTCTTTTCAACATTCATAACTGCTCCTGCTGTAGCTAGCAAACCTAGTGGGAGACCATATCTTATATAAGGACTTGACCAAATGCTATTTTTGACAGGAGCTGGTGGAACACCTAACCTTGGTGAGACTGCTCTTTGCCATTGTGTAGCTCGTAAGAAAATATTCAATAGGTGCTCCATAATCGTTTGGTAAAGTTTGTTTCATAGATGGTGAAGGTTCACGAGAGCTTGATGAAGAACTCATTTATAAGCTTTAAAAATAAACGTTCATCTTTATTCCTCACTGTCGTCCGTAGCTAAGTTATAGTCATCTAATCTTATTATGGTGATGCCATTAGCACGCACCTGAATGGCAAAGCAACAATCCCTCATAAATCCAATAAATGGCTTTGGTACATTTTCAGTTGCTAGTTCAATAGGTCCTTTAACAGACAATTTGTATGTTATTGGAGCAGTAGATGTTTGACCTTGCTGGAAGCAAAAGTCCACTTCTGTTGGAAAACCACATAAGAAATGTGTGTTGTCATAGCTATCCCATTTATGTTCCACACTACCATCATTCCACCAATGACCTCATAACATCTTCATTAAATCCTATCATATCATTGTTTGTATTGCAGGCGTTCGCAACCTTTCATAAAATACAGGTCCATATGATTTTTCAGGTTCTGCAGGCATATTTCCATAAGCTCCATGGAAAGCTGAAGATATTTAAACTTAGGGTTCTCAAAATTAACATAATAGTTGTCTTTCTTTCTAAATAGTGCCAAATACTTTTAACATTAATAGGCGTATAAGCTGCTGTAAATGTTGCACTTGAACTATCTGTATTCTTGAGAATGAACCGTCCATAGGAATCCAATCCATAACTTTAACAGGAAAACATAAAGCCTCGTTTGTATAATGTTCTACAAGTTCTGTATAAATGTTAGGGTCTAAAGAGAATGACTTTGGATGAATGAAACATTCATTAAAATCCATCTTTGTTCGAAATAGTTGCTGGGTTACAGTTGTAATAGTAACTGTTCCACTAGCTTCTACTGCCTTCGTTATCATAGTGAATGGTTCATTCCATGGAACAAATTTATTTTGTCGTGTGGATTTGAATCTGAAGCAAATACAACTTTAAGAGTTGGATTGAAAGCAATGATATCATTTACAGATATAGATGTGCATTGTAAGGCGTCGCTACTGAACTTTACTTTAAGCTGAATGTTTCCTGCAAAAGCTGGAATAAATCGAATAGCTTCTAATGGAAGGAATCTTCTAACAGGAATTCTTAAACGAGGCTTAAATCAAATGATTTTCCTGCTGTAATTGGACCATAACAATTTGTCCTGTTCTGCATGTTTCCCGAATGACTCCATACATCTTCATGTCGAGTCTTTGAGAAAACATCTACTTTCTTTATTTGTTCGGTAGTTTGTGAGTTTGAAGTTATATATGCTTCTTCTCTTGCGTTGTCTTGAGAATATACGATACGACCATTTGCAAGGATTTGATATCCAAGCAACTGCATAGAAAGCGTCATCGAAACCAATCCAAAATCCTGGTGGGTTTGTTTTATTGGAACCTGAACCAATTTCTTTATCTACAATAAATTGACCTTCCATTTTATACGTAATGAATGTATTGTAAAGGTCCAACATATTTTCACCAGGAGGTGAGAGATTGAATGTTACCCATGTGTTATCTTTAGCAGTTCCAGGTTGTGATGGAATCTTTGCGTCAGAATATTTTCTATTAGTGTCACCAATTTGAACTGCATTGTCTATGATATCGAAATATGAGCGAATCTGATGAATATGCTCTGCTGGAGTAAATTCGTTTAGCTGTTCGTTCTGCATGTATTTACTTCAGATAAAAATATCTATTTACTTCATTATTCTCACTCTTCTTCTTGGCATTCGTGTGGAAGTTGTTTCTTGACATTTTCAATGAACTGTACATTCTCTTTTGTCTCAACTTCTTTCACTGGCGGTCAGGATTCTTTTGACTCGGTTTGTTTTTCAATGAAATTCACGAACTTTGCAATAAGCTCTTGGTTCGTTATTGAAAGTACATCTGGCTTTTTCTTCTTGTTCTATTGACTTTTCAGTTTGAATAGAAGGTTTTATATGGGCTTCGCCCTCGGTGCATGCACCTTAATGTTGTCGCTTTCTGCATTCGCTAATGGAACCTTTCTTTTTCTTACGTATATTTTACCATTTTTACTCTGACTTACGTAATAGAAAGGATGTTGTATTCCTCTTGCGTCATTTAATATAATAGACTCTCGCTCTGATTTTGACAAGCTCATTTTACATCGGTTAAAGTTTTAATTTTGTTTTTATCTGCAGTCAAATGACTCAGACAAGCCCTACGGACAAGACCCAAGGGTCATAGATGTTGAAGCATTGAAGAAAGAAATTCGTGAGCAAATTTTATCCGAACTGAAGGAACAAAAACAAGAACAAAAAGCCAGAGACCAACGAGAAAACTTAGTGAAAACAACTTGCTCTGCATTAGCTGCTGGAAGACAGAAGAACCCACGTTTGCTGGCGAAGAAAGCTAGAGAAGAAGCTGAAGCAAAAGCTAGAGAAGAAGCTGAAGCAAAGAAAGAGTAAATGTGTTTTTTTATCCGAATTAAATGTATAGACAAATACCTTTATCTGTTGCGTTCAGTAGTGAAAACCCTGACGTCAAATAAAGGGGAACAGAGTAACGTTTAAGTTTCCAACAGACTGGATTGTGAACATAAATGAAGAGAAGTACATTGGCATAACATCTATGTATATAACACGTGCTTTCAGAAGGTTGACTTTTTACTTCAAGTCGAGATAGAAAATGACGAACAGTCTTTAAGCGCCCAAAACATTCACATATACAAATACTTTAAAGACGATAAACATTGCAACAATGTATGATTCATTTAATGAGATGTTCGAGAAAAAGTTCAACATTGAAGTACAAACTTTACAGCCTTTACGTGATTTCTTGCACACTGAAAGAAGAAGGTAGTCGGCCACAACTTATAGACTTTCATTATGAATTTAATGAAAATGAAGATGGAACTCATGACTGTCAGTTTATTATATATTCACCATTCAATGAAGTAGCTAAAAAGAAAGAAAATCCATTACGTATAAGATTTCAAATCTCTGAACCAAGTGATGATTTCAGAATGTTTCAATTATGATGCAATGCTTTCCGAGGAAAAATGAATTTTCAAAGATTGTAACACCTGGAATTGGATAGAAAGCAAGCTATATTATATTCAAACTTAAGTAAGGGAGTTGAAAATGAGTTCATTGGTCATACAAGAACTTCACCACTTCCTAACCCTAAATACTATAAATTAACTGGCTTCAATCGTGAGTTTTGGATAGACATGTTCTCCACTCATGACCATAACTGCCCAGTGTTCTTACCTCCAGACCATAAGGACTGTCTCTACATTGAAGCACAACTCTTAACTCTACCATCGCAGTATTGTAAAATCTACGCTAGTTTTATTTTTATCACGAATGACCTCATTGCTGACAAAAATAAATGACCTCAGAACTTCAACTTACGAATAAAGCTTGTTTTAGTCGTTATTGAGAAGTTAAACTTCTCTTCAAAGCAAGGTTGACATGACTTACATAAGTCAAATCCAATCTCTTGACCGTCATAAAGTGCTTTGTAAAGTTTCATTAAACTGAACTCAGAGTCTTTGTCATATGTTCCAACAGGTATGTGAATGTTCTTATCTTCATTGTAATAGCATTGTATAGCTTCAGGAAACATTTCATTAGCTGTTAAAGCAAGAACGTCTTGTTTGACACCTTTGCAACGTGCATGGAATGCAACTTCATTTAAATCATTCGTGAGTAAGTCTATGTAGGTCTTCTTTCCACAAAATATTGACTTGTATGCTAAACTTTGTTTTCCAGGTGTTATTTCTGCGAAGTCAGAATGAAATTGACCAAGGTTCTTTCCTATAAGTTCGCGACCGTAACTATTCTTAAACTCTGCTGCAAGCTTTGGTATGTCTTCATTGAAAATATGCATGCTATCACAGTCCTGGTAAAATATTTGAAGTCCCATATCTTCAGCAGTACAGAATACTTCGTTCATGATACGTTTCGACATAGACAGAATGTTAACACCAAGTGGACAGAAGTTAAAGTGTCTGCAAATGCTTTTCGTTAGCTTGAAAATAGTTTTATCTGAACCATCCAAACCTTCGAACTTCACTATATGGTTGTAGTTTCTGATGGCATATCTTATAGCATCTTTGTCATTTACTATGGTTATTTTTGACTCAATAGGAGATAGAATAGTTTTGCCATAAATACTGTTCAGAATGAGCTTTATATTTTCTTGCAAAGGATTTCCTTCTTTCTTATACTTTAACCTTAACCCAAACAACTTCTTTACTTCATCTCTTATTCTAATATCTCTGTTTCCATCGTAATAGTATCCTTGCAACACTTCACATTTGACACCTTGATATTTTATGAGGTCTTGTAATGTTATATGGTCAACATACATTAAACAGCAAGTGTTTGAACTTCTGGGAACGTTAAGTTCTGGATTTAGTTCAGGGTCACAAACTATTAAAGGAAAGTGTCTATGTATTCCAATCTCTGTTATCTTAATGAGAACAAAGAAGCCAGACATAAACTTTTCACCAATGGGTTCCTTTTGGTCGTCATCGAATAAATGTCTCATGAGATACTCTGTGCTTAACATTTCTTTCTTCATAACCTTTGGAATACCTTCTAAAGTATAAAGTCTTGCTATAGCTGATGGATATAATGAAACAGCGTCGAAATCAGCAATGAGTTTCTTTTCGCTCTTTTGTTTCATGTTATCTGACAGCATACATCTTCCACCTTGAATACAGCGTGAAATAAATTCTCTTGGTTTATTTGAGAGGTCATATAAATTTCCATTCGGGAAGTACACTCTGTTCTCAAATAATTTGTTAGCAATAGAACAAATACTAACGTAGTCATAAACGTTTAAATCAAATTCTTTTAATATATCATTGCGGAACTTAACAAAACCTTCTCTTAAAATTCTTACATATTGTTTGCAATAAAATGTGCTATACTTTTCTAAGTCGAAGTGGTTTTCATCTATTCTGCAACCTTTGATGGAATCTATGTTTTTCATGAACGTATCCGCATCCTGGATAAACTTACACGCTTCAGAAATGACACCAGTTCTGTTGTCATTTGCTAATAAAGAGCTTGAATAATATTGATACGGAAATACTTCCTTTTCACCACACTGCAAATGAAACATTTCAGGAAATAGTTTAAGCTTCTTATTTATAACAGTGTATGAATCTTTAATAATGATTGCTTTACCTTTATATATTCCCGTTATCTGCATTGTTCGTGAACCTTTAATGATGGGAGTTCCTTTCACTTCTGTCATGTGTCTTAAGATGAAGTTTATATCATGACTGAGGTTATGGAAATATATTAAACTCTTGTCAGGAAGTCGTTCCAAAAATTCTGTTGCACAGTTCTGACCCCAAATGCTTTCACTCACTGAACCATCTTCACCGTCATAACAGATGTTAAAAGCTTTATGAACTCCATCAGTGCTACATTCAAAGTCAGCAAAGAAAACGTGCTCAGGAATGAACTTACATTTAGCTTTATTTACTTCTTTTGACTCGGCTTTCTTCTTCAGTTGTACACAATACTTTGGAGCATATGTCAAATCTTTAAATGGTGCAAGGTTCTGTTTATATAAGTCAGTCGTATATGTGAAAAGTTCTCCATAAGAAATAGGTTCGAAATATTTGCACTCCCACAATGTTTTCATAACATCCCATAACGGTGTTGTTCTATCATAACGAACTACATATTTGTTCTCTCTCTTTGTATAAATCTTCATCTGTTTCTCAATGTTCATTCCACCACACTCCTTCAAGATTTCTATATAGTTGCGAATGAAATATGTTGTCATAGGTAATCTTTCATTTAGCATGTAATGGTCTTCAACAAGAAGTAAGTCAAGAGTTCTAACAGTTTCACATTCTTTTGGTATGTATCTCTTTATTTCATTATGTCTTGAGTCATTGAAGTAACCAATGGTAACATTAAATGCTATACCTGTTGCGTCAGAAATTTCTTGTACTTTACTTTGAGGAAAGTCTCTAACACGAATGACTTCTCTCATGTGGTCAATAGTTTCTTCATTTACTCCAGCCTGAATGCAAGCATAAACGAAGCAGTTATCTTCTGTCATAAGTGTTGCAGTTCTTTTGTTCAGTTCATTGAAGATTTGGTAGCGTTCAAGATTTATAGGTAATGTGCAAAGATACTTCCAGAACTGACCGCTTCTCTTCTTATAAAACTTCTTTTCACCATTATCTTTCCAAAAGCTTTCTATAAGTGCTGGGTTTCCTGTTTGCTTAAGAGCTTCCAAAATGGCTTTCTGGTCATTTGTCAGTGTGCTTTCATCTCTATATGGTCTCTTTTTTGGTTTGCCTTTCTTTACATCTGACATCGTTAAACCTTCATATTCTGTTAAATCATACATCTTTATTTCAGTAAGATTCTTTATGTTTGTCAAGAAGAAGTCATAGTGCATTTCAACAATACCTGCAGCATTTGCTTCTATCTCTGATATAAAGTTCTCCTTCAAGAGCTGATGTAGTAATGTTCCAATATTATTGAGGTTTAACGTAGAACATTCATACTTTCCACCAAGTTTATAACATACCATCCATCTTTGTTGGGAGTTTATTTTAATCTTCTCTAAGAGTCTCATGAAAACCTTACCGAAATGTTTGTGTAAGTAGTCTCTGTTTGGTTCATCTAAAGCTTCGATGTTAAAGTCAATGAGTCTATTGCCTGACTTCACATTTCTCTTCCTATTCTCTTCATCTTTCTTTAACCATCTCTCACCTTCTTTTGGTTTGTCGTCAATGGAACGAATGACATCGTTAGCTTTGCGAACTTGTTCTATAGCGCTCTTAAACATCTCTCTTCTCTGTTGTTTCAGTGTGTCGTCTCTTCTTCTTGTTTCACCAACGTTTGCATTTGTTATGTCAAACATTTCTCTTCTTACTTCATGAGGTACTGAACGTCTATGATATAAGTCAATAGCAACGTCATTTAAAGGAAATGCTCTTGCATGGACTTCGTCCTCGCCGCGTTGCGGCTTTATGAACTCATGAATTCTATCATAACTTATTGCACCATTATAGTCATTGAGGATGTCAGCGAGTGCTTTTTTGTTTGTTGCGTAATGCTTTGCAACATCTATATTAGCTTCTGTAAGAAGTTGTTTTATTTCCGAGTGTTCTAACTTAGACAACTTCCGATACATCTTTAGTAGGAAATAAAAAAATATTTTTTGAAAAAATTAGATTAGATTTTTTTAAGTTATTTTTCAAAATAATTTAATATTTTTATTTTAATGAAACACATGCAAGATTGCAAGTTCTTTTCATACAATGCTCTCGCTACTGCCATCAAGAATGAGTTCAATAATGCTTCAAATGTTAATGTTATCTTTAACAAGAAGTTTGTGAAAGAATCTAAGTTTGGTCAGTATGTCAGAGCATTAGCTATCGTCATTGACCGCAAACGTTATACTTCACAAGAGTTAGCAGTAGTTTTGAAACAAAAGAGTTTCTTCGTGAATGTCAAAGATACTCATTATACTGTCATAAAGAACTCTAACGTTGACTTCTTCAGTATTGCTTTAAATCTTTCCGAACAGAAAGAATATAAGAAGGCGCCTTGCGCCGAGATGGACTCAAAGAGCCCACCAGGTGAAGTAGTTGTGAAATATTATCCTTCATCTCTGAAGACAATAACGAACAAAGATGTTATACAGAAATTCTTACCAAAGGTTGAAGAAGCTTCTATTGACATTGACGAAGGAAGTGAAATGGTTGAAGAAATTGACCCTGAAGCTTTATAAGAAAATTTATTTTTGAATAACTGATGGTGTCACCACGTCACTATGTCACCACGTCACTATGTCACCAGGTTAATTAACTTCTCTTAAAAATGATGACAACATGACATTTTGACAACACAGCAGGATTAATGCAAAAATGAATGTTATCGTTAATGTTATCGTTAATGTTATCGTTTATGTTATCGTTAATGTTATCGTTTATGTTATCGTTAATGTTATCAGTGTCGAACATAATTGACGAAGAGAGAATCGTCTGATCGTCAAGTTTATTAGTTAACGGGAGGGTTAGATATATTCCATCGCAACTGAAAAATGATGACAACATGACATTTAGACAACAGTCCAGGAAATAAATTTTATCGTTAATGTTTTCAGTGTCGATCATAATCGACGAAGGGTTTTGTTTTTTATCGTGGTTTTCTCCACTATGGTCCTAACGTGGCACCCGACGAGATTTTTTTTCATTCTTCCTCTTTGAAGTTGTCAAAATATTATGTTATTTTTTCCTTCAGTAATGTTAAGTCTTCTTTGAATGTAAGTATTGTACAACCTTTGATGTCATAGTGTGTTTGAGGAAGAGTATTTTTGACAATTTCCTTTATTTGCTCATTCGGTGTCATTGAAATCGGTAAGTTTTCACGATAGAACCAGTTTCTGTCAGATTTATATATCTTAGCTAAGTCATAAAAGCTCTTGTTGTTCTTCTGACTAAATGTAACATAACCATATCTTTATCTTCTTCTTTCTCCAACTCTTCAGTATATATCATATACTTATAACTCTTTTCCTTTCCTTTTGGTACTGAACGCGGTATTCTTTTCTGTATGCTTTTGTCTTTGGATTCAATGACTTCATCTTTTGCTTGAAGTTTCTTTTCCAACTCTCCACGTTCTGCTTTATAAGTTCATCTAACATCATGAAAATATAACAAGCATAACGAGGTGAAGTCCACATTGCTACGGCGTTTACTAAAAGTCTATGAACATAATAACCTTTCAAACCAGGAGCCAAATTCTTGCGATTTTCATACGGAATCTCTTCCCTCGGTTTTCCGAGGGAAGCAATCATATGAGGAAATTCTTCTAAAAGTTCTTTTGTCTGTTGGTTTTCAAACCAATGATATGCTTGCTTTGTAGAACGAAGAGCATTCATTATACTTTGCATTTGGTACATATCGTCTTTGACTGAACGAATGAGACGTAACTGTTTGTTATACTGTATGTACTCGTATTCTTCATTTATAGCTTCATGGACTATAACTGTTGTTGTGTTCTCTGATGTTGACATTACTGTCTTTACATACAAAATAAAAAAATAAATAAAAATAAAACTAACTTTATTTTTTCTATCTTAAGGAAATTCATGAAAATTCACGAGGGTGAAAAAACAGGTGAAAAAAGAGGTGAAATCTCACCTCTTCACCTAAACATTATTTTTGTCTGATTTACATCTAATGAAAAAGTTTAGAAGAATTTTCTTATTCTTTCTGGCATATTTTTGTCTTTCCAGTACTCCCGCTCTAATGGTCCCAGATGTGTTGGCTTCGACTCTCTCAAGTTCTTAGATGGTATAACATCTTCAACGCCTCCTTCATATCTTACTTTATAAGTGTCATCGTTTATGTTATAGCCAAGTATTTCAATAACCACTCCTCGCTTTGCTTCGTCAATGGTTTCAGCAAGTTTGCCATTACTACTTTCAACTAATTTATGACGAGGATAAAACGCAATGGAGTCGTCAGCAGCTTTTATAAGATATCCATTACCTTGCGTAGAGTCTACGATATAATAGTTTCTACTTAACCTTAAATGTTTCTTTGTCAACGGTTTGTCGTCAAGAACTACACGAACTTTTGTACCAGGAATGAGGGTAAATTGTGTTGAATTTCTGATATTTTGTGTTTGGCTTCGTTTCTTTTGTATATACTTTTCTTCTTGTTGTTGTGTCATTGAATTTGGTGTATGTCCTGTTGTAGAATGTGTTGAGGAATTATATACTTCGAGAAAATGTTTCATTGTTTCTTCGGTAAAGTCTCGCTCTTGGTTTAAATCTCTAAGCGTTCTTATGAAGCGGTTTATGATGCCGAGTATGTTATGGTTATGGTCTTCAGTAGTGTAGTGAGTTATGTTATGCTTAATGAGAAAATCTGTGATTTCATTACTGAGGTATGCTGAATCCTGGTCTGAAGTTAATGAAGTGGGATGATGTTCTGCCACGAACGTCTGCAAAACTCTTAAAACTTCACGAGTTCCTTTATTTTTCATTGGATATGCATATGCTTTGCGAGTGTTAACATTAATGAAGATGAGGAATGGTGGCTTTCTTCCTTTCTTACTCTGAACGAGAGTGTCAAATTGGTATGCGTCAGGAGCGTTGGAGTAAATTGGTAAAAGTAGTCGTAAGGGTTTATTTTTGTTTGATGTACAACATTTTTGTCAAAGAACCTTTTCACTTCAGCTCTGTTAGTAAATCCCCAACTCTTTACAGCTTCATTGAATTTCTTAAATGACCTCCATGGATGTTGTTCGAATACTTCTTTCAAGCTCATTTATGTAAAGTTAAAGATTTTATTCAAGACGGTAAGCCTTGACCCAAAGGGTCTAGGCTCAAGCGCGTTCATTGAATGCGGTACCATGCGAATACAGTCATAAATGGTGGCATATAATCTTCACCCGAGCCTGTTGGATTTGTTGTGAAAGTATGGACATGATTTCCTCCTGGTTCAGTTGGTCGAAAAGTCTTTTTTGCTGAATTGTTATAAGATGGAGATAAAACGTCATTGCCAGCTTTATAGTCTGAGTTGTATAATGGGTGGTCTCTTAATGAGTGGCTATGGTCGCCAGAAAAGTTTGTCGTTCCTGTATGAGTGTGCGCAGGTAAGTTTGCTTCTTTAATTTTCTTCGAACCTCCTGTTTGCTTTGAAGAGTTAGCACAGTATAAGAATTTATCTACAATCTGCTGCCACGTACCAAAACCTAAAACACTTGCCGGATTTGTTGCGTTCATTGACGTATAAATAGAGCCTATAGGATATATGGTTTCAAGAATCTGAGTCTTCATTGTTTGAAGTTCATGTTTAACATTTATAAATCCTTTGCCATCTACAATATTTATATTGTTTGTTATTAAACCATTAGGAAAAGTAGGAGGATAAATATTTTGTTCAACTAAAGGTGTACCGTCTCTTCCCGTTTTTGTTACTTCTTCAATGTATGCTTTAATTTCTTTAATCCTGATTGTTTGAAATTCTTCATGCACGTGCTCTTTATCGGCTTTTCCATTAAGCGCAGCATTTACTTCCGACTTCTTTGCATAATTTTCATCTACATAAGTTTTGTCGGCTTTCTTATCTAACATTGTTGGTAGTTCATATGCTTCAAAGTTTCTGGCATGATCTTCGATATTCATACATTTGTTATTTAAGGAGTTTAGTGTATCTTTTACGCTTGTACTCGGATTCTCTAAAGGTGCACTTGAACCCAAATCATAGTTCAATATTATGTCGTCTGCTCTAACAGTAGTGAAGGATTTATGTGTATGGTTCTTGTCGGCTTTCTTATCATATAAATCTTGAGCAGTGAATTTAACATTATTTTCATCATCCATGACATAAATATTTTTACAGCTAATGTCTTTCGTCGTTGTTATGTTTTCATTCGATGTTAAACCTTGTGGAAAGTTAGGAGGTTTATAATATAATGCATCCCCACCAGTTCCGCCAACCGTTCCTTCAATACTTTCTATAGCAACAGTTGAGAAGGAGTTATGTGTATGTTCTTTATCTGCTTTCTTATCTAACATTGTTGGTAGTTCATATGCTTCAAAGTTTCTGGCATGATCTTCGATATTCATACATTTGTTATTTAAGGAGTTTAGTGTATCTTTTACGCTTGTACTCGGATTCTCTAAAGGTGCACTTGAACCCAAATCATAGTTCAATATTATGTCGTCTGCTCTAACAGTAGTGAAGGATTCATGTGTATGGTTCTTGTCAGCTTTACTATTTAATGTAGCTTGAAGTTCATTTATATCGGAGATATTGTGTTTATGAGATTTCAAAACTTTGTTCGTTGCGTCAAGTTCATCTTTCTCTGCTTTACTTTTAATAGCATCTTCAACGGTTATTTTTGTCTTAACTTTCAATGTAAATCTTGGTTCAACTAATACACCGTTAACAAAGAAGTATGAAGCATAAATTTCATCGTTATAACCAAATGCTTCTGGTGCTTTACCTGTGTCATACTGTACAGTACAGCGTATGTCATAACCTTTAGCACGAATGAATTTATATCTTCTTTCATTAACATCTTCAGTGCTTATTTGTTCATCCTGTGTTAAATATCCATGGTAGTCCGTTATAATCTGTTCGTCTGAACTTATATAATGAACATGGTTTTTATCTGCTTTTTCGGCTAATTTCTCTTCTATCTCATTTATTTCAAGTTCATGCCTACCACCACCTCCCGAAGAAGTATTTTTCTTCAGCTCTTGAAGAACGTCCACTTCGCCATCTTTGGTGTCAATAATGAGACTTTGAGTTAAAACCTTTCCTGTCTTAATGGATGTTTGTAAAACTTCTTCTTCACCGTGTTCGGGGTCATGGTCGTCATCATATCTTGCGAAATCAGAGATGTTGTCATACATTAAGCATATCTGTCTCAAAAGTTCTGCTATTTGAAACTGGAACGAAAGATATACAGAACTTTCATCATCCCCCAAAGTCAAGTCAGCTTTCTTAAGTATTTCTTGAATGTATACAATGAGGACAGAGTATCTTGGAAAATATTCGAACAATATTTCATTAGCTGTTGGTTTTGGTGGTTCTTCTGGAGTTTCTGTTGTTTCAGTTCCTTCTGTAGGTTCTGTTGTAGTTTCTGCATCTCTTGACTTCAATGCTCTTGCTCTCAAAGACCTAAATGTTAGAGCACCAGGTTTTACAAAGGACTTTATAAATGCTTTAATAGTTCCTGGTAAGTTATTGTTAGCATTAAGTAAGTTCCTTATGCTTCCATCATGTACGTCCATAGCACTATGTAAAAAATCTATACTTTTCTTGTAGTCAGCAATAGACTGACTGTGATTTTTTAAAGATTTGTCAATACCTTTAAGCCAATCTTCATGCATGTCTGATACTGAGCCAAGAATATCATTTGCTTCCTTTAGTGTATTTTGTGCTTCTCGTAAAGTATCCAATCCCGTACGTGCATTGTTTGCTATACGTCTTACAGTATCTATTTGACTCCTTGTTTCTTGCATCCAACCAGATAAAGTTTTAATAGTATCCGAACCATTTGAAATGAAGTTCAAAGCATTTTTAACGTCATCTAAAACTTCTTCACCAAGTACTGCCCATATCTTTCCGATTTGGTATTGAAGAACTCCATATGAAGCAGCTGTTAAACCAGTATTTATAAGGTTCCATATCCATGATTTAGCAGTTTTTCCATCCTTTCCATCTTCACCATCCAAACCGTTTTCGCCTTGAGGTCCTTGTATTCCTTGTATTCCTTGTGGTCCTTGAGGTCCGGTGTCACCCTTCTCTCCTTTCAGTTCATCTTTATGTTCGTTATAATATTCTAATGTCATAAGGTGTACATCATTACTGCTACCAGCAACGCCGAGAATTTGTTTCTCATTCATGACTAAATTCTTTAGGCATTTAATGTTGTCGTCAAATCGAAAGCTCTTTAACAATTCACTGAGAACATTTAATACTTTCACTAATGAGGCATCTACTGTAGAATTTATATATTGCACCGTTCCATCATTTATGATAGGAACTTTACTTGTTGTAATGAATGGGTCATAAGTGTTAAAAGTATCGAAATCAATGACTTTTTTAGTTTTTCCATCGTCAATGACTAAATCATTGCCTTCAATGGTTAAAGTTGAGTTTTCGTTTACTAGTTCATGTGCTCTTCTTGCTTCATTTGTTTCATACGCATATGCAGCAATAGTCATATTTTAATGAGAATAAAATGTTGTTCTATTTGCAAAGTACAGACCCAAACGAATACGGGACAGTAAAGCTACAAACAAACTTAGGTCTTCAGAATGAAGCGCTTGCTTTCAGAGTTGTTGACTTCAATACTATCGCAACTTTTGTCATAACAGATGAAACAGATTTCATAGAGATTGAAATAGATGACAAAAGAAGTGTTATAACATTTCCTAACAGAGCTGGGTATAGAATAGATAAAATTGCTGGAGTCATAGATACTCTCATAAATGAAGAAACTATTGACAACATAGATGTCGAACTCTCTTCTGAGGGAACATTGAAGTTCAGTTATGCGAAGGAGTTTAAGATAACACGAATGAGTCATAGAGTTCAATTGCTTCTGGGAGCATACCATATGACATTTCCTTTGAAAAGTGTTGACAAAACGATTGAGATGAAATCTGTTCCATACGTATGTTATGGCAATTGTTTGTACATTGAGTCTAAAATAGCTAATGTCACAGGTATTTCAGGAGTTAATAGTAAAGGTTCAGTAGAATATAAGTCTTTCTGTTATGAAGTAAATTCAATGTTCATTCCAAACGTTCCTGTCATAGCAACTCATTTAGGTAAATGGGTTCGCATTAGTCCTCATAATTTGAAAGACATGCAATTCAGACTTGTTGACTTTCAAGGAGAGCCTGTAGAACTGAAGGCACCAGTGCGAATGACTGTTGAAGTTGACTTTTTAGAAAATATTAAATGCAACAGCTTACAAGAGAACTCAGAGCTAAAAATATAAAGTATGAATGTTATGTATTAGGTCATGAACTTTGGTTGTTGCTGTTTGATGAAACAAATGAGTTAGTTATGTCAGTCAAGAGAACAGAAAAATATTGTGTTAGTGAAAACTGCACCAAGTCAATAAGATTAGGTTTGCATTATGAAGATGAGTTCGATACTGTTGAAGAAGTTTTGGATAGATATTACAAATTGCTAACTTGAAATTTTTTGACTGACGGCGCAAAGCGCCAAGACCGAAGGTCCTGACTGCTTTAATTTACTAAAACATATTTCAAGCAAAGTTTATATTCTGTTGAAAGTTTTGTATATTCATTCGAATATTTATACTTAAACTCAACTCCTGTAGTTCCTGGTGTTTCAATGATGCGGATGTTACCTATTTTCATGAATAGTGGAGTTTGACCACAGCATTCGATTTCAGGGTCGAGATAGTCAATGACACATTGTTTCCCTGTTATTCGTGAGATAACATTTTCAAGGTCCTCCTTTGTTAGAATTATTTGGTTCTTGCTTATAAGATTTGTCAAAAGCTTCTTATCGTCTTTGAGTAAAATTGTTTGGTATAACTGAAGAAGGTAATGGTCTACGTTATCTGAAGGATTTGTTTGAACATTTGTGTAAGGGTTGTCGTTGGCTTCTCTTGAAAGAATTTGGTCCAGTGGTGGATACTCTAACTTAACATCTGATGTAGCGTTAGCGTTTGAAGCTGTGTTTAAATTCACCGACTTAAGTTCTGGTTCTTTTTCTTTCAAACACTCTGAACTATAGTTCTTTATGACAATATTGTTTGTCGTTCGTGAGTCAACATTTGATGTTGGTTCAATTGGAACATTAACGGCACCAGCTAAGATGGATTTGCTTCTCATTTCATATAGAATAAAAACCTTTTATATGTATGAAATGAACAATATACTCGACAAGGGTTTGAATGTAAAGCTAACGAATGAAAATATTGTTGAATTCACTGAGACAGGTGCTGTGTATAAAGATGTAGAACTACTGAACAAAAGAGCTAAGGGAAGAAGCAGGAACATGAACAAAGGGTGGAAGCCTATAAAAATTTATGTCAATGATGGCTCAGGAGGTTCAAACATAAAGTATGCAGAAAGTTATAGAGTTTATGCTCTCAAAGGTGAAAAGCCTTCATTTAAGAACAGCTATTCTAACGCATATCCTCAAAAGCTAACGGATGGGGAAGTGGATGATATGAATGACAGCAAAAATATTAACAGAAATGGCGACAGAGATGCATGGAATTTGTTTACCATCAGTCAATTGAAGGTTAAACTTTAAAACAATGTTGGTCGTTCCCATGGAATATTTTTGACTTTAATGGTATTAGTCATGATATGAATCTCAAGGTATGAACGAGGAGAGATGAGAGACTTATATGCTTCCCAAATTTCTTCAAAAGGTAATGTTATACCTGACTGTTTCCAAATGAGTTCAATATCATAACGTGAGAAACCTTGAAAGATAACGAAGTCAGTTATGAGACGTTTTATGTTTAAAGCTAAAAACCTCCATGTTTGCATAAGTATTGCTACAGTTAAGTAATGTCTGACTTTAGTAATGATGTTAGCTAATGGTGAGTCTGGTTTTGACACTAAACCTTTTCCGGCGAAGTCGTCACAAACTAATAAAGTGTTTGAGGATATTTTTTGAAGGGGTATTTTGAAAGTTTTGACAGAATGTAGTTTGTAAGTCGTTTCATATCGTAAACTCCTGAGTATTGACGTAAGTGGTGTTTGTCAATAATTCTTTCCATCTCCTCAGAAGTCTTTTGCATTCCTGACTGTATAAATTCAACGATGGCATAATATTTCCTCTTACGTCGAATGTAACGTTGAAGAAATTCAATGAGTTCACTGTCTGGAACTTTAACGACAGAGGCTTGAACTTTTGACATAAATGTTTTCGCTGTTGAATCCATAGAGTCTGAAGTTGCTGATATAATGATTTGGTCATAGTAAGAGTCGTTTCCTAAACGCTCTGTTATGAGTATATGACGAATGAGGTTAAATGTCTTACCTGAACCCATCTTTCCACAATAGAAATAAACACCATTTGAACAGAACTCATAGTCCTTACTGAAAGGAAGAATGAGAAGAGTTAAGTTTGTCTGTAGTTTCATTCATGTCTTCATCTACGTCATGTATTAAATGCTTCATTTTATCTCCATTAAAAATGCAAGTCAGAAATATTCAGAACATAGCACCGAGTCTAACTGACAAGAGTATAAAGATATACTATGAACACGTTATGATGAAACCAACCAAAATTCAAGAAAGTCAGTATACTTATGAATATCCAAGACACTGGGTAGAGTATGTAGGAGGTGAGAAAGCTATTGAAATCAGACAGGTTCGAAGTATTCCAGCAGGAAGAACAATATTATTGAAGAACTTTAATGTTTTGAGTATAATGATGAAACAAAGAAGCAAGATAGTTTCCCTGTTGCTGTGTATGTGAACTTAGATACAGGAGATGACATGAAAGTTTTTAATACAAAGCTTCAAACGGTAGTGAGAGAACAACTGACTGCGGAAGGGCATCCATTACCTTCAGAAGTTACCATAGCATATAATTTTGAAACAAACTCAATAGATTTTAAAGTCATCTCTGCAAAGAAGTCAGGTTTTACATTTAATGAAGCAGATGTATATTCGAATGAAAACTTCAAAGCTATTGCATGGTTAGATAATGACGATTGCTTTAAGAAATATTTAAATACAGTGACTCAACGATGTCAATAGATGACCTTCGTGGAATGTTACCATCGACGTTTACAGTAGAAGGTTCAGCAGGATTGCTTACAAGATTGTCAATTGGTGGTATTTGGTCTCGTGAGAACATTGTTATAAAATCCAGTATAAGTGAATTTGCTGAAGAATCTATATTATGTCTTTCAAACTACATGTATTCGCCGCCGAAGCATTATAGTATAACAAACTTTGTCAGTAAGTTTAACATAAGACTTGTCGAACCTTCTTCAATGAAAGATGTTGTGCTACCCAAAGACGGAAAGGATGGACTCATTATTGAGATGATTTTAATAGCATATTAAATGAGCTTGTTCTTGAAGGTCATTCATGATGAAATAACTGTTGTAGAAGATGTTAGCAATTGTTCAGACATTTTGAAGCGTATAGATGATATAAGAAATAAGTTAGATAGACCGCAAAGCGGTGAGGGCGAAGCCCGTGAGAACGCTTATGTTTCATTGACTTTCTCCAGTAACGAGAACTTTTATGAGATAATATTGAAGAGAGATGATTTTAATATGGTGTAAATGGTAGCTTGGGCAGCTTTAGGCGCAATGGGAACAAAAGCATTAGCATTTGGAGCAAAAGCACTTGGAGCTTATGACGCAGTAAATAAAATGAGTGGAGGAAGGGTTTCGAAGACATTAGATGCAAATAAAGGGAAGATTGGAGGCTGGGTTGCAAAGAAGTTAAGATTAAATAAAATAGGGCTCATAAATAAAGCATCCAATTTGGTTGCGACTGAGTCAGAAAATGCTTTAGGAAAGGACGATGAGTTTGCAAAACACGCAAAAGACTTTAATGACCAGATGAAAGGTGAAACAATGCATTTAAATAGAGTCGATGGAACTAAAGAAAATGTTTCTTCTCCACCAGCGGTTTATCCATACGGACCTTATGGAATGTATGGAAACCCTTATGAACGACCATTTGACCCATTGACTGGTGGAAGTAATTGGTATCATTACAGACGAAGAAGAAAGACAGTCAAGTTGGAGACAGACGTGAAGAAAGCAACTAAAAAGAAACCAAGGAAGAGAGTTATAAAGCAATGAATTTAACAGGGTGAAAAACCGGGTGAAAAAAGAGGTGAGATTTCACCACTTCACCTAAATTTATTTTTGTGCTATGTTTTCATACGGGTGAGGGTGGTGATATCATTAATTTTTAAGTTTATTTTTATATAAATGACAGAACAAAAATAAAGCATATCTACTCAACAGGAATGAGACCCTTACTGACTATGTATTCGTTTAATGCTTGATGAAAACAATGGTACATATTATCGTATGGGTATACACAACGTCTGTTTCCATCGTCGTCGTATATGTAGAGCTCAAATCCAGTCCAACCTTCTTTTGTACAATATGTAGCTTTATTTAAGTATGCATTTATGTAGATAAGGCAATTTTCTTCATCGCTCCAGAAATAATTTTTGTTCTTTGTTGAAATAGTTTTCGTTCCTCTGCGACCATAAGGAATGTATGCAATGAACTTTGCGTCATAAGGGATTGTAATATATTCAGGGTTTCTTTCATCGTCAATGGGTCTGTCTTTGTTAAAATGCATGTTTCTTAGTTTTACTTGAGTTTTGAATAGTTCACGGAAACGTTCTGGGAAAGAGTCATAGTAAATGTAGTCGGATATGTCTTTGTAATGAAATAAAAAATTTAAAAAAATAAAAATAAGGTTATTTTTATTTAGTGAGGACGGTAGGGAATTCGTTAGTGAAGTCGTTAGTGAAGTCATTAGTGAAGTCGTTTATGTGTCAGATGGTTTTGTAAATATTTAAGGTTAAGTTGGTGTTATGGTTGTGTTGTAAAATATACGTTACCGGTTTCGTAAAGTGTCAAAACCGCTAAGTGGTGTACGGAGGCGCGCAGTGCCACAGTACGCAACTTAGAGATACTAACTGTAGATTATATAATTTTAATAACAATGAGAGTACTTCTTCTCTGCAAATGTGTCAATGCACTTTCAATTCTAGTAAAGAATGCACAAAAATGCAAAATGACGAAATGATATGTCAACAAACGTGCGAACCGATACAAGATGATTATGAAACCGGCGAAGAATTAGAGGAAGAAGAGATTTTTGAAGAAGATCTTGAGAATGAAGGCGAGAAAGAGAAAGAAAAGTCAAAAACATTCCATGAAAAGTATACAGATCAAGAATTAGACAAGCATTTGTTCAATTGCTACATTCACGGAATAGGAATCCAAAAATATTTCGACATATTAACATATGCAGGAGTGAAAGTACCATCTGTTGATACATTGAATAAGAGACAATCTGCTCTCGGTCCTTCACTTGAAGAATTTTGTTTAAATCGCATACAAAAATACATAACTGATGATATGAAAGCAGCTTATGACTGTGCTTGGACTGGAAGAAGAAATGCTTTTTCATCTTTTTCAAGTTTGGCAAATATTGTACTTAATAAAATTTGTGGTTTTCGAATTGTAACAAAATATAAAATTGATGGATATAAAACTGTAATTAGTGATCCTGATATACAAGCCAATATGATGGAAATCACTGCTCTTAATTCTATTATCAATTCTGACATTTTTCCAAAAATTCATACTTTTGTATCAGATGGTGATGTAAAAACCAATACAGCATTAAATCATTCAAAAACCTCAATTCAAATTACAAAGGATTCTAATCATTTAATCAAAAATGCTTTTAATAAATTTAAAGATCAATTGCATTTTTTGGAATCTCAATTTAGAATCAGATTTCGTAAGAGCAGATTTTGTATATAAGCTCACAAGAAAAGAAGAACGAGTATTTTTGTGTGTCTACCAGCAAAGACAATGTATCGTACAATAATTATTCAATAAGTGTGGAATTCGATAAAAATTTTTGTAAAAATTTATAAAATTTATCGTGTAGTATAAATTACAAAGCTTTTTAAAAGTAAGTCTCTTTTAGTATCATATTCTGAAAGGAAATTGGACTCAGAATATCTTTTTAAATATTTTTTGAAAAATCTGAAAATATGCAGTAAAGATGAAGATCAACAGGACTTTGTGCATCTGTAAAATCAAGCATGACTAATTGCGATTGAATGTTTCTTTGCATTAGTTTAATTCGGAACTTTAATTCTAAAACTAGCCAGAATGAGAATGAATAAGAGGTGGTATACGAATCTATACACAAAATAAATCAATTATAGACTTTGTGCATTTTTTTGGTTTTCGGGACCTTCAGACCTTGCGAATTTGCATTTTTCCAACTTGGACCAAAAAGTGACAATTTGGGAGATTGGGACAAAGTTGCAATTCGGCACTTTTTGTAAAAAAATGGGGTCATACTCATAATGAATAGAGACTTATAGCCAAGTCTTGATATCATGCAGGGAGAATATACATTGATAAGCAATTATATTTTATAGTAGTAGTATTCAGAAATTCTTACAATTTACAATACAATTTTCAAAAATGGATAAAGACTAATAGCCAAGTCTTGATATCATGCAGGGAGAATATACATGATAAGCAATTATATTTTATAGTAGTAGTATTCAGAAATTCTTACAATTTACAATACAATTTTCAAAAATGGATAAAGACTTATAGCCAAGTCTTGATATCATGCAGGGAGACTCTCTACAAATACAAAAATTGATTATCATAAGGAAATACAAATTTATCAATTTTCATGTGAAAATTACATAAATTTGTTCTCCAATAAATAGCAATAATACTTTGAATGTTATATTAAGTAATATAGCTTCAGGTAAATAAGCTTACACTTCAAAAATATACTGTTTATTCATTAATTTTAAAAAAAGTCCAAATTATCTAATCTTGCTTACTCTTCCTTTAAACTTCTTTGTGCCAAATTTAATATTGCCTTCAAAGATGGAATAAGGACATTAGGTTCAATCCTTCGGCTTTCGACAATTTCCAAAATGTGTTGAATTAATTTCAAACATTCATCGTGTTTTGAAGCTCTTTGCTCAACAATCTGATTACCTGCCCTTGTAAGAATTCTTACTGCTCTTTCTTCATTCAAAACATTAGCGACTTGAACCTTAATAATCGCATTTGGAATCACAACAGTGATGAGAGTTATGACGATGTCATCAATGCGCTCATTTTTCTTACCCAAGAAAAATGTTTGCTTTAATTGATGAAAGTGTGATTCCGCAATGTTATTCGTGGAATCACCTTCTCCACGATATAACATCATCCAATGTTCTTTGGTTCTTCTCCATTGTTTATCGAAATACTTCAAAGCGCGCGGTTCTTCTTCTTCTAACATTGTTGTCAAGAACTCATATGTTTCATCAGACTCTTCAGCCAGCTTTTCTGCATTCGTTGCATCTGCACGTAATGTCAAAAAGTCCATTGCTAAATAGAAGTTCTCAAAATTCTGTGGATTGTCAAAATAGCTTCCAACTTTTGCACATGCGCGTAAAACATGCACAGCGCACCAACTGAGCTGCGCAAGAGGAAATCCGTCCTCAATTGCGCGAGCAATGTTTAGCGCACAGTCAGCGCTCCAATGCTGTGGATCCAGGTGCGCAAACTCACAGAATTTCACCAAACATTCTTGAATTTTTTCAGATGTCTGAGGGTTCACTAAAAAATAGCAAAAGGGGAAAATTGTGTTTTGACTTGTTTTCATTGTTACTGCAAACAATTGGATCTTTCCTTTAATTAAAGAATGAGTGGAATCGACGTGGAGAGGGTTATCAATGCTATGCACCAATTCTTTTGCAGCAAAAGGTGCATATATGATTGTAAACTCGGAAAAATCTCCATTGTAATCAAATTGAACGAGATCATCTGGGCACTCTTCCTGTAAATTATTCAAAAATGCTTCCAAAGAAGTGTAAGGATCGTTTGATAATCTTTGTGCAATAATCTCATCAAGGCGATAAAATTTGTGCTTTAAAGCATCAGTAGACTGCGCGAAAAGTTTCATCGTTTCTTTGTTATTCGTATCAATTCCGAACTTATCAAAAAATGCTTTTTGAGCAAGAAATTGCTTTCCACCGTTTTTAATATAAAGTTCGATCCATTTTTGATAAAATTTACTCGCGTAATGTGAACCCATTTCAACTCCTATATGATGGCAATGTTCTTCATTAACTTTGCTTATAGTAAACACTCCATTTTGTTCTTCAACCCTAAATTTTGCCTTGCATAGGGGATACGAACATGAATAAGTGACATATTGCTTTGGAGATCCCGTTCTTCTTCTGTATGGGACACCGCCCTTGACTTCCTGTTTAATACCAAAAGCAATAAGCTCCTCTAAGTCCACCGAAATCATAAAAATGAAGTGATTTTGAAAAGAGTTAACAAAATTCAAATCATATCAAAAACAAAAACACATAAAAAATATTTTATTATACTCATTCGAAATTAAAAATAATAAAATTTATATATATTAATTTCATTAAATCAAGGTTAAAAATCTCACCGGAAAAATAACCTCAGTGTATGTCATTCCAAACGGGAACCGCGGTTGGTTACCATGGATTTCCGTCACCGGTCACATTTTAAAGATTTTTAAAGCCTTATAAAAATATGCTTTGTAAATCATTTTTTGTAAATCGGCAAAAATTTGGTAATTTTCTTCAACTAATAAATCTGCGAATAGCATTTATAATACAAGAACAATCTTTTAAAATGCGTTTGATTCATTTTTGTATAATTTCATATAGGCACATATATTCTTCCGGGACTTTCCGTGATTTTACCGTAAAATCATTAGTTTACACCAATTTTTCCGTATTTTGAATAGTTTACTGCACTTTTTCCGTAAAATTGAGTTACGGGAATCCGCAAAATTTCCGGACCTCATTTTTCATAGAATATAATAATAATATTTGATAAAAAGATATATTATTTATATTTTTGATTTTTGAATTACGGAAAAAGTGAATTGATAACTTGATTTTTTTATATGGTTAATTTTTCAAATGATATTATGAAGATCTAAAATATTAAAAGTAAAAAATTGAATTACGGAAAAAGTGAGGTCAAAAGTGAAATAAATTTGCAGAACAATTTTCATTGAAATAAGCTTTATTTTTCATTATTAATAACAATGCTGTAATAAACAGAAATTCATCAAAAGTGACAGCTCTCAATTTTTTGACATTTGTAAATTCTAAATTGAATGAGAAAAATGAAATAATACTAAGCATAATACAATATTCTAGATTTAATTATAATTAGGAAAAAGTTAGTTTTGAGAGTACTTTTCATAGGCATATAGAATGAAATCTTCTGAAAAATAATATCATATAAACTCATATTATTTTCTAATATATAACTATTTTATATAAAAATCAAATTCAATGATCTTAAAAGCGAAGGATAAACCTCAAAATTTACGAATATAATGAGTGGGAATATAATGCTTATCTATCATAAAACCATATGAAATATCAATTTTTGCTTTACGCCTAATTTTTGACGACAATTAGCAAAAAATGTTAAATGTTAACACTCAGTCCATTTGAATATGAAAAATAAAATTGACTTTGATTAAATGTTTTTATTTATCATGCAATTCTTCTTGCGACCAAAGATTTGAATAAAAGTTCAAAAAATAAGATAGCTTAAAAAATAATATACGGTAGTGTTTACTAATAGATGAATAGTATATAAATTCTATTAAAATGGATTTGATCCAAAAAAATATATAAAATTTGATCATAAATAAAATCGTTTTAAATTACTTCTTCATTTAAATTATAACAATTATTTTTGGTTTTATAGTTTTTAAAGCTCATGTGGTTTTTTTAACCACAGAATACTTATGTGCTGTAGCAAGCTTGCAATCCAAAGCTCACGTTAGACAACAAGAGTCATGAAGTCTCATACTAAGGGATATCCAACATATATTTTAATAATCTAATGTTTGTGACAAATATTCAACATAAAATTAAGTTTTCGTTTCGTTACAAGGCATTCATACTTTGGAGATATCATATTTAATGTACAGAAAAGTTAATATTAAACAATACATGCTAAAGAATTAATAAATAAGATAATAAAATAAATTTATACGTAATTACTTTCATTTAATATGCTTTATGCTGTATAATATTGATTAAGAGGCATTAAAAGGTTCCATAATCTGCTTTTATAGGCAAGATTTTTGATAAAAATTTTAAATTTTGAAAAATGATGAGAAAAGGAAAAAAAGGTAAATGAGAGCAAGAGGAGGGAAAAAAAGAAAAAGAAAAGGAAGGGAAGGGAAAAATAAAAGAAAGAAGGACATATAAAAATTTAGATGCGCATTCTTAATGCCGAGGCGGCTTGCCGCCGAGGCGCGATTTTTTTAGGCCTCTACGGTAACCCGGCAATGTTTTTTTAAATCTTGTACAGCCCTACCTCAGTGTGATAAATTTATCACCGGAAAAATTTACAATAAGGTTAATACTGAAAATATCGAAAAATCAACATTTAAGGTTAATTTAAGAGTATGCACTTTTGTCACCTACTCACAATTTGGTCGGAAGCCACCCTTAATGATCAAGTTCTCTAAAATTTATGAAAGAATGTGAGTGTTACAAAGTGTTCAACATTACTAATGCAAATTCTTATTTCTTTTCAAATGATTATCGTCAATTTTGATATTTTTTCGTATTAAATTGAAGTCAATTATTTAGTTAAATTAATTAAATCTTCATGAAATGCAACTCCATGTATTAATTCAACATATTTCAAAAGACAAATTTATGTTAAATTGTGATTTTTTAGATGATTTAAAGCAATCGCTTCACAAACATGACAAAAATTAAAGTCCCCTGAGATATATATTCTATGATGTGTGTCAATGCTATATTTATCATTATTTTTAATTTTTATTGACCCACCCAAAAAAAGCCTTCTTCCACTAACATGAGTTATAACTTGCTTTTTATGAAAACGATAGACTAGGATTAATATATATCGTAGAGCATATTTTTCATCTTTTTAAAATTTTTGAATATTTTTTGTCATGTTAGTGAAGCCTTAATAAACCAAATCTACAAGCAAAACCATCTGAAAATCCAAAATTTATTAAACACATTTTCACAATCTTGGACTAAATATCAATTCTATTGCAAACGATTATTTTTGGCTCAAATAGAATTACACTTTTCCGACATTTTTGGGTCACTTCGCGCCCCTGATAAAAAGTCGGAAAAGTGCAAATTTTTGCGATTTCACGATAAAGTGAGACATTTGAATGAAGTCAGCATTCTAGGAAAATGTGACTTTAAAGTCGATTTTCTAATCTCTCAAATTTCTGAGGAATAAATTTCATGACGACTTTTAACATCAAAAAAGAGTTTATCTTGGGTTTATTCTCAAAAAGCAAATAAATTCATGAAAAAATCATTTTTTTAACAAACAAACAAAATTATATATATATTAGAACCAAGCGTAAGCACGCTCAGTAATATTATCATCGTCATCCTCTTCAGAGTCAGTATTAAACAGGAAAGCCTGAGGGAAGTTTTCAGAAATTGTTGTAGTTAAGTAAGAATCATTTTGAATTTTTGTTTCTTCTTCAACAGGAGTTTGAACATCATCATCTTCATCTCCTTTCTTCTTCTTTCTCAGCAGCAATAGACAAGCAACAACAATTAAACCAACAACGGCTATTATTCCTACAACAATTCCAATGATTTCTTTGTTTTTGACTTTGGAATTTTTAGAATTTTTTTCATTGTCAGGTTTTTCAATGAAAACTGTTCTTGCAAGAGTCTGTGTTGGCAAAGGAGTTATGATACTTGTAGTACTTAAAGGAGTTAAGTAAGGCGTCTGGAAAACTGTTTCAAAAGCTGTTTCAAAAGGAGTCATTTTTTCGGTATAAAATGGAGTTTCTCGGAAAGTTTGGATTGGCGTTACGAAAGGGGTCTGTGTTGGATGTGGTGTTGGAGTAGGTAATGGTGTCGGCGTCAATTCTGGTGTCGGATGAGGAGTTGGGTTATATTGCAAATACATTCTTAATCTTCCATGGGATTCTCCTTTTCTGAAGTTGTAAATACCGACATAATACGTCTTGTTGTAAGGCAACGATATCCAATCAGTTAAAAAGTACGTGCCGTAGTGTTGTGGATTTGTTGGGAAAATGTATTTGTTTGAGTGGCCACTGATGCCATAAATATCATCAGTGACTACAACAGCAACATGATTTACCCAATCCGTGTGCCAATCAGTTCCAACTCTTAATCTGAATTTATTATAAATTGGAAGATTGAAATACAAATAGTTTACATCGGTATCCATTGATGTAAACAATCTATTGGATTGCTGGATATCTTCTAACAACCTCATTTTGTGTTGGCAAACTAATCCTCTGTAAATTTCGTTACATTTGCACCAACCATTGTCACAGTCGTACCCGGAACAGTTCCCTGGACATATCTTATTGTCGTCTTCCCGTTGGATCTGAAAAGGAATACAGTTTTCGTTTGATGTGTCAAAACCGCCGTAAATGGACAGAGAAAACTCCAAATTATCATTTTCCAGGTAGAAATCGTTGGAATAGACATGGATAATGATATCTTGTGGGTCAAGGTCTTTGATAAGAACCCTTTCAACGTTTGTAAATTCTTCGTGAGTTGATCTTGGAAGTAAATTTCCTAAATAAGTCTTGTTATTGGCTTCTACAACAAGATTTAGATCGGCAAATAATACATTAAGATCTTCCATAGGGAATGGAACGTCAATATAGTTCATTGTGATCGAGAAATCAGATTTTTTTTCAGTTTTGATCTTATAAACAGCGTGATCATGAGGATTGATTGTTTGTCGGTCTATAAATCTCACTCCGAAGTCGCCAAACCCTCAAGCATCAGAAATAAAAGGAATTCCAAATCCATTTTTTGGATCGTACAAAGGAGAAGCAGAAGTATTCCGCGCAGAGTTAATAATCACCGATTTTATTAGCGCTGACGATGGAATCATCGAGTTTTCCGCTTTAGCAGATAATGTTGGATAAAATCCATCGACAAAGTACTGCCTGACCAATGCAGCGATACCTGCGATCTGCGCTGTACTTGCTATTGACCCATTTAATGTAACTAATGAATCAATTGTCGAATTTGAAAATGGAATTCGACTTAAACTGGAAAGAATGCCTTCTCCTGGTGCTACAACATCAGGTTTCTTTGATGCAGATAAAGTAGGACCTTTTGAAGATGTTTCTGATGGATTTCCAGTTATATTTTGACAAGATCCGACTGTTAAAGCATTTAATGCATCTCCAGGACTGAGAATGACATCACCCGTGTCTCCTGATGGATAAATGTATAAAATGTCTTTGTTTTTCCATGCATAATAATTGATATCTTCAGAATATGACCAAAATTTGTTATTAAATACAAAATTGTTTGCACAAATATATGAACCAACTTTTTTCATCATGTCTAGAGTTGTGCCTAAGTCAAGAACGCTAGATTCGTAAAAAATTGTCTGATTCATTTCAATAACATGAAGTTTTGAGTCTAACGCAACTCCTGAGTAATTTTTGTCATCAGAATCTGCATAGTTATATGGCTTTCCTGCAATTAAACCTGCAGCAAATGTAGATGAAATTGAATAATCAATTTCTTCGCCTAAAAAGTCGTATCTTTTAATTTTTCTATGATTATCAATTGTTTCATTGAATGGTACACCGAATTCATCGTCAGAAAGTGAAGTTCCATTGGTAAAAAATGAATGATTTAAATCTACTGAGCCAATTGTTTGAAATGTTACAATTTGGTTACTACCTGTTATACCATGATCAAGTAAACTAAATGAATTTAGTCTGTAATTGTTATTTTCCGCATTAATATGGTCAGAATTCCAAGAATAGTTGTATCTGTAAGGAGTATAAAACATGGGAACACCTTCGAAGTCAAGCATTTCAGAGTCACCCCAAAATTCAGAAAAATTTGTAGTGTTGTCTAAATAACACAAAAAATTTTCAAAACGAAGACGATGACAAGGTAAATTTGGTTGCCAACTATCAACAGCACGTACTCTATAGTAATCAATATTGGAATCATGCGTTGAGTAATAGCCTCCTCTGAAATAATCTTGTATTAAAAAATCTTCGCTTTCTGCAAAAAACTGATATTCTTCGGGTTTCATAAATGACAAGTACGAGGTGAATGTTTGCAAGTGTTCGTGTTTAAATATGTCAGGATAAGTTTCTTTATATTGTTGAAATTTTGAAGATTTTATAGGAAAATTTGGCTGGATATAGAACCATCCTGAACGACCTGGTTCTTCTGAAACCTCCCTTCAATGCCTCCCAAGCCAGTTTAATGAAAGAAAGGAGGAAAAAGGCATTCAAGGATTATTTTTTATCCCTTGAAAAATCTGATTCGAAAATTTTGTTAAAAATATAATGGATTATTGGTTAATTAACAAATAAAATTAGATTTGAATTTTTGAATAATTTACAAAAAAAGTCATAAATAATACGATTATATTAATTTTTTACAAATAATCTGACTTTTATTGAATTTAAAGTCAATTTGTTCATTGAAAATTAAAAAATTAGAAATATAACATATATGACTATTCATTTATATTTTGAGTTCCGCGGTGATAAAAAAAAATTTTTTTTGACGATCTAAAAAATGAAAAATGTGATTTCTAAGGTAGTTTCAGAGGCTCTCTATAATTATATAGACCCTCTTCAAGCAAATCAGCTTCAACTACAGATTTTCCAAGGTAAAGCAAAGATTGAGAATCTTTTAATCAAAGAATCTGCACTTGCTTACCACGATTTACCTTTTTCAGTGACTAAAGGTATCATAGAAGAAACAAATATGACTATTCCATGGAGCTCACTCCAATCTGAACCATGTATCTTAGAATTACGAGGAGTTTACATTTTTGGAACTATCCAAGAAGAAGTTTTTGTTACATCACAATTACAACTCAAACGATCATTACTTCAAGCAATAGAATCTCAAGCGGGATCAGCTGATTCTTCTTCATCCAAAAAATCGACATCTTCAATTTCGATAATTTTAAACAATATCCAAGTAAGCATCAAAGATATACACATATGCCTCGAGATAAAGACCAAATCAGGCATCAGCTATGCTGGTCTCACGTTAAAAGAACTTTTATTATTCACATGCGACGAAAACGGACAAAACAGATTCTTTAAGTCCGAAAACGAACATCAGTACAGAAAGTTAACCATTGATTCGTTATCACTTTACTTAGATACCAACCCCGAACTAATAAATTTTGAAAATTTCAATCAACAAATGCATGATTCGATATTAAAACCACACCAAAAGATCTTGGCCAACATGTATTTCTCGAATATCTTCGAAACAAATGATAAACTCGATGCCGATTTTCGATATTCTTTCAAACTCGTTACAGAACACATCAAATTACAAATAGATGAACAACAATACATCAATGCCGCAGAAATGTTCGCTCAAATGCAAAAAGTGAGACAGAAAATCAGATTCGGAACATGTGGAAGACCAACAATTTCTCCTGTAAATGAAATTGCAGCACAAAAATGGTTTGAATACGGATATCATTGTATCCAAGAACAGAAGAATCCAAACAAACTACATGTTGGAAATATTCTTGCCATGTTGAAAAATAGAAAGACTTATTACAGTTTGTGGAAAGAGAAAACAACAATTGGAAATAAATTTTCTGGATCAAAAAATGATTTGATTTTGAAAAAACTCGAAGACAAATTAGAATTAAACACAATTTTGTTTTTGAGATCTTATTCTGAGACGAAAATAAGGAAAGAACAATCAAAAACAATGGAATTCACTAAAGAAGAACTCGAACAACTTTCTATACTTAAAAACAAAATTTCTTCCAATAATAATATGAATATTAACTTGGATATACAAAATTTAATCATTAATTTTCAAACTCTTGATAAAAAAGATATTGGAAGTATCATTTTCAACAAAATTAATGGATTCTTCCTTAAAAAATCTGAAGGATCGAATTCTTCTTTGTCTTTTTCAAACATTGAAGTGTTTTCACAAACAAAAGCTTTACTTTCTCAAGAAGAATTACAAGGAGAACAAACTTGTCGTATTTTGTATGATTTTCAGCCGGAAAATATGAAACATAGCTTGAAATTGTTTATTAATCAACCACATTTGACTGCTGACATGGAAGAAATAATGAAATTAGTTTCGTTCTTTATTAAAACGATGCCGAAGACAACGAATTATTTAGAAAGCTCAAAAGAAATTTCGAAACAAGATGTCAAGAAATTATTACAAGAAAGAATTAATTTTGATTTTAATTTGAAATTGGAAAAACCTGAAATTGTTGTTCCTTCCAAATCTAATTTGGTTTTGAATCTACAAAACTTGGAAATTAAGAAACAAGACAAATCTCAAGACTTGTATGATTTTTATGATGTTTTTCTCAATAATTTTTCTGCAAAAATTGGAAATGACGGTTTAACTGAAAATTTGTCGGTTAAAACGGTTGTTGGATTGCCAATTATTGATTTACCTGATTTGGATTCCATTAAGATATCAACAGAAATACCAGAAATCACCGTGAATCTTTCCAAACAGAATTATTTAGATTTTATTTCGATTTTCAAACCTTTGACAAATTTGGATTTCGAAAAAAGTGACAAAAATCAGAAAACTAAAACCGAGAAAAGTAAAACTTTTGAAATGCTACTTAAGAAATGCAACATAAAAGTAGATAATGAACAAAATAATTATGTCTTTGTTTTGGATAATTTCAAAGCAAAAAGTGACAAAAATATTTCAGTTTTATTTGATAATATTTCTTTGACAAATGATGAAAAAGAAATTGTTGGATTACAAAATGTTTCATTTTCAACAATAGAAGAAAACGGAGATATAAAAGTTGAGAAAATCAATAATTTTGTTATTGAAGAATTAAGTTCCCAATTTTTGATCAAATCAATAATTATGATTTCAAATTTGTTGAAAGATGAAAATGAGAAAAGTGATGATTTAGTTATTAACTTCGATTACAAGGATAAATTGAATATATCAATGATAGATAGAAACAATTCTCAACTTGGAAATTTGATTTTCTCTAATTTACAATTGAAAATCAAATTAATTAATGATGATGTAATTTTGTACTTCAAATTAGATGATACTGAAGTGTTTTTGGCTGAAATTAACTCTAATTTCATTAAATTAGATAATAACACAGAAATTGAATATATTTTTGACAAAAAAGTGACATTAAATTCTACAAAATCGGAAATTGGTTTTGATTTTTATGCAATGATGAATTTAGTTGATTTCTTTAATAGAATTATTGATGCAGACACAATTAAATACGAAGATGATCCATTAACATTTCCTTATTTGAATTTTGACATCAATTTACAAAAAATTGATTTGAAAATGTTGATCGACAAAAATCCAGAAAACTTCATTATGTATAATCTGAATGATTTGAAGTTCAATTCCAATGAAGTTGGAAATCTAAATCTCAAAATAGATGCAATAGAAAGTGAAAATTTCGCAAAAATCAACAATTTCGAATCAACATTTAATTTAATTCTCAAAAACGAATTACCAGAATTGAATTTAGGAGTTGATGAACAATTCACAGAGAGATATAAGATATCAAAAGACATCTTTTATATCCATTCTATTACTTCTAATATCAAAATTCCAAATTTGTCATTAAATTTGTCAGATGACAAAATTACAGAAAATTTGTTGAAATCCATCAAATTCGTTTTTGACATTTTGGCAAAGCCAGATTATTTCATTTTGGAAAACATTGCCAAGATTGATTTGGATGATGTTTCTTTATGTCTATATGATCAACAATTGAAAGCAAACAAAATTACTTATAGTTTGCAAGAAAAGTGCCAAAATATCGGTTTTGATTCAATTGACTTCAATTCAAAATTCCCAATATTTAAACGCAGAGAAAACATTAAAAATCAAAGCAAAATAATGGAGATCAAACTAAATGAAAAGCGTTTTGAATTGAAATTAAATGATTGTTTCATTGAAATTGTTCCAGATGTTTTTCCTTTAATTGAAAAGCTCCAAAAATGTCCTTTTGTTACGTTTGATTATGGATTTGGAGATGATCAAAACATGGACTTTAATTTGTTGTTGAATAATATAACAGTTTGTATTCCAAGTGATCTTGAAAACAATGGACCTTGTTTGTTCTTTGACAACTCAAATTTACAAATTTACATATCAGAAAAATCCCAAAGAATTTTGATAACTTCTATTCAAATTGCTTTTTCACAGTTTTCAGACAAAATTTTACTTTATCCTCCAATTCTTTCTGATTTCTTGTCTGATATAATTGTTGAAAAGAAAGGCGAAGTGACTAATTTATCACTCTTAGTTTCCGATTTTAATTTATTTATTTCTGCTGCAGATATTGCAACATTAATTTTAGTTATCAAATCTGTTTTGTCAAAATTGCCAAAATTTGACACAAAGAATGTTGCACAAGGTTTCCTTGTTGACAACATTAAATTCAACATTGGAACAATGACATTGACATTCTGTGAAGACAACAGATCAATTTTACCTCCTTTACCATTCATGAGAATTATATTACCAAAAACTATTTTTACTGTTAATTTGCAAAAGAACCAAAAGTTTTCTTTCGAATACACATTTAATTCCATTGATTTATTTAATGAAACAACATCGAATTGGGATGTTTTAGTTGAACCATTGAGTTTTGTTTTGCATGGATCTAAAAGTGATGGATACGTCTTTAGTTTCGACATTGCAAATTCATTGAACATTAATTTAAGTCATAGAATGCTAAAGAAAATTTTGATTTTCAGTGAAAACGTGAAATCAATCAAAGAAAATAAAGGAATTTACAAAGTTTTCCCTGAATTCGAGATCCTCAACAAAACTGCTAAAAATATCGACATCAGTCTGTTAAATGGTGTCACTATGACATTGGCTCCTGGTGATGTTTTGCCAACTTACGATTTGAAATCAAATAAATCATTAAAAGTGACAATGGATAATGTCACTTTTTCAATTACACCACAACAGTTGTCTTTCCCAATGATTCCTGAAAAGAACATTGTTGTTTATAAGTATATGAAAGAAAACGTATCAGTTATTGTTATAACTTCATCTATTGTTGTTCAAAACATGACTTCGCAGAATTTGACTATTTTTACGAAACAAAATAAGAATTTCAAAATTGGATACATTGTTGATTCGAATTCTTTCACAGAGATTCCTGATTACAATCCTAAAACTGATGATTTAGTCATTGGAGATAAAACAGCAAAAGCTATTGACATCAAGAAACTTGATAATATAATTAATTATAAATTTAAACATGAAGATAAAGAAATGTCAGTTTTAATTCAAAAGAAATTTGAATTGTTACGAGGTTTGACTGTTATTTACATTAATACACCAATTAAAATTGTAAATAACTTACCATTTGAAACGATGTTCAGGTTGAATGAAAATCAAAACATTCTGTTGAAAGAAAACCAAGAAAAAATTGTTGATTATCTGAAAATTGACAAAAACGAAATTAATGTCAAAATTTTGATGTCAAACGGTATCGAAACATCAGATAAAAACACAATTAAACTTCAGAATGGAATTGTTAGCCCAATTAAAGTTGATTCCACATTGAACATTGCTTGTTTAGTTACAGAAAATGACGAAGACAAAGTTAAGAGTTTAGTGTTTTATATTCCTTGTATTTTGTATAATGACACAGGAAGAGATTTATATGTTTGCGATAGCAATGGAAACTCTTCTAGTTTTAGAGAGAAAGATGACTTGAAATATATTTTATTTGGTCCAATAAGTTATTTCGATGATGAAAAACCTTCGATGCTTTGTCATTTAAGTGCTGGAATAAGTTATGATATTTCTCTTAATCCTATTGATTGTTCTCTTTCTAATGTTGATGATTTCGTATTATGTCCACTTAGAAAGAATCCTTTCATTTATATTCCTTTCCATTTTTGTGTCAAAAGTGATTCAAGTAATGCTAATGGAATTAGAACACAAAAAGTGACAATTACAAACCATATTACATTGAAAAATGAACTGAACTATGAATTCAAACTTCAACCAATCTTTAATATAGAAGAAGGAAAACCTATAGGTGATCCTATCGTTGTCAAACCGCTTTCTGAAATGTCAATTAATTTTGTGACAAAATCTTCTTGTTTTTATTTCCAAGTTGAAAAATTCAGGAAAGTACCAATATGTCTAAATACTGCCAACTTTACTACATTCAGAATAATCACAGTTGATGATGCTTTCGAACAGAAATTCATTTGTTTGTTGATTAATGCAAATTCTTATGGTTTGAATGTCACTTTTTCGGATGCAAGTTTGAATTCACCAATTTTAGTGCAAAACTTGTTAAAAGACATTCCAATTTGTGCTTATCAGACTCCTGATTCAACACCATTTGTTATTATGCCAGATGAAGTTAAACCATTCGCATTCGATTACCCAGAACTGAACAAAGATGTTTATTTGATGGTAAATTCAACTGACTTGAAAATTGACATTTCCGAACTAAATTCTTCGAAAGAATTTATGTGTAGAAATCAGAAAATTTTCACTGAAGTCAGAACAGATGACAAAGGTTGTAAAACAGTTATTGTTTCTTCTGAAAAACAATCATTACCCATTTCAGAAAATCTTCATTTCTTCTTCAATATTCCACAGATTTCAGTTGCTTTAATTCATGAAGATTTAAGAGAATTGGCTTTGATAACAATTCGTCAAATCTCGATGGAATATTCGAGTGTTTCCAATCTTTCGACAATAACATTTACTATTGACAGTTTCCAATTGGATGACATGTTTGCTGATGTTCCTCTTCCTGTTGTTTCATTTTGTCAGAAAGAGTTTTTGTCGTTTGTTTGTGAATTTTACAATAATACTGCTTTTGCAACTGCATTCAAGAATTTCGAATTAAAAGTTAATCCAATTACTGCGTTTTTGGATACTTCATTCTTAAGTGAAATCTTGATGTTCTTCTCGACAGCAGTTAGAGAAAGCTACAAATATAACAATGATTTGTCAAAGAGAGAGAATTTGTTGAACAAGAAATCAACAAATAAAATGATTTCTTCAAATACAATTTATTCATTTGACAAATTCAAGATCGATCCAATTCTTTTGATCTTCTCGATTAGATCACATACAAACAGAGTTCATTTGTACAGATTCTTCTCTAAAGGAATCTACATGGCTCCTGATGTAACAAATGCAACTTTAGATTTGGATGGAATTGAATTTAATTCTGCAAGTTTCACTTCATCTTTCTTGATTTTCACTGTTTTTGATGGATTCAAGAAATCCGCAATGAAACAGATAATGAATATCCTTGGACACATGGATGTTCTCATGAATATCTCTGAGATTGGATCCCTTTATAAAAGAGATATAAAACAACTTCGATCGGGAGACTTCAAAAACATGAAGCCAGCAGTTTTAGTTGGTTCTTTGACAGGAACTGAATCATTTGTAAGAGGCACAAGTTCTTTGATGCATGGATTCATTGAAGGAGATAATAACAGAAGTAGTGGAGGCTTGAACAGAAATGCAGCAGAAACAGTTGGAGATGGATTTGTTAGTTTTGGAAAAGGAATCGCTTTGGGATTTGCAGGAATTGTTACGAAACCAATGGAAGAAGGAAAGAAAGGTGGATTCCTTGGCGGATTGAAAGGTTTAGGAAAAGGATTGGCTGGTGCAATTGCATCACCATTCACAGGAGTTCTTGATATAGGAGCAGGAATTGTTGGAGCAGCAAGGAAGGCAATAGAAAACGACAACATGACAATTTCAAGGGAAAGATGTCAAAGATGTTTCTTCCATTACACAGTGAAAAACACTTCGACTTATTTCGATAAATGCCAAGAAGAAATCCACAACATGGACTTGTTGAGATCAACATACAATGATATGATATTCATTGGTGCAATGACAGACAATGGAGGTTCAATTTGTGTAACTTTATCAAGGATATTTATTTTCGATAATGAAAACAAAATAACTTATAATTCTAAGTTCAAACATGTCGACAATATAATGTGTAATGAAAAGACATTAATAATTAAAGTGTCTGACAAACTGAAGCCAATTAAACTGAATATTGTTAAGCCGGATATCTCAGTCTTCCTTCCGGATTTATTATCTTTATATTCTATTGAAAAATCGCTTGTTTAATAAAAAAATTACTTTGTTTATTATCATTTATCTTTCATTTGGTATTTCATAAAAAATTTAACAGAAATTTTGCAAAAATTGAAAAAATTAGTTATTTGTTTTCAATTTTTGAACTATTCTGAAAAGCAGACTCCTAATTGTATATAAGAACTTTTTCTAAAATATCAGGAAATGATGCCACTTTTTGGACATAAATTTTAAAAATTTTCTAAAAAATTTTAAAGTCGTATGTTCATTATATTACAATAACATATGCTAGCATTCTTCTTCACCTTATCGTACTCACTTCCGACTAATATATGGGCTATCATGTTCATGTGGCCACCTTTAATTTGCATAGTTATTACAGGTGCTGTTTGTGCATATAATGTATGCGGCATAGTTTGGTACTGTTTCGAATATTTCTGCGACATTTCCCTTGATGATTTAAAATTTTGGAAAGATAATGATACAGTTAATTATGTTCCCAAAAAGAAACACAAAAACAGAGATCCAATCGTTCGAACTGTTGTAAATTGGGGAAAGACCGGAGATCTTAGATATAAGGAAACAAGAACAGAGACTTTTACTTTTGAAGGTGAACAAGTTAACTGTCAAGTTGAAATTAAGCGCAAATTTTATGACTAACATATTTTTATCCACCAGGTGTATAAATTTTTCGATTTAATATGAGAATATTACCCTACTTTTCCAACATTTAGAAAACATGCATGACCCCCTACCCAGGGTCCAAAAATTGGTATTTTCTGCGCTCAGGCAACACGAGTTTTTGGGCCGCCAAATGAATAGCTCAAATAGTTTCCTCATATAGAGACATGCTTATGCTTAGAGTTTGAAGGGAAACTAAAGTGATTTTTTTCTGCATTTCGAAATCTAATGCAATCTTAAAATCATGATTAAACTGCGAATCTGGGCGCAATTTTTTAATATGTTAATATATGAAGGTACTCCTACTACTGCGAATGCTTCAAATGAAAATTCAAGGAATCAGATTAATTTGATCACATTAGTATAGTAGTGGTCAATCCAAAAACTCATATGTTGATATATAACCTATAGAGATGATAATTATCGATTCTTCATTGAAATGCATAAGATTTAATAATCTCATAAATATTCTTTTTAATTTTCAGTATTTCGTGTGCATTTAGATTGCATATACCTGTATATGATACTTCTAGAATGTTTTGGTTAGATATTAAGTTTTTTAGATTAATATTTTAACATTTTGATAAAACAAGCAATTGTTCCATTTTGGAATCGCGATTGAACTCTAGTTTGACTAATATGATGTTGTATGATCAAATGAATTCTAACTTCATGAGATAAAATTTGAAATTTGAAAATGCGATATCTGACTCAAATATTTATCTGAGCACATTTAACATTCAATTATAAACTAAAGTAATATACAGCAGATTCGATTTGGCTTATATTTTAAATATTCAACAAATAATCTTATAAAATTGTGCTATTCACGTTTCTCAAAGATGAATTAAGCATCTACAACTTGTGCATTGATGGAATTAGATATGGATTCTAATGTTAATCGATATTTTGTAAATTGATATATATTTTATCATGGTTTGACATTTGATCGTGTTGAAACCGGAATTGCAATATGCATCATCTATATATATAATTGTCAAAATATGAGCTATAGATTTTTAAATTATGCTCCTGATTATGAGTGACTTATATGATTATATTGAATTGAGTAGTAAGAATCATAAATATTAGAATATTACGATAATGTATTATAACCTTATAGAAGCTTAAGGCTAAAAATGATGATGAAAATGTAGCTCAAATTTAAGTCTAAAAATTTGAAAAAATTAAGTGCTTATGATAGTATGACGATATTGGTGTTTGAATGTAAGAAATTAGAGATGTATTAGAAGCATTATGAGAAAATAATAAGATATAAAAACAAATTTTATGAAATAATTTAAGTTATAAGAGGTGTTAACATTGGTAATGTGTGTATAAGATAGTAGAATTGTATGGATCTTTGATTAGTATTTTATAACAATTTATTAATGTAGATGTGATTAGAATGTTGGATTTCAAAGGAGAAAGCGGATTGTTCACTCTTGTTGGTCTGCATGTGTCATTCCGGGAGACATTGCCTGTGCATGTCTCCCAGAATGGCATACTGTTATTGCATCAGAATACGATGCAACTTTGACCGACAAGAGTGCATTGTGCACTCTTGTTGGTCTGCATGTGTCATTCCGGGAGACATTGCCTGTGCATGTCTCCCAGAATGAGACAATTTATTGCAATCAGAATACGATTGCAAAACTTTGACCGACAAGAGTGTATTGTGCACTCTTGTTGGTCAAAGTTCCGCATTCAAGTTATGAATGCGGAACAGTATGCCATTCTGGGAGACATGCACAGGCAATGTCTCCCGGAATGACACATGCAGACCAACAAAAACCAAAATTACTAGAATTTACAAAAACCGTTTGACACGTAAAATACATTTGACATTTACAAAAAATAAAAAAAAATAATTTTTTAAAAAATAAAAAAGGTAGTCTCACGAGAAAACTGACGGTAAAAATTCGATGAAACCAGGTGCATTGTATAGTACACATATGTGGTAAATAAATGTCGATTAGCTTTGTAAAAAATATCCCACAGTTTTTGAGATCTTGAAAACGGCCATTCAAAAAGTCGAAAATTTTTCCGAGATGTTAATGGGCAAGACAGTTTTTCGACAAATAAATCGTAAACATGGGAATTAAAATAAGGCGTTATATTACATATATGGTAAAGGATATGGATGTGAAGAGCGTTAGTAGAATGGAAAGACTTTGAAATTTTAAAAAATTTATCTGGACTAAAAAATTATTTGATTATAAAAAACATATTATATATCAATTGCTATATAGAACTATCTTAACAGATTTTGGAAAAGCCGCAAATCCCCAAGTTGGAGAATTCATTAAATACTAATTATTCAGCTTTTTATGGGAAAGGAAGGTAGTGTAGTGGTTGGGAACACTATGCTCTTTTTGAATCTAAAAGGCAACTGTTCAAATCATAACATCTTTGTTTTTTTTTCTTATTCTGCCATTATTGTTTTTCCTTGTTATGATTCAAATTAAAAATATTTTAGTAAAGGTATTTTGGACATCATTTTTTCACATTGTCTCAATGCAAATGTTTGAAAATTTTGTAGGCAATATGACAACTCTTTCAACATTTGTTCTCTTTTATTAACTCAAACAGATTTAGGATCTAATTTCATGCCTTCGAAGACATTTAAACCATCTTCAACATAATTTATTGACAAATTGATAACAATTACTCATGAATGTCGTAGATTTAATATCCTGTCACTCAGCAACAAATTCGGGTTCAATAACAAAGCTCAGTAAAAACTTTACAGAAATTCTCCAATTTATTTTAGTGTCTTTTTGCGTCATTACGGCTGCATTTTCTTCTGCATCTGAACGCTGTGTTTGGAAGAAGACGAAATACAGAAACTTTCAACACAAGTAATCAGATTTTCTTGTCTTTCATGTTAAAATGCTTCATCTCGCTAGGTATACGTCATTTATTGGATGGATTGTTAGCTTTGTGTCCAAATAGCAAAAAAAAGTATTAATTTAAATTTCGCATTTTGCATAAGTATACGCTTTAATTTATATCAAAACAGATTTAGATAGCTTAAAACAATATAGTTTACTCATAAATACATCTTGATAATTCACTTCTTCAATTTTCATAATCTTATATCCTGACCTATATCCTCTTATAAACCATATTTCTACTGAGATCTTCTTAAAGCATCTTTTTATCCCTATCTACGCCTCGAAACCAATTTAAGTTCCTTAATTTTTTTGAAAAAAAAATTAAAACTCCCTTATCAAACATCATGCTCATTTTTACGAATTTCATTTTTCCTTTAAGTTTAAAATATACGCTTTTTAGCATGTTTATAATACATTTTCAATTTACATTTACATTTTTATTTTTGAATTGTTTGTTTATATTTCCGTTTGAACAATAATATTTATTGAAAATTGTGAGAGAAACGGATATAATAAAAAAACACCATACAACAAAATTCACTTTTTTTCATACTTACGCGGATCACTCCTTTTCGGCCCAATATGCCGGAAATGATAAAACTCTCAGATCTAGTTGCTAAGATCCAAACTCTCGACTCTCAAATCTACTTCCTCAGATCTTGTTGCTAACATCCAAACTCTCGACTCTCAAATCTACTTCCTCAGATCTTGTTGCTAAGATCCAAACTCTCGACTCTCAAATCTACTTCCTCAGATCTTGTTGCTAAGATCGATCTATTATACTCAATTTTACTTAAGCAATATAGATCACCTTTATTATGATTCTCTTTATCTGTACTTGTTTAAAATTAAATTACATCATAAAGATCTAATTACAAATTATTTAGAATTTTGAAATAAAACCAGTATTTTATCAAATGCTTTGAGATTAATGCATTCAAACTTAAAAAAAAAGATATATTCAGATCAATTTCAATATTATTGATTTTTTACTGTAAAAACTATGTCTACATAGATCTCAAACAATTTTATTAGATACTCTTTTCCCAATTTTTTTTCAAAATCTCTTTTTACATATCAAAAATTGTATTTTTCAATTTCATTTTTATTTTTTCCATATTTTTTTGGAATTTGGATATGCGTCCAAAGTAGTTATGTCATTAGAAAAATATTAGATATCTGAAGAGAAAATGATAACTTAGAGAGTTTTAAAGATTTATTTTCGAATACAAATATAGACCTCAGAGGAATACATTCTAAATAAATTTGTATCTGAGGGTGAATAAATAAGAACAAAATTTAAAGGGTTAGCATAAATAATGTAGAAATTAAGATTGGAATTTAAATTTAATACAAAATTAAAGGGAATGAATTTGCGATTAGTAGGGTATGGCAAAGGGATTGGGAAACATTGGTTACACATGAAAATTATCAGATGTAAGAATTTGGTGCAGATATTTTAAAAATGAGATCTGAGTGCTTAAACATTAAAAGTAGATCTTATCAAAAAGATCTGAGGAAGTAGATCTTAGCAACAAGATCTGAGGAAGTAGATTTGAGAGTCGAGAGTTTGGATGTTAGCAACAAGATCTGAGGAAGTAGATTTGAGAGTCGAGAGTTTGGATCTTAGCAACTAGATCTGAGAGTTTTATCATTTCCGGCATATTGGGCCGAAAAGGAGTGATCCGCGTAAGTATGAAAAAAAGTGAATTTTGTTGTATGGTGTTTTTTTATTATATCCGTTTCTCTCACAATTTTCAATAAATATTATTGTTCAAACGGAAATATAAACAAACAATTCAAAAATAAAAATGTAAATGTAAATTGAAAATGTATTATAAACATGCTAAAAAGCGTATATTTTAAACTTAAAGGAAAAATGAAATTCGTAAAAATGAGCATGATGTTTGATAAGGGAGTTTTAATTTTTTTTTCAAAAAAATTAAGGAACTTAAATTGGTTTCGAGGCGTAGATAGGGATAAAAAGATGCTTTAAGAAGATCTCAGTAGAAATATGTTTATAAGAGGATATAGGTCAGGATATAAGATTATGAAAATTGAAGAAGTGAATTATCAAGATGTATTTATGAGTAAACTATATTGTTTTAAGCTATCTAAATCTGTTTTGATATAAAACGAAAAAGAAATGCTTTAAGTGTTCGGCCACCTAATCATTTTCCCACAAATCATTATGAACAGTGAGAAGATAGAAATTAATTTATCATGTGTAGATATTGCCACATTTAAGAAGCTTGAAAGCTTATTAAAGAAAAACTTCCTGGTGTTATTTATAATAATATCGCAGATTATCAAAACAAGTCCCAATCAATCAAAACTATTACAAGAGAATACTATTAAATCAATGATTGCAGCTTCCAAAAACCGTGCTCTAAGCTATCAAAGATCTCTGCAAATGAAAAAAATCATGAACAAAGAAAAATACAAGATGGAACTGCAGACGAATTAGAACAAGAAGCAGAAAAGGCAGATCTTGAAACTCTCAATGACAATGAAGATGATTCTGATGATCAAGATGAAGATGAAACAAATGGTGATGAATCCTTGAGTTTAAGCGAAATATTATTAGATGATTATACCCCATTATTTAAGTACCCTCCGTTTGCAGATAAATTAACGTGTGTTATCATTAATAACATGTTATATAATTTAAATTTTCCAAACTCAAAGAGCCGACGATACTATGCGGAGACACTTCAATTTGCCTTTATGTTGTATTGCAAACAACCCTCAGAATATTTGTTGGCAAGACAGAAACTTATGTTGCCATCAAAAGCAACTCTATTTCGAGTCTTTGGTAAAGATATTGCAGCATGGAAGGAACTTTTGCTTTCAAAATCATCTTCACTCCCAGTATTCCTCAGATTCAGGGAATTATATCCATATACAGATGAGGAATTACGTGAACAATGCCATTTTTGCATTGGAATAGATGCAATCACAGGCAAATTATGGAAGAAGTCCGGCCATGACGATCAAATCGAGGACTTATTTGCATTATATTTGATGCCATTAGATTGCAAAGGTCCATCAATATGTTTGCATATAATACAACATACAAATGGTCTTGCATCTGGAATTATGAGTGAAATCTTGGATTACATTGCTACAGTTCAGAAAACACTGAATGTTCCAGTTTTTACAACTGATGGTGACAAATCTTACGATTTTGTTTATCAGATATTCTTTCACCATTGGTACAGCCTAGTTACTGGCTTTGATGGATTAGTAGAAGTCCTTAAAAGTGCAAAATTCCAAGATCTTAAGATTATCTTCATCGCGGACGTCGTTCATATAGGCAAAAACCTCAGAACGTTATTAATTTTCCCCAATAAGTTAATCTTTTTGCAACCTTATGATCCAACGCTGCACGTCGATATTACAAAAATTAGATTATTTTCCAAACTTGGAGATGCAATTAACAACTGTGATCAGTCTACCACACTCAATGACAAATATCCTGTAACAATCTTTAACGTTCAAACCGTCAAGGATATGCTAGATAATAATTGCTACACTGAAGCAACTTGGCTCCTTCCACTTGCACTTTGGTTTGAGGGAGTCCGAAATACCATATTACCAGTTGAAGCAAGATTGTCAATGTTCAAACTTGCTTTTTTCATCTTGCATTTCTTTCTCAGATTGCAAGATGTGGTCGGAGTCACTGATAGACTTCCTAATATAGAGACACCAGATCATCGTCTCAAATTCAAAGGTTATCTTTTTGCCAGAAGAATGCATCTTCTGAAAATGGCGACATCTCTTCTCACTCTTTATGGATTTTTAGAGGAATTCCCGAATATAAATTTTCAACATCTCACAACCCTTCCGGTTGAACATTTATTTGCCTTATTCCGAAAATTTGCGCATTCAAAAAAAGAAGTTAAAGATTTGATGAGTGCGGGAGCGCATTTGGTAATGAACCAAACCTACCGTGAACAAAATTTTGATCGTCTTGTGTCAGAATGCAGACTTGATAATTCAGGAGCAAATATGGCAAATGTCGAGGAGATGCCAGAAGATATTAAGTCCCAATATATATTCACAGATGAAGATATTGCCAGTATTACGACCGATCTTATGTATTTAGTTGGTTGGCACGAAGATCAGGTATTTTCAGTTTGGGGAAGATTAATAAAATACAATCACACACAACCATTAAGTGTTTTTGAACCTTACAGCAAAGATTTTCCGCGTAATGGAGTGGAAATTTTAAGACAAAAACTGGATCAAATTATTGAAATAAAAGCTCCAGTTCCTTTTTCAGAAAATAGGGGCTATTGCCCATCTCAAGCATACGAAACACAGTTACAAAAAGTGCCGATGGCCAAAACACCTCTTTATGAGAATTTCAATGACATACTACAATTCGCAAACTCAAATTCCTCTTCTTCTACAGAAAACTCTACAACTACAGATTCTACATCTCAAGGAATTCAATCTCAAAATTCAAATTTTCCAAATGAAAATTTGGAAAATTCCCAAAATGCAGAATCAACTGATGATTTTCAATCATTAATAACGCCAATACAAGAAGATCATTTTCCTTCTGCCAACGAACTAAAACAAGGGTTTGATATTGCCCATGATGTTTTAATTAGTCCGCCACCTGAGAATCAACATCCAGAAATTGATGAAGAAGAGACACAAAAAGCAATTTATCTATTACAAAACTTAGACTTTCCTAAGAAATAAAATTATTTAATTTATTCTTGTTTGTTTTTTAATTAAACATGTATATTTATTAACATTTCCTTTTTTAATACCTTTCCAACTTCTATTAGTAACAAACACATAACTAATTTGAAGATTTAGCGTTATGAAGAAGTATCCAAGTAATAACGTCAATAATGCATTTGCGATAGGATATAATTGCACCAAAGGTTAAAACTTGTATAAAGAATGAAAAATGAAATTTAATAATTTTTTTTCGAAAAAAATCCATGCTTGGCTAGATTTTCATAGTTATTGAATATGCATTACTGACATCTTGTAAAAGATGCCGATCAAGGCTTTCAAGATTGCTAAATTTCTCGATTAAAATTTACATTTTTTTTTATTTGTGTTTAATTACATTTTACAGTTTGCAGACTTACATAAAATCCGCAACATAGTGGTTATTTAATATTTGCCCCACAGTATTGTAGTTTGAAATTTACGATAAGATTATAATTGATAAAGTAAGGTTTTGTCATTAATGCATCTTATAAACTTTCATTGATAAATATGGATAGATAAGTTCTGTGTTCAAAAGTAAGCATTTTTTTAAAACGCGCAATTATATCAAGAACGACTATCATAAATTCATGAGTATCGATGATTTTCGTTTAGGATGGACTTAATCGGCTTGATTGATATACATATTTTAAAATGGCATAGCTTTGTGCATGTTATGTCAAGCATTGTGCCAAACCAATTTAAAATGAAACAAATTATTTTAAAGAAACTATATATGAACTATTCGAACACTTTATATTAATGTAGGGAGCTATAAATTTAAATATTCTAAAAATTTATTTATTTGTTAAGAGTTCGGAACAAATTTATTATTGAATATATAGGAAATCAAATAATTATGCATAATCGCATAAAAAAATGCTGAAACAATGAAAAGAAAAAAATAGTTGCCCAATAGAAAAAGTCGAACCCATACCCCTACCCATTGAGTTATCCTCACTTTCAAGTTTCGATCGAAAAAAAGGTATTTTATATCGTAACTCGCACCGTTTAGTCGTATTTCGAAGTTCTATATAGTATTAAAGATTAAGTTACATTATGTACAAAATAACTTTTTATTGTTATTTGATTTTGATAGCATTATTAGCTGAATATGAAAAATCTCGTAGAAATAATCATTTCATTCAGACATAAGTATTGGATTGTTTCCCAACAAGCATAATAACACACGTTTCATATTATAATTTATTTCATTTCTGTACAAAATTTAGATAACGATATCAAATAAAAAAAACTGTGGCATTTTTTTACTTCAAACTATCATGAAGTGTAACCAAATTGGGTGAGTATTCTTGCTATCAGTATGACATGAAAAAGTGAACGACAAAAATTGAAGATATTGTAGTTAACTCGGATTTTTTTAATTGCAAACACATCTATAATTTGTTTAAATATCATTTATTATATCAAAATCGAAAAATTCGTTTTTGGAAATCTTTGAATTTATGAGAAGTTCTACAAAGACACTTACAAATATAGCGTTTGCAATAAAAAGGCTCTTTAATCTTCTTCATCCTTGCTCAGAAACTTCTACTGGTTACCTTACGGGTAACCTGCAAAGCTGCTTCCAAGGCATCGGGAAAATAACGTATTTTCGTGAGACTACCTTTCATAAACTACAAAAAATAATTTTAGAGTATATCTAACCTCATTTCTAACCTCATGAATTTTTTCATAAATGCTAAAATTAATTTTAGGGTATATCTAACCCGAAATCTAACCTCATTTCTAACCTAGCCGCTTTGCGGCTCTGACTCGTAGGGTTTCATGAATATTCAACAGTAAATATGCTGACATGAATCAGGAATGTCATCATCAGTGTCATCCACATACGTTATATATTCATACCATAAACGAGCTTCACGGGAGATGAGAAGTAATGAAACAATAATTAATAATTTATTAGTAAAATTCATTTTATATAAAAATAAAATTTTATATCTAATCTGATTTATCCATTTCTTCTAATTTCTTCTTCAGTTCTGCTATATTATCTTCATATAATTTAATCTTTCTTAATATTCCATCTTTATTTAATGGCTGCTTAATTTTTCTAAATTGAACTCTACCATCTTTCATTTGATGAACATAAAAACCTTCTGGAATAGTTCCTGATTTAATGTATTCAACTAAAAATTTTTGTTTTGTTGCTTCAGTAATTTTAGTACTCATTTTATTAAAAGTAAAAAATAAAAAATATTTTTAAAATTAACTTTATTTTTTATCGTCGTCTTTTCCTTAATTCCTGTGGATCAACTAGGTCGGTTGAAGGTCTATTACTTTCTTTATAGTGCTTATAAAGTTTATAAACCGCCATATGATAAGGATAATTAAACCATAAATACACTTTACCTAAAGTTTTCAATCGATTATATAAATCATTATTGTTAGGCGTTTCAGGTGGTGCAGGGTATTCGAGAACATCTCTAACCATTTAATTACTTTAAAACTCTTGGTTTCTTTTTAGTTTTTAACAGTTTCTTTGCTTTTGCAATTTTTGCGAGAATATATCTTCGACCGTAATGGAACCAATTAGAACCTCCTGTTTTAGGGTCAAAAGGTCTTCCATAACCGCCAGGGTCATATGGTGCGACTGCAGTTACTGGTGCTGGTGCTGGTGATGGCGCAGGTGCTGAATTAATCGGCGGTTGTTTCTCCTTTTCTTTAAGTGAATTTAATTTAAACTCTTCACCATTCAACTGACCTTTAAAATCTTTTAACTGCTTAGATATTTCATTATCTTCACCTAAAAGGTTTGCGACTGGTCAGCGACCCAGTTACCCAATTTCTTTAACTTTTCAGATTTTAATTTTCTGGCAGCAGCTCCCACAAGCATTCCAGCATTATTTTTTAAAGCTTTTGATACAGCTCCACCAGTTAAACCGTCAATAGCTTTATAACCTCCATCCAAAGCTGATAGTGTTGAAAATACCATTTAATGCTTATTAAAATCATTTCTCATAATGATTAACTCATAAAATTTTTCATCGGAGCTAAACGTTAATGAAACCCTGACTTTTTCACCACTGAACCTCTTTATTAGTTCATTAATTCTATCAATTATATTAGCACACTCACTTACATCATCAATGATAGTAATATCATCACAAATTATTTTTACATTTAACGACGTCATTTATTACAAATTAATTTCTTCTATTCTTTAAAATTAACTGACCTACTGTGGAGTGGTTCCGGTTCCTTTCCTGTGTCGGGCTTGTTTGAATCGGTGTAGATTTTTTCAGACCTGTTGGAATAAGATCAGCCCCGGCAGTTGAATTAATCGGTGTTCTATATAAATTTCTATATAAATATGGTCCCGCTACAGCACCAGCAGCTAATAAAAGACCTACAGGAATTACAATTCTATTATAGTTCCGCGGTTTAGGATCTTCATCAAAACTAGCCCATGCGCTTTCAGTCGTTGAACTCATTTATATATATTAAATTTTAATAAGCGATTAATATGAGTTCGATAATAATACTATCTTTTCTGTCATCAGGAAGGACAATATCTTTTAGGCTCGATGGTTCAACTAATTTTATATTAAATTTATTAACATAATTAGTTATTGAATAATGCTTCGGCGGAGAATATAAACAGTTTGATAAACATAAAATAGAATCTTCAGCGAATTCACTTATACTTGATTTAATGATTGCCGCTTCTCTGGACCAAACACCATTAAATGAAATTGATGTTAATAAATAATCATCATTTTAATGGAAATTGATTTTGGTAGGTACTCCAGGAGGTCATTTAATGTTATCTGTTCTGCTCCGAACTGAGCAAATCGATAAAAGCATTCATCATTATTAATTCCTGTAATCTCTTGAAAATTTTTATTCGTGTATATATTTTTAATCTCATCACCGACAGCACCATCTTTTAAATCAAATATGAAACCAGCTTTTGAATTTGAATTAACACGAAATTCTATTGAATTAGTTTCAAAACTATAAAACATATCAACTTCATTAGGTTGAGGATATCCGGCACCTTTTAACTGTTCAATAAGAACCGATATAATCTTTTTATTAAATGCTGTCATATCATCTCCTGTGTCTAAATCGATATAAAGCTGTAAATCATATTGATGATTATCTCTTATTATTCCAAAGTTATATAATTCAATGGTTCGTCCTGCAGGAATGGTTTTTATCTGTCTTATTTCAATTGCTTTTTCGCCAGTGTTATAATCAACCCAGTGTTTAGGGTATTCATAAATGTATTCACCATTGATTATTTTAAACGGTTGTGAAAATATGTGCTCATAATAGATTTTAATACTTTTATCATTAAGACTGGGAACGGTATTAACAAAATTTCTGACTTGCATTTTTAATTATAATAAAATGAAACATTTATTTGAAGAAGTAGATGAAAAAATGAATGAAAAATCCGATAAACTCAATAGTTCATTAATTCTTCCCTTCAGTAAGGATTATCAGTTCTGTTCAAACGGTGTGTATTTCTATTGCGGAAAAATGGGTTCGGGAAAGACTTTTAATTTAGTTAGTATACAAGTCTTGGGTATGGTGGCACTGCGCGCCCCCTTACCCATTATATGTGAATTTGACACTTTACAAAACCGCCAACGTATATTTTACAACACAAACACTAACTTAACCTTAAATATTTACAAAGCCGCCAACCACTTCACTTTACTAACGAACTCACTAATGTAAAAAATAAACGTTCTCACTATCGTTCTCACTAACGACTTCACTAACGTTCTCATAATTGTCAAAATCAATTTTCATATAAAATGGAAGGACTTATTGTACGCGTTATGAAATCCAGTGACTTCTACGTCCCATTCGATGGTCTTACAACAGTTCAGGATGTTAAGGATGAAATGGAGACTCAAATAGAAGTTTCTACCCTTAGAATGAAATTGATTTTCAACGGAAAAATCCTTTCGGATGAAGAAAACCTCAAAGCACTTGGCTTCAAAAACGGTTCAATTATTCATTTGTACATTCCAAATTATGATAACATCTTCTTGCAAGATACAAAAAGAGAATTTAACGAGATCCTCTCTCTTTTTGAGAACATAAATTGCATTCCAGATGCTATGTTTAACGATGCAATTAATGAGATCAAAACACTCATACAATCCCCAAAGATCCGTGCTCTTGTCAAGATTATACCCGATCTAGAACAATTCTTCAATGCAATTCTACAATGCATTAATCAAATTGAAGCACCATATGATGATGCTCTTATCAATGAAGTTTCAATAATCGAAGACAGATACCTCAATATCGATGAATGGATTTATGAAGATAAATCTGAAACACTCACTACGTTATGCCTACCTGCTAATTATTTAGACGAAGGCTTGGAAATTAAGGATAATGATAACTCAATTGTCGAAGATGATATTCCACTCAACATAAATTACGCCAAATCCATCTCAACCGAGCCCCTTCCATTTGTATTTGATAGCACAGCGTTTTATATGTGATGCGGTTGAAATTTTCTTTTATCATTGTTTTGTTTTTATTGTTTGTATGATATTAATAAAATATTTGTATACCATTTTATCTAATATAGCCATGTTTTTGGATAGGAGAAAAATAAACACATTGATATAAAAAACTACAAACAAATTTAACTAAATAAAACAACTAAAAGTTATAAATCGTATGGTATTCTACCATAATCTGGATCATAGAATGGAAGAGGATTACTGTTGATGTTTGGAGTATAATCTAAATTTGTAGGTTCTTCATCGTCCGAAAAAGAGCTCTCCGAGCACTCCATTTTTTGAAGTGGCTCAATTACGCATTGGCATTTTGTCTCATAGAGTGATGTTTCGCTTGTCTCAACCTTTGGAAAAGAAAAGTTTTCTGTATCGAAAAATTGGGAGTTGAAAAAGGTGTTATCATTAGCCTTTGAAATAGCCTCAATCATTGACTCATCGCATGGGCACTCTACTTGTTGGATATACTCTGTAATGTCCTCTAATAATGTTGCAATTTCAGGAATAATTTTAACAAGCGACTTAAGGATGGGAGATTCAATATACTTCTTCACTGTATTAATAGCATCATAAAATGTCTCATCATGGATGATGTTAATGTTCATAAAAATAGAAATAACTTCATTAAGCATTCTTTTTGGAGACTGAAGGAAGATGTTATCGTAGTTTGGAACGTACAGATAAACAACGGATCCATTTTTTGCACCCATCTCTTGAAGATTAGCATGATCTGGAAGGATTTGGCCATTAAAAACAAGAGTCATTTGTTTTGTTGGTATTTCTAGCTGAAGGAACATTTCCTCTTTGACCTTGCCTGCTGTCATAGGTTCTTCAAATGGAACATAGAACTCAAGATTCGTATAGAACTTGACTATGTATGCTTGCATTAATGGCAATGAAAACAAATGTCTGAAAAGCAATTGAAAAAGTATTGAATATATAAACAAAGTACATTGTCAATATAATTGATGTATATTGAGAATGTAATTGTATGTGATCTAAAAAATTGATTTAACGATTTTGAGAGCTTAAAAAAATCCCTTGAAATTATTTTTGATTTTTGTTGAACGATAGAAGTTTAAAAATTAAATATTGCGTATAAATATGTTTACCACTCATACTTAAAAAACTTTGAGCATCGAAAATTTTGTAATCAAACGGTGTAAGTGAAATTTGAAAAGCAGCATTTTGTAATGCATTGTAATTTATATTTATTTTTTTATAATGGGTTGTATTGCATGTAAGCTTAATAATGTAATTACTCGATTTTAATTTGTGATTTGTTTACAGATTGAATGTTTATTTTTTGAGAAAACTGAAAATATAAAGGGATAATTTTATCGAAATATATACTATTATCACCTAAATGGATGACTACTTTGACAAAATATTGTGTTGTTTATTCAAATTATCAATAAATCTATATGGCCTATTAATGGAAATATAATATTTGCAGGTTATATATCGAATTATAAATAAAATTTTTTCAAATTCAATTGCCACTAAATTATTAATTGAATATGCTTTCAAAAGTAGAATGACTAAATTAGCATAAATATTCTTATAGGTAAATTCTAAATGTTCGATCAATATTATTAATTTAAAAAGCGGTTATATTTTGAAATTCACTTCTATTCCGCATATTGATTTTATTTTCCTGTCATTAATTCATTAGGTAATAATTGGCCATTTATTTCCTTCGATAAAAAAAATCAATATTTCACAAAAAGTACAATTATTTCAATTCAATAATTAACCTTCTAATGACAGGACTCTTAACAGTTCATTGGTTTTAGTTAAAAAGATCATCGCCTGGTTTTTCCTTCTATAATACATCTTTTTAGTTAAATTTCATCGAAATAAGAGGACGAAGTTACTGCATATTAGGTTTATTAATGGAAGCATTTCAAAAGCATAATAACTAAGATATCACTCATATTAAATAATGTGGTGTAATCCATTTCCATATCTTCATATTGTCACCTTTTAATTCAAGATAAATATTGGAAGCTTTTCCACATCTTCATAAGCGTAATCATAACTGAGAATTCTATTCTTATGTGTATTTCAATTTCTTAATTGGGAATAAGAGTTCATTACCAAAAAAATTCCAAATTTATTATCAAAAGTATGTAAATTATTCATTCCTTAATTAGCATGCATCATATCTATGTTGCATTAGGCTGAATTATGTAAATTATGGAATCTTAATATTCGAATTTGGTATTCCATCCCAATTTTGCAATTAAACAATATTATGATCTTACTCCATGATATGCTGGCATTTCTGAATATAAGTGAAAAATGCGAAAGCCCGATATTTCAACATAGAAATTTAAGGTTCCAGACATTTTCAAATAAAAAATCTGAAACCGTAATTAGAGAATATGCATTTTGGCAGCGAAAAAATAAACATTTCTAAATGATGAATATGTGTTATTTTTGAGTTCTTGAATTGGCCCGATTTGATTCAATTATTGACTTGTAGCTTTTTTATGTCCTTTTGGCTAACAATGAACGATATTCCGCGATGCAAATATACAATGTCTCAGCTATGTGATCATAAATCGTCAATTGTTTCTCTCGTTCTCGAAATAGTTTTTCTAATTCCATTCTTATATATTGCAGTAAAGCTTATAAGAGGATATAAACTACATATTAGAAGTAATATAATACCTGGAGTATCATATTGTTTAGCTTTTGTGATATTTAACGTATTAACTTACTTTTATTATTATGTATTTTACCCAAATCAGCATGATCGGATAATGGACACATTCTCAAGAACCACATCTATTATGAGTGATCTTTATCTTATGGCTTTGGTTCAATATTTTCAAGCTGTCAGCAAAATTTTAATTATTTCGAATGTATTAGGATCAAAAATTATTTATTACATTACTAAGTTTACAGTATGGTTCTTTTTTATTGGTTCCTTAATTAAGTTAGTCCTTATTTTCATAAATTTTCCATATGAAATCAATTTTCATTTGTTTTCAGATTATGGTTTCTACTACAATTATATTATTGTTCCTTCTGAATTTATAATAGATGGGTTATCGTTCGTTCTACTCTCAATAACTTTTATATTCTCAAATGTTCGGAGTTTTCTAGCTCCTGCATATAGAATGCCCGTAAAGGTGTGCATGTTTTTGATGCCACTTTTTATTACAATTGTAATTGTTTCTGTTGAAATATCAACTTCGAAATATTTTGAACAGATCAAGTATTCAAATCCTTCGAAATACATGTATTATTTTACATATTTATTGTTTACACATAGAATGATACTTGATCTTGTTTATCTTGCGATAATATACTTTATGTCTATCCAGCAACAAGATTATGGAGTTAGGGAATACTCACAGAGCGTTATTGAGCAATCATTTTCATCTATGCCCGAAATATAACCTTGTCTCGAGATAAGTGTTTTTTTGTTTTAATTATTTCATAATATAAATTTGTTATGTATTGAATATTATCATGTCATAAGGCATATTCTTCATAATCGCATGTATTGAAACTTCTGTATTTATTTTCATAGTTTAACAGACCAATAAACGCTAATTATTGTTTGAATAAATTGTAATAATACTACTCATTGCTAAATTAAGTGTAATTGCATGAAAGATGAATTATCAATAGTGCTATCGAGTATCAAAAAAAACAATAATTCTTTCCCTTCATGTTTTTTGGAATTCAAATCAACTTTTGAAGCCTCTTTGCTCACCTGCACGTAATCGTTTAAATTACTTCTGATTGAACAGGATATTTAGATTTTTGTGATAAAGAAGGAATATTTGAAGTCTTGATTGGTATAAATTGATCGGAAGATTATAAATATGGATTGAAAAAAGATGTTCTGCTTGTTTTAGATCAAAATGTGCTTGATATCTGAAATGAGAGATAATGAGAGAAATTAATACCAATTTATAAATTTTGACAGCGTTGTCTGGTGTGTTTGATAGTGTATATTAATGAATCGCTTCCATTGATTTAATTATTGATCGGAAAAAAATTGACCTTAAATAATTTTTGATCCAAAATAAGCATGGTTGATGATAATAAATGGATAATAAGATTATTGCTTTAGGTTTTGACGTCGTTACAATTCAAAAACTAATTGCAAATTTCAATGAAAAAACGACGTTGAAAAAATTGTTACATTGCTATAAATTATCACAAAAGTTCATACTTCAATTTTCATATCTTTAAGACATTTAACGAATTTCTGAACTTTATTAACTATCATAATTTCAAAATGACTGAGACTCCACCTCCACCACCGCCTCCTCAAGGTAACCCAGCTCCACCTGATGCCCCAGCACAGTATCCATATCAAGTACCACCTGCAAACGGTCAACCTGCTAATGCACCGCAAGCAAATTTCCAGCCTCCACCACCACCGCCTCAACAGGCTGGTCAATATGCACCACCACCACCAGGACAATACCCGCCACCTGGACAGTACCCACCTGGCCAATATCCACCACCTCCGCCTGGTCAATATCCTCCGGGTCAATATCCACCACCTCCACCTGGTCAATATCCGCCTGGCCAATACCCGCCTGGTCAATATCCACCACCTCAAGAACAAAAGAAAGATAAAAAGAAGAAGAAAGATAAGAAAGGGAGGCGGCCTCGGCTTTGATATTTGTGACTGCTTAGAATGTATTTGCTGGTGCTGCGGTTGTGATGATGATTAAGAAATTTTATATCTACATGCAATATCAAGTGTAAAATATATTGTAATTTAAAAATTACGGATGTAACTATTTATTTTTCCAAATTTTTCTTCAAAATCATCGAGATTCAAAAAAACTTTAGTGCAAATAAGTCATCAGTACGTTTCGTTTTTGGTGTGAATGCAAAATTTAAAAAATAAGCAAATTTTTATAATGCGCTCAATTATATTTTCTGTTTGGGAAGTATTTATTAAGCAAATACATATAAATTCAAGTTTCAGATGCGGTGTTATACTGACTACCCAAGCAAAGAAGAGTAATAAATTTTGGATTTTAAAAATAATAATAGATTAAGGGTATAGTAAACTCAAAATTCAAGAGTTTTGAGAGTGCCAATAAACTCTATAGGCCTATATATATCTATATTTTAAAGGAGAGGTTACGCCATAATATTTGATATTATAAATTATTAATTCAAAATAAAAGTAGAAAATGAAACTAATTTTATTCTAACCTATATAAATATATCAATAATCTAAAATGATTATAGTCTGAACTATATTTTACCAGATTATCAAATATAAGAGAAATGAAATAAGGCATAAAAATATCATAGCATAATTATTGGATAAATGCATTAATAAATTATTTATATCATAATGAGAAAAAATCAAAATAAGAAAATGAGCATAATAATAATTTAATTAAAAACAAAAACAATAAATAAAATGTAATTTTCGTTAATCAAAGTCATCAATGTCTTCGTCTTCTGATTCCCATTCGGACTTGAAAACTTGATAATCTCCTCCTGGTACACTCTGAATGGATTTTTTGTATTTGTTCTGTTTTTTAGAACCTTTTGTAACAGTTTTTTGTTTCAATATCATTTTGGAGTAACAATTCTCTTCAAATGATTTGACACAATCTTCTGGAAGTGGGGGAAGATGTAATGCTTTTTGTATATCTCCGAGAAAATGCTCTGGATCATTCCATTCTAAGATTGCAACGTTAACTCTAATGTTAATGTTCTTCCAGGCTCTTGATTTGTCCAAATAGCATGCAATTTTGGAGTTAAACGCTTCATTCATGCAGGTAGATCCAATGGAAGAAACTTTGGAAACTATGGGTGTCCATTTGTGAACCCAGTCATAGAGCATGAATTGAAGTTGGATCGAATTGACACCTTTTTGCCATTCAAAGCATTTGTAATTGTGCGGTTCGCAAAAAGAATGATTGCCTACGTAATGGTAGACACAATTCTCCCACATTTTCGTACGTTTGTCAATATTTTCTTCGGCAAAACATGACCAAAGCCACATACTTAGGCTTGCATTCAGACCCCAGAAAGGTCTCTCTATTTTTTCAATCTTCTGAGTCTTGTCGTTGAAAACTTCAACTGTCTTATGAGAAGCTGAGAACTTTGTAAAATCTTTTGAGATATTTTTTGATACATGACCTGGATCGAATCTTTCAAGATGAGAGACGCCAAATTCTTTAAAGACAGAGACACTTTTGTTATCTCGGTCTTTAATAATCTCTTTAACATCTTTCAAGATATTGTATTTCTTTAATTGCTTCAAGATGATTCGAGTTCCAGCACTTTCCATATTGTTGGAAGCTCCGGAATACTGAGCATGCTGTCTGTTTCCACCAATATGGTTGATGTTCACGCATGCAAGAACTCTTTTTGTGACAGCATCGAGCGCAGTTACTGTACAACTTGGCGAGTTTCGCCTGTGCGTCCATCTTGCATCAATGGATAAGTAACCACTGAAGGACTTTCTCGACAGCATTAGGGAAATACTTTTAAGTCTTCTAATCTTATCGTCACAAAATCTCTGTTGTCTCATGACACCACTCTTCACAGGGGGCTTAGTTCCACAAAGAGAAAGAAAGCGAGCACCTTTTGTATATGGCATTCCGGTCATTATGCAAGCACCAAGCATCTGTCGCGCTGAGAGTCGACGACGTTCGTGGAGTAAAATGTTATGCATTGCCTTTGTTTTCCGTTTTGGGTGAACAATATGGCCCATACAACAAAAAAAAATGAAATCCCGCCAAAAGTGAAAATTGAATAAAAAGTAATAATTAATAAATATATACTATATCATTAGATGAATATTTTGGAATAACATTTTAAAATCGAGGTTTTTCAATGGATAACGGTTCAATCAAAAATTTGACCCCATTTTAGAATCTACATTAAAAATGGAACATTTCTGTCGTTTCAAAATTCCAAAATAACGTTTCTATTCCTCTCAAAAGTAAAAATAAACTTTATTGGGGAAAAAATATTTTTATTTTCCAAAAAAAATGAAAACCTTAAATGCAAATCTAATTTTGATGCTTTTGTTTGTGATTTTTTGGATTTCGAAAAAAATTTGAAAATTCAGACAAGTTACCATTAACACTAATACGTTTCAGCGAGTCGGTCCCATCAGAGAAATTTTCATAAATCGGCGATATAATTTATTATTTCAGCAAAATATTCTCAGATCCAACTAGAATAAGGTCAAATTATACAAATTTAGCAAAGGCTAGTTATCCTACCTATTCAATTAACTTTAATTTTAAATAATTCAAGACAATTCTCAAAATTACCTTAATAATCGCGTTCTCTTCGCAAAATGACGATTCCTCATTCACTACCAGCATAACTGAGGGCTTGTGCTCACAGAATAATACAGATAATTTACTTATTAATGCAAAATTTAGTACCAAAAGGTAATCATAGAAGATACAAAAAAAGTTTCTTTATTTTGATTGCTGATTTTATTTCTTCTAAAATTTACCAAATCTAAAAAATCCAAAATTGAATGCTATTGAATTTCATGTTTATGTAACATATACTATTTATTATATAAGGAATAAAAATTTTATAGTTTTAATCAAAAATAAAGGTGTACTAAATGCATACAAAACAAGGTATTTTTTACTCATCCAAAATATGTTAACAGTGCTATTTATATAATCAATATCCGAATTTCGAAATCATTTTGATGAAATCTTTATTTTAAAATTGAGTTGACTGTTAAAATCACCCGAGAAGAGGGATTATCTCAATGAAAAGTACATAAAATAGCAAACGCACAAGATGGCACTATGCAGCTTTATATTGTTATACAGGATGAACATATAAAATGTTTGGAAAACACTTACTTCGTTCTACAAATGTGTATCTCTTCATATCAAAGATTCTTCTCAAATTATTGAGAGACTTCTCTCAAAAAAAGGGAAATTTGATAACTAAAAAAAATTATGGTATAACCTCTCGTTTTGCATAGAGATATATTTACATGGTCACAGAGCTTATTTTCATTGTCAAAACTTAAAAATTTTTAGTGGACTATACCCTTAAGAGAGATTCTAGAAATAATTTGGCATATAGAAAAATTGATGAAGCATAATACTAAGATTATATTTTGGAGTGAAAAAATATTTTGAAAATATATATGTAATTTAAGCTTTATTGCAATATAAAAACCTAGATGGACTTCATCATGCAACAATACAAATGTCATCGTCAGATAAAGAGATTTATTGTGGGAAGCAATTCGTTTTGAATATTTTTTTTATTATATATTAGTTATATTTCAAGTAACAGTATTTAAAATTAAAAAAAATTGTTGGAAATATTATTTTATATAAATTGAGAATTAAATTTAAATAGATTTTGGCGGATCAATTCAAAATTGATGAATGTCAAAAAATGAAAAAACGTGCTCCCTTGAAATTGATTATCGTTTATTTTTATATAAGCATTTTATCTGTTATAAGCGTATTGTATTTTGAATTTTTTCCATATTATCTCTTGAAAATCATTAATTTGCTTTAAATATTTATTATAATTGGATTATTAATATGGAAATTCAGTAAATCATAAAATCTACATTTTATAATTTTGAATGTGGTGTTTTTATCTTTTGCTTTCTTTTTACACCAACTGATATACTATCAGATTGATTAGCTAATTAATGAAAATAACATTAAACGTGCTTACACTCAAATTTGTTAAAGGCAATTTTTGTCATTCTATCATCATGTCTGGCATCCAAGCATTTGTTGAAGAAAATCGTTCAAATCTTATTAGACTCCACTCACAGAAGATGAGACTTCTTAAAAACACCATTGATGAAGTTCCACTCAATGTTCTTTCTCAAAGATTGCAAACTCAGAAAATGGAATCAAGTAAAATACATTCAACCAAATATCACTCATTAAAGAACGAGTACATCTCTAAAAGATCCACTCTGATGAGAGATCTTGATTTTGAAATCCAAAGATGTGTGGAAAATATATATTCTCCAGAATCATCTTATAATGAAGAAAATTAATTCTTGCCCTTAATGCTAATAAATGTTTGTATTTATCTTAAATATCTTTTTGTTTTTGCTGTTTTTGAATTTGGCATTTTGAAAAATCGGATCCGATTATTGATAAGTTTGTTCAATCATTTTTCCTAAAGTACATGTAAATATATGTTTTTCATGTCCCAAAATTAGTATAAATTAGTTCAATTAATTCAGAAATTTGAATTTCCCTGGTTTTTTATCTAATTAATAGTTTGGTTCGATTAAATCTCAATGTTGCAAGCATCCAATGTTATTAACTCAATGTTAATATTATACTTCTTTTAAATTTGTTTCATGATACATTTCTGATTAATGACAGTGAATCACATATTGTATTTTTGTGAAATTTTTTGATTATTCATAAGATAAAGACGCTTTTCCTTCTATGAAACCTCATTATATGAGTATTTTTCTAATATTTCAAATATTAACATGGAAGATTCATTAACACTAGACCAAATTCAAATCACTATGTTAGAAACTCTTAATTTCTCATGAAATTTCATGCAGTGTGTTCCCCAAATTGATGGATATCTATTTATACTTCTATATTATAGGGATTAACAGTATCAAACGAACTATGGCAAGCATAACATGTGTAAATGCCAATCGCTAATATTAATCTCTCATTTAAATTTTATTGATATCTTATTTATGAATATTTCCAGACACAGAATGAAAAATTTATGCACTACTCAGACCCATCAGCAAGCTTATTTATTCCAATTTTCCCTTCTCGACATTTAGTCAGCCAATTGGTCACTGGAGTTGAAAAGAAATAAAAAAAAATTTTTTTATCAAATATTTTCTAAGATGTGTGCTCGTATACTCCCAAAGTATCAGAAATACTATCAATACCTTTCTTTGCGTCCAGAAAATGGATTGCAACATATTGTAACAATTGATACCCCTCCTGATATCAGAGCTAGTGATATTCAAATTGATTTTAATCGCGAAGCTCAAACTATTAATGTCCATTACTTAGACCTTGTACCATTTTTATGTGGTCAAATGAAAGGTAACGTTACTGGATATTCAACTTTGATATATCCTTCAGAAAATCAACTCATTATTAATTTTACTTTAACAGAAAGATTGGAAATAACAGATTTGTTTATTTGTGACTACCATCCTTTGTTACGTATTTGCGATCCTTATTCTTTACTTAAACTTTTCCTCCATAAAGGAAGGGAAACAGTAACAAGAAACGATATAGCAAAGCTCGATTTAGCTGCCAAGATGGGTTTCCTTCCTGCAATCCAAGAACTATATATCAATTTTATTTACTCGAAATTCCCAATCAAATTAGCTGATGAATATGCATTAGAACTAGCTGAAGGCTACAAACCATCCCAATTACATTTCTACATCGCGTGTGCCCATTTTCATGAGAAAACAGAAGAAGATTACCATATTGCTTATCAACATTTCCTGAAAAGCGAAGAATATGGTGGATTTGCAAAAGATTTTCTAGGATTGTACTACTCTCCAATTAGCTATATTCCATTTCCAAATAAAGATGGTAAAATTGCAGCAGAATGTTTCGAAAAAACATTGGAAAAAGATCCGAAAAACGTTATCTCGTTGCACAATCTTTCCCTATTACTTTACCAAGGAATTGGTGTTGAAAAAGATGTTAAACGTGCTCAGGAATTGTATAATACTCTAGTGACTATTGACCCTCATTTTCCACCACTAGAAGATGAGAAAATTATATTCTTTGATAACGAAGGAAAAGATGATTCATTCAATATGAACGATTTGTATTTAATTTTAGGAATTGGAGCTGCTATCGGTGTTGGAGCGTTTTGTTTCTACAAAATATGGAAGAGATTGCAAAGGAAATGAAATAATTGTATAAAATTTTTCGAAACCGAGTGATTTTAATTGTTTATATGACTTTCATGAATTATTTATATTAAAAGCTATATTTACTATCATTTTATGATAAATATTAACGGGTTTTTTTTCATCAAAAGATTTTTACGTTAAAACCAACTTGGAAGCAACAATTATTATATGTGTGTCAAAAGCACTGCAAAGCCAATATAATGGAATAAGAGTGTTATTGATATGTTGAATCCGATTACAAAAATTGTTAAGGGGTGAAATTCTGAAGTTTACATTTTCACCATAATTTCATCTTTTCTCCTTGAATATTTAATATTTACTTGTTTTGCTGGCGGCAAATAAAGTTTTATAACGTACCTCATCATAAGGCATAAAAGTGTATTTAATAAATTTATTACATATTGAGAACAAAAAAATATTTTTTAAAATTTAAAAAATTAATAACTCAATGAGGCTTCATTTTTGAACTTTCATTCTAAATAAAATATGAGTTTTAATTGTAGACTTAGAGTTTGATGTGACGGATTTTTAATCCGTCGTTCTAACGGCAAGTTGAATAATTTGTTAAAAAAATATCTCAATGCTTAGAGCTTTAAAACATTATATTCGGATAAATTGATATAGCGCTTCTACTATACATTTGTTTCCATTTATCATTATCACTATACATTCATTCAATAATACAAAAAACGATAAAGTTGATACAAAATTAATAGCATAGTAACAATTGAAATTTATATATTCATAGCATAATAGCATTAAAATATAGATAAATATCTATCTTTTGATGTATCGGATTTTTGATTTATCCATTCTATCAAGAGATAATTGAGAATAAAACCCCCGACTTTTTTAATTTTTTCTCAGAAAAACACAAAAATAATACACATTATCTATTTAAATGAATGATGCAATTGTATGTACCTCAGAAAAATATGTAACATTTCATTACTTAATTTTGAAATTCAAAAATGAAATTTATATGAATAATTTTATTTAACATTATAATTTATTTAAACTATATTTTCTTTATCTATATAAGTAAATTATTATTTATTAATGCGAAATAGTTCTTTGATGCAGATTTCAGATTTATTCCAAATTATATTGTTTTACAGCAGAGCCTCAAAATGATGTATGTGCATTATCTCATGTAGACTTTTATATTTCATTTTATTATTTTAGCTCAAGCATAACAGATGAGTCAGAAAACAGACTTTTGTTTAGTATTGTAAACTTCAGAATTTCACCCCTTAAAACAAAGAATTTCTAGAAGCAATAGATATGCATTGGATGAATATAATTGATGGTAGAAGTGACATGACTATAGACTTACTTAAAAAACTTGAACTCCTTTCATCAACCAATATTTTGAAAATAATGATTGTTAATGTATTTTATAGAGATAACAATTGCACCGTTTGAGTGCTCATTCAAAATTTGTGAGATCTTATAAAATCAGAACCCATTGCGGTTTATAAAAAATTTTTTTCATGCTCGACCAAGATAATAATAATAACTCAAATCCAGAAGAGGAAGAAGCACATATCTCAGATGAAAAGAAAGATGAATCTAAACAGAAGGAAGATGAGCATATGAGATTAGGAGGACACACTCCTTTAGCAACAATTCTTCGTTTATCTCCTGGTCCTTTAATCTCACAAATTGTCAATTCATTGTATGGTGTTATAGATTCGATGTGGGTGACAAGATTCATTGGAGAAGTGGGTCTTACCGCTTTATCTGTTGCTTATGTCATTGATAATACTGCACTCTCATTTGGATATTTCGTTTCAACTGCTGCATCATCAGAAATTTCATATCTACTTTCAAATAAGGCTTATGATAAGATTAATCAAGTTACTGCTGACCTATTTCGAATTTGTATTATGATAGGAATGTTAATTCCAGCTATTCTCTTTCCGAGTTCTAAACCATTATTTAGATTTTTAGATGCTGGTGATGAAGTAATTAAAAAAGCTTTTGACTACGTAATACCTTTATTATCTCTAAACGTAGTTACATGTTTTTATCATTGCGTATGTGGAGTTTTACAAGCGGAAGGTCGAACATGGACATACGGAGGAGCTCAAATTGCTTCGATGATATTGAATATGGTATTATGGGATCCTATATTACTTTATCTACTCAAAAGGACAATTGGGTCGTCTTTGGCTACTGAAATTGCGATGTTCATCCCCGGTTTTATCATATTGATTTTAATATTCTGCCATAAGTTCGCAGCAAAGCCAACATTCAAGCTATTTAAGAATTGTTTCATCATAGAGACATGGGAGGCCGTCAAAATTGGCTTATCGGCACTCATTATGAATATTTCGGTTGTTGTTCCAACATTAGTCATGCAAAAGTTTATTGCTATACGCGCAAACAAAATCAATCAATACGATATGGTCATTGCCGTATTCAATGCTTTAACAAGACTTTATCAGCTTACATTATGTATTCCTATGGCCCTAAACGCTGCTTATCTCCCTGCAACGTCATATGCGTTCGGTCTTAATAACAAGAGACGTGTTCTGTGGCTGACATGGCATGTTCTTTGGATTGGCGTCACTTGGGGTATTTTTGTTATGATTATTATCTCAATTTGGCCAGGCCCAATAGCAAAAATCTGGAGTAGCCATCCTGACTTCCAGCATTGGGCAAAAGAAATGCTTCCTGTTTCTTTTTACACAATTCCATTATGTACTGTAAAATTCATTGTCATTTCGTTCTTGCAAGCTACAAAACAAGCAACAAAGGCAATGATCACAAGTATTGTTACAGAATTGGTTTCTTTACCTGTTTTTGCTTGTTGTTTCCATTACATAGGAAACAATGATTCTCCAACGAGAATTATTTACGCATACATTGTTAATGATCTGTTCTCAACAGCTGTATGTCTTTGCGTTTCTGGAACAACATTTTTCAGATTCTTCAAAGATATTAAGAATGGAAACACAAAGGACGAGTTCCCAATGAAGGAAATCGTTGAAGAAGATGATGACGATTCTCAACGCGTTATTCCTGAAATATAATTTATTGTTTTAATAAATATAAAGTATAGATTGCTATTATAAATGTAAAATTTGTATTTTTTGGCAGATTGTGTTTAATAGAGTCCGAACAATAAGAAACTTTTCAGATAATAAGAGTTAAGAGAAATTTCATAAAAATTTGACAAATCAATTCAAATTTATAATAATCGTAGTAATGTGTATAATATAAAACTAATATTAATCAACAAGAAAAAACGGTTTTAACTCACAAATTCAATTCAAAACTGGTTTTTAGCAACAAACTATTCGAAAATAATTGAATGGCATTTCTTGATGTAGCGAATCTGAAAAAAAATTGAGAGCTGCAGTTATGATTTGATACCCTCACTTCACAAATGTTCTCTGCATTCTTTGCTACTGCATCAAGCAAGCTTTTCTTGCAGCACGAGGAGAAGGCATTCCTTGACTGGATGCGTTCCACAAACAACATGTTTGTTGGCGATGAATACCACTTCCGCCTTGGTGTTTACAACACAAACAAACGCCGTGTTCAGGAGCACAACAGAGCTAACTCTGGCTACCAGCTTACAATGAACCACCTCTCCTGCATGACACCATCCGAGTACAAGGTTCTCCTTGGTCACAAGCAAACAAAGAAGATCGAGGGCGAAGCCAAGATCTTCAAAGGCGATGTTCCAGACGCTGTTGACTGGCGTAACGCTAAGATCGTTAACCCAATCAAGGACCAGGCTCAATGCGGTTCTTGCTGGGCTTTCTCCGTTGTCCAGGCTCAGGAATCCCAGTGGGCTCTTAAGAAGGGCCAGCTCCTTTCCCTCGCTGAACAGAACATGGTCGACTGCGTTGACACATGCTATGGCTGCGATGGTGGTGATGAATACCTTGCTTACGACTATGTTATCAAGCACCAGAAGGGTCTCTGGATGTTAGAGACAGACTACCCATACACAGCTCGCGATGGCTCATGCAAGTTCAAGGCTGCTAAGGGTGTTACACTTACAAAGTCATATGTCCGCCCAACAACAACACAGAATGAGGACGAACTCAAGGCTGGTTGCGCTAAAGGCGGTGTTGTTTCAATTGCTATCGATGCTTCTGGCTACGACTTCCAGTTGTACTCCTCTGGTATCTACAATCCAAAGTCCTGCTCATCCACATTCCTTGATCACGCTGTCGGTCTCGTTGGCTACGGCACAGAGAACAAGGTTGACTACTGGATCGTTCGTAACTCCTGGGGCACATCTTGGGGTGAGAAGGGCTACATCCGCATGATCCGTAACAACGGCAACAAGTGCGGTGTTGCTACAGATGTTATCATCCCACAGGTCGAGTAAATTTATTAAATAAATTGATTAAGATTTGGTGTTATAACTTACATTATATTTTTACACTACATTATTTTGACTTTTTATGAAAGATTTTTTTATATAATTTTCTTATTTTGATGAACTTCCATTTTTCACATGTTCTTATGTATGTTAATCAATAATTAATACTTTTTACCTATTTAATTTTTTCCGAAATCTCTAAAAAAATCTTGAATTTCAAAAAATGATAGTAAAATCTAAGAATTTTATTTTCATTTTTTATAAAATAAAAAAATTTGGAAGAATTATTTTCGAAATTGCCAGAAATGAGAGTTTGTGCTTCCTCTTGAATAGAGATTCCAATTCAGTAGATGACATAATTGATACGTACTTAAGCAACTGTTCAATTTCCCTATGTTATTCGCCCATCATCATTAATAACTTTCTCTTATGACATTAATTTCACTATAGATAAATTAGACCTTTAGTGTCAGATTTATGGTAAACTCTATTTTTCCATTACGCTTATCCGAAATATTTCTATTTTATTTAAATCATTAGTTTGATCTTTAAACATCTTTAGATGGAAACAAACTAATGGTAGATCGATGATTCTTATCATTACTTATTAGTTTTGCCATCAAATGGAAACAAATTGATCTTGGCTTTTCTCAAATTTTGGCATACGCTTCATATTGAAATTCCACAGCAAATTATATAGCTCTTGAGCTAGTAAAACAAGTTTACACTCCAATTTGCGATTTTTTTCAGATCATTTTGATGCACTATTATTACTATATACATTGTTGTAAACAGAAATTCATCAAAAGTGACACCTCAGAAAAGCTAAAATTTTGAATTTTTGGAACTTTTGATAGAGCACGTTTTTAAATATTAATTAAAGTAAATGTATATTTTGTAAAGATTCTTTTTAATAAAAAATAAAATTTTGAAGAAGAACACAAAATCTTCTGAAAAATAATATCACATAAACTCATATTATTTTCTAATATATAACTATTTTATATAAAAATCAAATTCAATGATCTTAAAAGCGAAGGATAAACCTCAAAATTTACGAATATAATGAGTGGGAATATAATGCTTATCTATCATAAAACCATATGAAATATTAATTTTTGCTTTACGCCTAATTTTTGACGACAATTAGCAAAAAATGTTAAATGTTAACACTCAGTCCATTTGAATATGAAAAATAAAATTGACTTTGATTAAATGTTTTTATTTATCATGCAATTCTTCTTGCGACCAAAGATTTGAATAAAAGTTCAAAAAATAAGATAGCTTAAAAAATAATATACGGTAGCGTTTACTAATAGATGAATAGTATATAAATTCTATTAAAATGGATTTGATCCAAAAAAATATAAAACCAAAAATAATTGTTATAATTTAAATGAAGAAGTAATTTAAAACGATTTTATTTATGATCAAATTTTATATATTTTTTTGGATCAAATCCATTTTAATAGAATTTATATACTATTCATCTATTAGTAAACACTACCGTACATTATTTTTTAAGCTATCTTATTTTTTGAAATTTTATTCAAATCTTTGGTCGCAAGAAGAATTGCATGATAAATAAAAACATTTAATCAAAGTCAATTTTATTTTTCATATTCAAATGGACTGAGTGTTAACATTTAACATTTTTTGCTAATTGTCGTCAAAAAGTAGGCATAAAGCAAAAATTAATATTTCATATGGTTTTATGATAGATAAGCATTATATTCCCACTCATTATATTCGTAAATTTTGAGGTTTATCCTTCGCTTTTAAGATCATTGAATTTGATTTTTATATAAAATAGTTATATATTAGAAAATAATATGAGTTTATGTGATATTATTTTTCAGAAGATTTCATTCTATATGCCTATGAAAAGTACTCTCAAAACTAACTTTTTCCTAATTATAATTAAATCTAGAATATTGTATTATGCTTAGTATTATTTCATTTTTCTCATTCAATTTAGAATTTACAAATGTCAAAAAATTGAGAGCTGTCACTTTTGATGAATTTCTGTTTATTACAAAACTACTTGGACAAATATGAAACAAGCATTCAGGCAATACTTTTGAGACTTCAACGCATCTGATAATTTTTATATAACTTCACCTCTTATGCTTAGAGTGGAGGTATTGAGATCGTATAAGTATAGATGAGCTCACATTCAGATATGATGTGTGAACTTCTGTTTTCACTGCAATTTTGAATCAGAATAAACTCAAAACAAGAATAAAATGATATACTCACTCTCTAAATGTGTTCGAGATTTAAAGTTGTATGAATAAAACGATTCATCTTTCGAAGCCTCCCATTTAATGAGAGACTTCGAAAGATGAATGTATTCATGTAGATGAAATACTATATATGACCATGTGTGATACTAAAGATATCAAAATGTTCATTTTTAAGTGCAATAGAAGGGTTATCTCTCGTAAAATCTCAATTTAAGGAAGATTTAGAAAGAACTCCTTTCCTAAGTAGATAGTGTGTGGTTTCTGTCTTTTGGTTGATCAGGAACTATGAAATTAAGTCGGACAGAAAGAAGTTCTTTCCAAAACAGACTCCAAATGAGTTGTTCGAAAAGAACTTCCTTCTGTATATGGATAATTGTAGTTACCGCACTGAAGTATGTGATTGTGATGATGGAGTTCTCGATAAATCTAAAATCGGATTAAGATTAATTGAAAACTCAAGTAATTCTTTGAAATCTTGTGTTGTCTGGCACTATAATAACCAAAGAATGAGAATATTATGTTGAATGATGAGTACGTGTGCTCGGCATTCGCCGAGCGAATTGAGTTTAACGTACTATGAAAAGTGACAAATTTGGGCTTTTTTTCCTAGGGTTATGATCTCTTCCTTTCTGCTAAATACGACAGAAATGAAAGAATGAATTTGTACTCCCTAATTGATTACTACAATCTGTATCTATCTTTAACATAGAATTAGCTGCATTGTGATTTATACTCCAGAATTATTCAATTTAAGATCAACCTCGTAAATTTTAATCATATTGCACCAATACTCCTACGTTGAGATAAGAACATGATTATACATACCAAAGCCCCATATTAAAAATCAAAATTTAGCACCTCCATTATGCAACCACATTATTCGTCGCAAATAAGTATATTTACGCATATTATGATGCATATTCACACAACTCGTATACATGAAAAGTTATTAAAATCAGACAAAATTATTGCAATAAGGAAAAAAAAACAACTTTATTATATATGTTAGTAATGAATTACAAATATTTCTACAAAGAATGCTCAATACTTCATATAATCTTCGAATATTTCTTATTACAAGTTAATACATTTTGACTCGAACATGATAAACAAAAGCTGACACGCTGATTACTACATTTATGAAAATATAGTACGTTTCCATTCATCTGTTTACGTGTTTTTGTTGGAAAAAAATCTTTTTTTTTCTTTCATGAAATAAGAATTTTGCTGCGAAAGCAATATCTCTAACAATAATTAATACATTACGTCAACTCTGGAATGAGTATTTATCAAATATGATATCAAAATCAAAAATTAGTTGTTTTTTATGAGTAAAAACGATGTAAATTGATTATTTGACTAATTATCAAATACTTTGATTTTCCAAATTTTTTTCGAAATTGATTTTTTCATGTGAAAATTCAAATTGTTTAATTTCATTTTTGAAATTTTGAATTTTTTTTGGAATTTTGAGTTGATCAATTCAGCAGAATTGATAATGCTATTGCTTTAGGGCATACCACAAGGTGATGAATAAAAGGTGAACATTAACAAATTATTTTAAATCACAAATATCATCCTCATCAACTTTAATTCTAAAAAGAACTGTACTGAATTATGAAAATGCATGATTTACATTATTAAAATCTTTGAATGAAAATAGTACAAGATAAGTTTTTATTCATTTTTAATTAGATTTAAACGAAAAACTACTCCATATTAAAATTTAAGTCGAGAAATCGTATTTTGTTCTTATTTGTTAGCATTTTGTAGACATTCTAATCTTGAATTAATTTGTTACATGATATTATTATTAACAAATTTAACTGAAAAAATATGTTAATATGGAATAAACCATGATTATATAAGCTATCAATGCTATATATACATATGTAAAAGATTCATATTAACTCAATTAACAAAAATGATAGATTTTCATAAAGGTTCAATCTAGGTTCGTTAGAAAATTTTGATTTTTATATAGAAGACATAGTTTCATATACATAATTAAATTTTCAAACAAATTTGATCATACCATTTATTAAGCAGGATAGTATATTAATTACTATCAGTATAAAAATATAAAAATGATTATATTTAATTATTGCATAATTTAGTCAAAGAGTTATAAGCCTCAAGTGATCGTTATCACCTTCAATGCACATATACTTTATTGATTCATAGATATTTAATCTATGTTTGACATGTTGTTGTCGTCATTCGTTTTGTTCCCATTCTTCCTAAGTTAGAATTAGAGAATACACCATCCACATCATCTAATTTGGTCCTCAGCGATAGATTGGTTCATTTTGGAGGAGTCCCATCAGACAGTTTTCGAGCACCAAATATCAAATTTTAATGTATACAAATCTTTAGTGATTTATCTCTTTTATGATGAGTAAAAGGTTTCTGCTCATCAACATTTGATTTCCGACATATATGATTTCTAATTGCAATTATTTACTTTCTTTTTATAATCTAACTCTGTGACTCATACCATAAATTAATTATTGGAAAGTGTCAATATGTTTGGCACAACGCATGGCGGAAGATACCAAACCATGCAGGGAATATGATACGTTTAAGATCTCCGAACTTTTTTTCCAAAAATTTTCTATCGTTGCCCTACCTCTTTGAATGCTGACTTTCAGAATTAAATATCTATTATATAAACAACAAACATTAATATTTTCATGTCAAAATATGTGATTTGTTTTCCGACGACGATGAAATATGACGGTTTTTTACTTTATCGAAATGGAAGCATCAGCTCTCATGAGACCATACAAGGTTGAACTGCTTAAGCAGCTCCCACAGGACTATTCACTTATTTTCAAGTGGTTCATCGCTCTTACAGAGCTCAACAGACCATCTTATCACACAAAGGAAGCCATGGCAACAGTTATTGAATGGTTTAAGAAGATGGGCGCTACAGCAGAGCCAGATACATACGGCAACTGCCTCTTCACAATTCCAGCTACACCAGGCAAGGAGAACGTTCCATCTCTTGTCATCCAAGGCCACTTAGACATTGTCGCTGTTGGCAAGTTCGAAGAAGGTGGCAAAGTCCCACTCAAGATCGAGAACGGCTACTTGACATCCGGAGTCTCCACAATCGGTTCTGATGACGGTATCGCTGTTGCTGTCATGCTCGCATTGTGCGAAGACAAGGACAAGTTCGAGCACGGCCCACTCGAGTTCCTCGTCACAGTCGATGAGGAAGTCGGCCTCTACGGAGCTACAAAACTCCCAGGACCACCATATATCAAGTCCCGCGCCCTCCTCAACATCGATTCCGAGGAATGGGACACATTCTACACCTCCTGCGCCGGTGGCATCAACATGTTCTACGAATACGACGTTCATCGTGACGAATACGCCGGAAAGACCCTCAAAGTCGCCGTTACAGACTTCGTTTCCGGCCACACAGGCCTCATGATCAACGAAGGACGCGCCAACGCCGTCAAATGGATGGTTCGCCTTCTCCAGGAGACAAAGAACACAATTCCATTCCGTCTTGTCGATATCGCAGGCGGCGACAAGCACAACGCCATCCCAGAATCATGCGTTGCCCACGTTGTCGTTGAAAATGTCGACGCATTCAAGGCAAAGATGACAGAGTTACACCAGGCCGCATACAACGAGTACAAGGCCATCGAGAAGAAGAATCCAAAGATTAATTTCGAGGAAGTCGAAGCCAAGAAGGCAATGACAGAAGCAGATTCCACAAAAATCTTAGATCTCATCACAACTCTCTACCACGGCGTCTGGATGATGCATCCAGAGATTAAGGGACTCGTCAATACATCACAGTCTGTCTCAGTTACAAAGTTCGACGGAGATCACCTCTTCATCAACGTTTTCGCACGTACAAACGAAGTTACACAGATGGAATTCCTCATCAACACCGCCGAAGCTGTTGGAAGAATGGCCGGTGTCACAGTCAGGATTCCAAAGGACGAGATGGTCAAGCCGTGGCCAGCAGCACTCACATCGAGAATCACTGACTCCTCTGTCTCCGCTTTCGAGAAACTCTACGGAAAGAAGCCAAACATCACTGGAATCCACGCTGGACTTGAGTGCGGCGCAATCCAGAACCAGGGATATCCAGACTTGGAGGCAATCTCTTTCGGTCCGGAAATCCACGGCGCACACACTGTAAACGAGGAGGCTGAGATCGCTTCCTGCTGCAAGTGCTACCAGCTCGCTTTGGAGATCGTAAAGGAGTGGGCAAAGTAATTTAACAAAAGTTAGTAAAAAAGGATTTATATTCTATTTTTTTCAAAAAAATACTGATTTTTTTTCCCTCTCTCATAAATATATGCATCTAGATAAACCATATAAATAATACATACACTTGTTTCTGGAAATAATTAGACACTTCTGGAATAATGTTAACATGAATTCAAGAAATGAGAGGAAAAAAAAGCTATCTGATTTCATGTCCAAATAAACAAGAGTCGGACTAATAGTCTGCATTTTATTCAAAGCTTTATAATCTAATTCCCCAGTGAATCTCACCTATCCTACGATATCAATATCGGTTTATTTGAAATGCTATTTTTATGTAATTTTCTCTGTGTTCACTATCAAATAGAGCTGAAAGACTAAATTCTTATATTTTTACGAGATATAGATGTCTGCTATCTAAAGAAGACATTCGGTTTCAAATGAAATATTTGTGTTCTTAAATATCAGTAGTGGGTGTTATTTGTTGTGAATTTTTATATGACAAAAACCAGTCAGATAATTTGAAACCTCCCAATTTGAAAACGTTAGTGTAGAATATCATAAAAAAATTTAAGAAGTATTGAATAAATAGTTCATTGATTAAGAATGTATTTGTAATCGACTTAGAATCAAATGCTTGCACAAACAAACTTATGTTAATAGATGTCCATTATATATATTTGTATTTGTATGGGGGTAGATTGATATTTCACATCCATAAGAAAAAAATTGATTTTAAATTTGACTTCGAAAAGGTTTATTAGACATGAGTAAATAGAAAAATTTAATATGATTTCTAACATAAAATTTATCTTCGTTTTCTTCGTTCTCCTCATTATTTGGAGTGGAATGACGACATTTATACTTTAATGAATCGACAACTTCTAATTTAAAAAGAGGACATTCGTTTTCAAATGAAATATCTGTGTTCTTAAATATTGGTGAACTACCATATGATTTATTGTTATCTGTAATTGAGTTTTCAAATGTTATTGCTGGATATACACTAAAAATGTATTTAATTTCATTTTGAAGAATACAACAATAACTCATGAAAACATCAGACCAAGAAGAATAAATCAGAAAACTTTTATCATCTGGACTTTTATTTCTTATATAATTACATGAAGTAACTTTAAATATTGATGAAGAATCATAATAAGATGAGTGATGATTAAAATCACCTGTTGATTGATTGTTTTCAACAACATTGACACAAGTGATGTATGAATCAGAGGTAGCTTCTTGAACCCAGTAACCTCCGCAATCTTTTTTGACTCTATTTTGTGTAATGTTGCATTCATTCATGATACAAAAACCTCGATACATGGCAGTTAAAATTCTGCAGTCTTTTTCTGAACTTCCGCAGTTGTAAACTGTAGTTTCATTAGTATAATCTTTGTAATTAGGCTGTTCTGAAACCCATATGTAAAATGATGGTCCAAGACCTGTATTTGTTGAGTTGATGTATGAATTTTTTGTTTGAACAAATTCGCCTTTTTCGGAAAAGTAGAGAGAACCTCCGTTTTGTGTGGAGGAACAAGAATCGAATTTATTTGTTTCTGCATATGCTTTAACGTTATCATTTGTTGAAGAAATTCTAACAGCTCCATCTGGACTTAATCCAAGAAAAAAACAACTGGAAACAAGGTATTTTAAGTTATTAGTTCTTGAAAACGGAGAATTATTATGAAGATGGTCTTCATCATAGCATGATCCTGGGAATACAAATTCCCAGGATATTCTAAATTTTGGCCAGCCAAATAAAAACGGCTTCATAAAAATGGTAATTTAATTTTTGATGAGCGGAATGAAATATCAACAAGTTTTGTAATAACTACATTACAGTCCTTGGCGCCTAAACCGAATCTTTTCTATTTCCAATATTTGTACAAATTTAGTAGAAAAATATTCAAGAATTAATTCCATTTGCACTTATATTGCATTTTGATCCAAATAGGCACATAGCTACCATATCAGATGATGCCTTTTCAGCGACTTATTTTTGTAATATTTGTTTTCTTTAGCAAATCATTGCTTTAGCTTTTTGAATTTTCCTCAAAAATAGACACAACTCATATGTACGGGTTACATAAATGCTAATTTCTTTTTATATCGGATCAAGTGAAAAATTTAAATTAATTTATCTCATATTTTCACTTAATGAATTATATCAAAATTCCTCCCTGCCATCTCGATTTTATATGTCTTTCTGGATCTTGCTGCATTGCTTATATTTATTCATTTTATTTGGTTGTTTCGAAATCTTCATGGAAATTCTTAAAAGTAAATGGCTCATTAGAATTTCAATTTCAAGTTTTAACAGCATGGATATAAAGCTCCTAAATTTGATATATTTGAAGAACGCAAAAGCATACCTTGATGACTAAGAAAAATAAGTGCTAAATGTTTTGCAATCGGAAAATGCTGTTTATTCGCCTAAAACAGTATCAGAATAAAAATAATTAGAACTAATTTCGATTTTTTTTTCAAATCCTACATTTTTATGGAAAATTTTTCAAGTTCAAGAATCAGAAGATATTTCGAGTTAATAAGAAAAATAACATACAGGAGATTATCAAGCACCAACTTATTCTTTTATTAATTGATTACACTGGCAATTGAATCATTGTGTCTAGTCGGAAAATTACATTTTATTACTTGGACTTTGGACTTTCAAACATAAAAGTGACAAGACAATAGTCGTCTTCAGATTTATATTGGTTCTCATTCTATATTTACATAAATGACTATCTAATAACAAAATGCTTTGCTGCATCTTATTTATATAATTATATATAATTCCCCTTTGACAACTGTTATTTCTGATTTTTTTTTTAATTTTTTTTTTCAACCAATAAAAGATTTGAGGAGACTATGTTTTGATGATTTACATACAGAAACAAGATTTTAACACATATTTATTGGCTGTCGTTCAGAATTTCGAGATTTGAAATGGTTTCGACTCTTTTTATTTGATTTTATGCTATTATGATAAATTGCTCTAACCATTTTTATTCCAAATAGAAAATGGAAATGCATATAAAAAAATTATTTTTCCAATTTCGTTTGGAAAATAAAAATCAGAAAAAACAAATGATCTTTAACATGTCATAATCAAAATGTTTATTAACTTTGATTATTTAAACCATTCAGGCTTCTTAGATTTGAGAATTTTGGTAAGATCGTTGTTATCTTTAACAGAATCCTGAATGAACTTCATAAATGTATCGTGGGCCTGTTTTGTGGCTTCATCCTGGAAGAAATTGAAATCATTGAAGAAAGAAAGGATTTCTGTAGCCATATCCTTGGATTTCATCTTGAGGAGGAGTAATGTGTTAAGGAAGCAATCAGTATCCAGGCAATCGCTAATCTGCTTCTTGGAATATTTGTTATAGAACTTAGCGATGTACGTTGGAAAGACCTTTGTAGCATTTGAGTAATCCTTATCGAAGCACTCTGTGAACATATTCATTATCTTGTTATGGTCAGTGATCTTATCGAGCTGTTCTGTAATAAGTGCTTTAAGGATAGAAATCCTGTAGAAGATAGCGATTTCGAGTAGGGGCATGAGTTCATCTTCGGATAAGGTAATTTGGCCGCAGTAGAGGAACTCAATAACCTTTTCTAATTTACCTTCTGGATTTACAGTGATGTCAATCCTTCTTTCGCTGGATCCTTTGAATGTATCACCGGATGTGAAGTTATCCTTGAAGAATTCGGAGCCATTTGCAAGAACAATTTGGTGGCACTTAAGTTCTTTTCCATCTGCAACAATTGTGCAGTCGGCAAGTTCGCCAGTCTTATAGTAATCAAGGAAGTCCCACAATGGGTCAAGGTCGATTTCAGTATTGTAGTTTGGATCTTGTTTATCGCTCATAGCTTGAACTTTTTAAAAAATGAATTTTGTCATGTTTTTTTGGCATAGTTTTTAGAAAAGTGACAGTTCTTAGAAAATGTTATAAATATATAATTATCGATTGTACTGATAGATGTATTTAAAATAGACTGCACTTGGAAAAATTCCAACATAAAGCCGGAAAATTTTTCACTATTTTTTTTGTGAAAGTGGAAAAATTTCATATCTTATGATTTCAATGAGTTTTGAGATTTATAGAGCTTTGTATTCATAGAGCACTTTCATTATCTTCTTGTTCGATCAGTTACTCAGCTAAACATGTAAGATTTCTTCATGAATTCGCTGAAATTAATTGAATAACTTAAAGATGCTGTGATATACAAATTATGTAATTAGAAAAGCTTATATAAAGTTCTGTAGTAGTTTTCAATGCCCTATCTGGGCGATAATATATGTGCTTATTTTTCATTTCATTTCTTGATATGCACAGACGCTTCTAAATATCATAATTTAAAAATAATATTCTCAGATTATGTGCAGATTCATTCCAAAGATAAGACATGGAAATAAAAACCAAAAATGGATACGAAATAATTTTTAGAGGAAGAATTAGACCGTAAAATAGGAAAGCAAAATAAAAAAAGTCGTACAGCCCCTAAAATTTACAACTAAATGCTCTACAATCGATGATTCAAATTTACAAATAATTTAGTTTTTATATTTTCTTTTGTCTACACAATTTAATAAAGCACATCTTCTTCAGAATCTATTTTAATCTGATATCCGAATGCAATCTTATTTTTTGACACTTTTTTGTCATTATGACATCGTCACCCACAGTAAAAGTTGTCCTCCTTGGCGACAGTGGCGTTGGCAAAACAAGTATTGTTAATAGATATACAACAGGCGTTGTCCAACTTTCTGTTAAGCCAACAATTGGTGCTGCTTTCGTAACAAAAGAAATATCAGTAGAAGGAAAAGATTACGAATTGCTTATCTGGGATACTGCAGGCCAAGAAGTATACAGAGGCCTTGCACCTATGTATTATAGAAGCGCAGCTATTGCTATCATTGTTTATGATTGCATCCGCCCTCAAACTTATCAGTCAGTTAGCTACTGGATAAAAGAACTCCGCATGAATGTCGATAAGAATACTGTAATAGTTGTTTGCGCTAATAAAATAGATCGCGAAGAACCAAAGAATCCAGAGTCTGAAGTTGCTCAGAAGTTCGCTTTCGACAACGGCGCTCTCTTCATCGAAACTTCAGCAATATCCGGTATTGGTATTGATCGACTTTTCCAAATGGCCGTATTAGAATACAGCAGATCAGCTCCAGAACCAGTAGAACCAAAGGCTCCGAACAACAATGTTAACCTCGAGCAAAGCAAGGAAGATAAAGGAGGTTGCAGCTGCTAATTTTTTTTTTATTCTGGATTTCATTATATTATTTCTTTTTCTATATTACATTTTATTAGATGTTCTAAACTTTTAAACTTTTTTAAAAAACTTTGAACTAATTGATATTTATATTTTGGATATTTCTGAACCAATTAATAACGAAACAATGAAGTTCATCATCTATTACCGAATTATAGTTTATTTTTATGATATTTTGAGCCAGTTTTATTATTTTTTTTTAATCGGAGAATGTTAGTCTCTCCATTAATTTTTTTGTTCCTCGCAGCTTTTGTTTTGATATTCATTGTAATGTTCTCAAGCAAAATTGTACAGAATAACCTCAAAGATCGCTCGTTTTACCAAGATTATCTAAATTCAATTACAAAAAACTTAAACAAAAATGCACAACAAATCCAATTTAAAGCCTCAGATACAATCGAATTTTCAATTATATCCCACCTTGATTCATTATTGGCTGCCGATATTGAATTATTTTTCGAAAAGATAGAATTCATTGAAAAAAGATTCAAAAATTCTAATTTTGAGATTGTTTTGGCAATTGATGGTCCACAAAGAACTCTTCCTGATTCTCTTTCAAATTTTATTAATAAGAAAAAAGCATATCTAAATATATTCTTTACGTATATCAATGGTATATCATATTTTATTGCAGGTGGATTACGTTCCCACGGAAAATATTTGATTAACTCGGATTATTTAAACAAATTAGGAAATAATTTTATCAATGATGGACGCCAATATATTACATTTATTAATTATGTAGATCCAGATCCTTTACCTAGCTATGAACCATCCATATTCTATAAAATTGGTGCTATTACCTTTGATGCCTTCCATTCCGTCTTCAAAAACGTTCACAGCTTGAATATGGCTTCCTCTTATGAAGTACTACAAATTTGTAAAGGTCTTCAAATCCAAGTTCAAGTAATTGATGTTGAAAGTGATTTCACTCATGATATTAAGGAGATCTACTTGAGAAAATTCGCAATTGCTTATGTGCACTTGCTTTATCAATCTAAGATATATGTACTTAAATAAAAATTTAATTATTATTTCGATTTTTATTGGCGTTTTTAAACAATACATTTAGCAGTCTTGATAATAAGGTTCTAATGAGCTGTATTTAAATCTTAAGAAAGCTATTTTTCTGAAACAAATTTCTTTGAAAAGACAATAAACTTTATTTTGATTTACTAATGACCGAGGGAGACATTACATGGATAAAGGCCGTGCATTCCATTTGCTCTCTAACAGTTTACAGTTTTATTACAGGAAATGAAATTGCAAAATGAGTATTGGTTTAGCAATAATATATTAATTTCTTTATTATAAAGAAGAAACATTAAAATAAAGAGGTTATGTTACATTTGATTTTAACCAAATTTTTAAAAACAATAGAGTTATAAAGATGTAATCAAACAAGATGAAAGCACTTACTATAGACAATTCAAATATAGAATTCAACATCCCATATAATGGGAATCAGGGGGAGTAACCATCACAGTTAGACATCCTATTTCTCCTGTACTCTTCTCACACATACCAATATATATGCACAATAATGATTTCTTCTAAGTAAATTAATTAATAAAAAATTGTAGTGAAGTTGAGTCCCTCCTAATTTTGAAAACTTTGAAAAGATTTCCGAAAAAATATATCGCAAGAATCGTAACATGCAGTTGATGCATAGCAATACTTCTTGAGTAAACCCTATTCTGAGGATTCAATAATATCAGAAATATCTCTCAATTTAAAACCCATCATTGAATTTGATTAAATCCAAGAAAACAGATTCCTACATAATTATCAAGAAGAATTAATAATATATCTGTTAATACAATTCGAATTGAAAGATGTTCTGAATTTTGAAAGATGTTCTGAAAAATCGTAAGGAAAATTTACAGGTTTCCCGATATTTTAAAAAGAGTGCATAAAACATGTAATCATTTAATTAAATGAAGTCTTAACTGAACTTTGAACCCTCTCAATTAAATTCAATGGCATAGAAAACTGCTCATTGAAATCCTTCTTCATTTATAAATCTTGGCCGAAATTCATTAATCTCCTGTTGCAGAGAATAATTATGGAAACGTTTTTGAGTTATTTGAATTTTCAATATTTTATTTTTTACGATTAAAAAGAAGTGACTCACTTTAATTCTCATAATTGATTTCATCTTTATTTATATGCTTAACCATGCATATTTAAAATCTAGTGTATTTTAAATCTAACGTATTGTTTTCAATTTGTTTGAATCATCTCAGTCAAAAATTTCAAATAATTTCAAACTAAACAAATATTTCTTTAGATACATTTGAATCAAATAAAAATTATAACATATTTATATATTCCTCATCGGATTTCAATTGGTCCATGAATTTAAATGGATCAATATCTTCTTTAATTTGAGGTTCTATGATATTTGTGATTTCTTTTTTATTTTTAGTAGTGGGCTTTCGTTTCTTTCCTAAAGTGCATCGTAATACATATTTACAGTGATACCTGCATTGAACGTCTGATTTTGAGCCAACATATTTTGAAATTTTGATCCAAGATTTTTGCCCGAATTTCTGGACAGCTTCAATGAGCTTCTTATCTTCTTCGTCTGTCCATGGAGATCTCGAGACTGTAGGGTTTAAAGATCGAATCCATCTTTGCGAGCATTGAAATTTGTTCCGACCGTTTCCAACATAAGCCGAAACTTTGGCCCAATCACCTTTCCCGAACATTAGAACTGCTGCAATTAGTCTTTTATCTTCATAATCGGTCCATACGCCTCCATGAATTTTTTTAAGAGAAATTGGCATCTTCTCAACTGGTTTTGGAGGTATTGGATCTGATAACGTTGCTAGAACATCATTGATAAACACACTAATTTTGCATCCCGGAAGAATTGATTGTATTTGGCGATTTGCCTCTGCAAAAGTTAATAATCGCAAAGTCTGATTTTTGGCTATTTCCTTGATCTGACTTGTTGTCTTTGGATCAATATCATCTGGATATTCAATCTTCTTAAGACATGTCTCAATAAAGATAGCCACGTTCTCGTTCATTGAATAAAAATATTTTTTTGCTGTTGTCGATAACTTTTGAATAAACATTAAAAAAATTGAGAGAAACTCTATAAACATTTAAATTCATCTTCTTATAGATGTTCCATAATTGATATTTTCAGGTTTGTAACATGATTATCTTTTTGAAAAAACCATTGAAAATCTAAATTTACTCAAAAACTAAGGATGTCAATTTGGAAGAAAAGTGAGAAAATTCCTAAAATGCTAAAAATGAATTTTCCAAACGTACTTTTTTATCTCATTTTTTTGATTTTGAAAAAAATTTGGAGAGAAGAACTCTTCGTTTTTGAATTTTGTCACGATGGTTTTAAAGTATATTAGACACATGTATTGATATTACTATTTTTGTATATTTTGAGAGAAAATCCCTAAAAAGTAAGAAAATCTAAGACGGTTTGAGAAAATATATAAACTATTGAAAATTTGAATTAAACTTCTAATTTGGAAAAAAGAAATTTGGAAAGAAGAAAATTCAAAAATCGAGATTTATACTCAGTATCAAATGGAGAACAAAATGTTTCTTCATATGAAGGAAAAAATTTTCTTGAGAAGAAATAGAGTTTTTAAAATTTTATTGTATGTAATGAAATAAACAAATATTAAAATTATTTTTTGATAACAAGAAAATTCCCAACAGAAAATATTTGAGACAAAGAAAAAAAGAAAATTGAAAAATATTACTCTCCTTTACATTTCATGAGATTTTCAATTTATTTTCATAAAATTGACAATTTTATACGTTTAGATGAAAATAAGTGATTTTGCTTGAAATAAAAATTATTGTTTGTTTACAGCTATCAAATAGATTTTTGCTATTTTGATTAAAATTTGTTAATCAAATTAATAATTTTTTTTCTAAATATCTTAAATATCTGGATCACTCACTGATACGATGAATTAAACGATAAAAATAATACAAACTCAACTAAGTTTCCTGTCTTTCAACCAAAAAATATTATGCAATTTAAATTAAATTGTTTATTCAAAGATAAAACAAAGATAAAGTAATTATAATTATCATATACTTTATGAATAACTCTCTAATTGGATAAGATTTTCGTACAAATATTTTTATTAATATCGATAAGAATATGTTTACCTACTATCACCATATGTCGATAAACGAGAGTAGAGTGATTTTTATCATCGAAACTTTTTAAAAGCTGTAAGCAGGAAGTAATAATCTTGTTTTTTCTGAGTTAGTTGTAGAACTATTGATGCCCGAGTTATCATTGTGATGCAGAAGGATATCAATGTACTGACTGAAGGATATGAATTGAATTGAATTTTATTGAATTTCAATTTGATCAAAATTTGTTGAAATGATATGAATGTGTCAACTTCTGTATCATTCTCCTTCACTCCTTCCTTATTCTTTCAAGAACGAAGCTAGCTCAGCTTTCGCTGAGCGAATTGACACTTTTCATGCCCTAAACGTACATACTCTCAAATTTATCGAAAAAATTAATACCACCTAAACTAGTATATTCTTATTTTAAATATGATATTATCCTTATATTCCACACTAAAATTCATTTAAATCAACTTTTAAAAAAGTTCGAATCCTGCGCGTCTCACTTTTTAAATTTTCCAAATGGAAAATTATATTCTCCTAAAGTGAAAACAATTTCCCAAATTGACTTCCTTACAAAAACCCTATATAATTCGTATTTTTCGTTAAAAATCTTAGTAAAATAGTATAGTAAAAGCATTGGTATATTAAGTATCTCTTAAATTTTTGAAAAGATTTTTGTATTTTGAATATTACAGAAAAATTTAGTTAACGTAATTATGATCGATTTACGATATATCCAATACTATGGCATATCTCAACAAATTTAGAAAAAAATGCTATTTATGAAGAAATTGCATATTTTCTTGGATAATTATTATCATTGCACTTTAGTGTTTTATACAATCCCTAAAAAGTTAATTAATCATGTCGTTTTGCATAATTTTTGTAATTGATGTATTAACGTTATACATATTATAATGAACCTAATATTATAATTTTTTGTAAATTGAATGGAGTAAATGACTTAACAAAAATTGAAATCTTGTTCTCAATTTTTTTCTTAATAAATTCTTTCTTGTATTTTTCATTATTTATTCTATTTATTCTTTCCTATGTTGACAATTAGGCATGCTTTTGCGTTTTATAAAATTTTGGCTGTTTTTCCTCATTTTACTAACTTATTTTGTTGAATTACTCAACATAAGGGTTGCTGATAAAATTCAAATCATAAATATCATGCAACCAATCAATACCAACAAAGTTTAATTAAAATAATTCACTAATCATTATTCTGTAACCTAAATATCATTTCATACAAATGGTTATATCATTTACCTTATTTAATATAACAAAATTAGTTAACATCAATTCATTATCTAAAATGCTGATTCATTTCTATATTTTATTGCATTTTGTTTTCAAATTCTAAATTGGATTTTTTATTTTTGGATTCAAATGAATAAAAATCTTATATTACATTACTTTGCTATTGGGCACTATAAAAATATATTTCTTAATGATATATTCTGTTGGTTCTATTTTGAATTTATATATATACCATATAATACCATTAATAGTGAACATTTTTATGTGCAATTGGGAATAGTGCCCATTACCTAACTAGTCCTTGTCTTAAAGATATCGAATAAAAATTAGAATGTGTTTGATAAAAATATGCTTTCTTTCATTTTATTAGTTGAGTATGAGAACTCTTATTTCATGGTGGATCTTTATTAGGAAAATAACAAAAAAACCAAAATAACTACAATAGGAATTCATATTGAAGGCTGTATATACAACTACAATGATCTGACCGATAAATTAAACTATATTGATATATCGACATGCTAGCTGAAATTGATCAAATCGGGATTCAATTTGTTTTAATGTATTTTGATTGCCTAGTTAAAGTATAAAATAAGTATTGTATGCGCATTCAACAAATGAACTATGATCTTAATGAATATAAACTAACGATATAAAAATGTGGCAAACCGAGTAGGTGCCAAAAGTGCTTACTCTTAAACAACCGTCGGATTTCCGGGTGAAATCGTGACACACTTTCGTCTTTCGTAGGCAGTGGTGGTTGTTACAAAAGGTAACTTCGAATGTAGCGTGAAATCTGCAAAAAAAATTCTGAAATTTGAATGGAGAACACAAAAATTGAATAGTTTACGTCAATAAAAAAGAGAAAAATGAAGCCAATGTGTCTCGAACCTAGGACTTAGAGCAGCAATCCCACTGTTTATCCCATTACACTACATGCATCTCTCACCTCAGTGAATGAGATCAACTATATGATAACTTTTTCCCCATTATATTCTTGTGGAAAAGTGACAAATAGCAACTTTGACCCTCTCTCTGTGGCAAACCCAAATTTTAGCTAAAAGTGACAGGAAAAAAAAACGTTTAGTATTAAAAAAAAGACCGATGAGAGCTTCGTTCGAAATATAGAGGGAACTGAGAATGCGCAACCATTCTCAGGGAATATTGGATGCTATTCCCGTTCCCTCTGTATGGAAAATTGAGGTTTTCAAAGGGAGTTAAAATAATATCAAATTTATACTAATTTACTTCAAAATACAAAAGTATTTGACAGCTAAAATTAGTTACTTTAGCAAGCCTATCAATACCCTTTTACGATTATTGTTACTTTTTCGAAATAAAAGTAAAAACAAATTTATACTAATTTACTTCAAAATACAAAAGTATTTGACAGCTAAAATTAGTTACTTTAGCAAGCCTATCAATACCCTTTTACGATTATTGCTACTTTTTCGAAATAAAAGTAAAAACAAATTTATACTAATTTACTTCAAAATACAAAAGTATTTGACAGCTAAAATTAGTTACTTTAGCAAGCCTATCAATACCCTTTTACGATTATTGCTACTTTTTCGAAATAAAAGTAAAAACAAATTTATACTAATTTACTTCAAAATACAAAAGTATTTGACAGCTAAAATTAGTTACTTTAGCAAGCCTATCAATACCCTTTTACGATTATTGTTACTTTTTCGAAATAAAAGTAAAAACAAATTTATACTAATTTACTTCAAAATACAAAAGTATTTGACAGCTAAAATTAGTTACTTTAGCAAGCCTATCAATACCCTTTTACGATTATTGCTACTTTTTCGAAATAAAAGTAAAAACAAATTTATACTAATTTACTTCAAAATACAAAAGTATTTGACAGCTAAAATTAGTTACTTTAGCAAGCCTATCAATACCCTTTTACGATTATTGCTACTTTTTCGAAATAAAATAAATTTATTATCAAAAAACCTTTTTTTTCTTAGTAAAAATAAACGAAATTTTTTACCTTATGAACTTTTGATGGAAATATGCAAATTTAAAATAATAAAGAAAGCCGCGAGCAAAGCGATCGGCTTAGTTCGAAGATTTTGATTCAAATCTTTGCTGATCTGTAATTCGCGGAAGCCGCGAGCGAATCGAGCGGCTTAGGTCTAAGATTTTGATTCAAATCTTTGCTTATATTCCTTAAATTCTTTATGAAACTCGCAACAGTTCCATAAAAAATTTTAAATTCTAAACTGTCGAAATTACCGATCGGTAATCACACCCTTCACGGGTGTGTCACTTTTAGCTAAAATTACCCCTACTCTTTTTTCATTAAATTGAAACGTTTTTAATTTTCAAAAAAATGAAAGCTCGCTCCTGTCTCCGTAATAAAAAAAGACAACCCCGCAAAGTCGATAAAATTGGTAATTACACGGTTATGAAAAAAGACTTTGCTTCGGGCGCATTCGGTTCTGTCGCTCAATGCAAGACAGATGATCAACAAATCGTTGCAATTAAAAAAGTAATATGGAATAAGTCCATAAAATCTCAAGAATATGATATATTACTATCTCTTGACCATAGAAATATTGTCAAAGTTTACGATCATATTGTAGATTCTGAATCAAACCAGAGTAAGGTTAATGAATTCATTGTTATGGAATATTTAAACGAGTCCTTATTCGACTATATGATCGAGTTCAATCAAAATCAAAAACGCATTCCAATGTTAGATATCAAATTATTTGCGTATCAAATTTTTTCAGCACTGAATTACATTCACTCCAAAGGTATTGCACATTGCGATCTTAAACCTGAAAATATCCTTCTTGATAGATCTAGTGGCATCATTAAGGTTGCCGATTTCGGTTCAGCCCAATACATAACTCAGGCCTCTGCGAACAACACATATATTGTATCCAGATTTTATCGTGCACCCGAGCTACTCATTGATGCAAAACAGTACGATACTGCTGTTGATATCTGGTCAACCGGATGTATTATTGTTGAAATGCTTACAGGTCATACATTATTCCATAGCAATAATTCGGATGAGCAGCTTAAAGCCATTTTGAAGGTTCTTGGAAAACCTTCATTTGACGATTTGCACTCAATCCCACACAAGAAAGTTGTTCCTCAATACAGAGACCAAACAACTCCAATAGAAAGTATAATCCCATCAAATACTCCTCAGGATTTGAAAGAATTATTGAAATCTATTCTTGTTTTCAATCCGAAAAAGAGACCAACTGCATTGGAATGCATGAACCACAAGTTCTTTGATGAACTTTTTGTTCCAGACACGACAATGCCAGATGGAACTCCTCTTCCTCAACTTGATCGCCAAAATTTGAAATAAGATAAATAAAATGTTTGTATGTATAGTTTATTAATCACCTTCTTATTTTCCAAATTTCTAATAAATTCAAAAAAAAAAATAGTCTTATGAATGATCAGAATGTACTTATTGATTGTGGAACAGATGTCAGAAAATGTCTCCTTCGAGAAGGAATCATATATTGAAGTTATTAATTTATTCAAAAAAAATTAAAATAGTTTTATTGAAGGATTTGGTGAAAAGATATAAAAAAGTGTTTCCAAACATAATGAATCAGGATACAAAAATAATTATTTATACAATATTTGTTTAAATTAAACATGGATAGGCTTTGTATGAATGCCATCGACTGCTTCTATGATTTCAATGTTTTTGGTTTCAGGAAATTCTTGCTTATTTGTATCAAAATAATTTTGAATAAATTCATGATTATGTGTATGAGTCATATGGACTAAATATGCTACTTTTGGCTTAATCTTTCGGATTTCAGCTAGTGATTGTTCATAGCTTAAGTGTGTTTCGTGATCTGTGTTGGCAAGTGTATTAATTACAAGTATTTCGCTTCCATCAATGATTTTATATGAATCATTTGGTATAGTCTTGCAGTCTGTTATGTAAGTAGCGTTGCCAAATCTGTAGCCAAATATAGGAAGCTTTCCATGCATAATTGGAACAGGAGTAAATGTCACATCACATAGTTTGAATGGACTTGTAGTTATATTAACATCGAATTTTCGATCATCTCCTTCGACCAATGTTGAATATTTACCTTTAAGCTGTTTGCCACAAACATCGTTGCAATATATTGGTATAGGATGCCCATTATAGAACTTTACTAAATCTGGAAGTCCATGTACATGATCTGCATGACAATGACTGATAATAATTCCTTCAATATGAGTAATTCCTTCTCGAAGGAGACATTTTCTGATATCTGTTCCACAATCAATAAGTACATTCTTACCATTAGATATTTTAAGAATTCCACAAGTCCTATAACGTTTATCTCTTGGATCTGTTGACGTACAGGTTGGGCAATCACAGTTAACAAATGGTATGCCACCACTTGTTCCTGTCCCTAAAAGTGTTAAATCAATTGTCATCCCTGATTCTCCTTCCATAACTCAAGATGATGATCGGAGGACGATTGCGCACGTAAAGTGTCAAAAATTTTGTAAAATTTCATATAAAAATTTTATGTATGATGAAACATATGAAGCATTTTCAATTTTTAGTATCTTTAAAATTGAATGTAATTCAATTTTTTAGGCGGCTCATTGAAAATCTGTCAAGCATTTTATTTGATCTGGAATAATTTTGGTCTAAACCATCGTTACTGAAGTAGTTTTCTTTTTTCAGAATATTTATTATGTTCCACGGTATTTTGTTACATAGTTATGAAGTGCAGTGTTATTATTTGGACAGTATTTATTCATACTTTCCAATAGTTTAGGAGCTACATGGGTATGATGTATAATTTGCGCATAAATATTATTATTGTATATGCCTGCTACATAACCAATTTCATTATCCGCACGTACAGTATACAGATGTCTAACCGTTTCGTTTGGACGAATTGAAACAAAATTGACATTGTTGTATTTGTACAAATTATACGTAAATATGACATTGAAAAGATGCTGGTCGTGCCAGTCTTTATCCCACAAGAAATACAAAAAGAATAAATCCAGTGCTCGTGTAAACGGTTCAGTGTAGCCAAAAAAAATTCCTGCACATGCTATCATGGCTCGATTTTTTGGAGTTATTCCAAGCGCTCTTATAATATTATCGTAAAAAGTATACGATACAGGTTTTCCTTCTTCTATCATGTAGAATTTATCAGGTTCGATGCCATCGTTAAATGGATCACCTTGAAATATAGTATCAAACATGTCACATTTCATAATTCGATCAAATCTATGAAAATTTCTTTTCGCAATGTAATAATTCCATAAATAGATGAGAGAATAGTAGTTATGTGCCATTGTGAACTCTGGTTTGCCCATGTTGATGATTTGTCCACCGCACAGTTCTATGTCTAAGATCATTTCTTTAGTTAACTTGCCAAATGCTTCTATATCAACAAGGATTGCAACTGTACACTTGCATCCAGTATGTCGTAGTGTTCGCATGAATAAATTAATGTTTTCAATGTTTGTTATGCTTCCTGTGATGATTAAGTCTCGAGGCGAGCTGTCTGATTTACCATTCCTAACTGTGAAGTTACAATGATGGCAATTAAGAGTTCCATTGAAGTATTTTATATTTAAGTCGGTTCGAAGATAAATGTCTTGATTAATACTGAACCTCCAAGTAGAAATATTATGTCTAAAATTGATAGGCCAATTAAACATTAGAGTGTTCCAAAGGTATAGCGACGACATCGTTGCAAAAATAAAGAGAATAGGCGATATGACAAATGACAAAAGATTTATAATATAATTATTTGCATTTTGCAGGAAACATGAGTAAAATACGTTGCATTATAAAAGCTGTTACGAATATGGCTGAGAAATGTGTTAAAAAGAATTTGTAAACTACGCGTCAGAAGGAATCATTTCCCCACTTTTTGAGATAAGACATACAATTAATTATATGATATCAACTCAAAAAGTCAATTTTTTTTCCTTTATAAAACAAACAATACAAATAGAATGAATTCATATGTTTTTTACGATTTGCTTCAAATTTTGCGATTTTCGAGGTCTTCAAACTAGTAATTTCAGAATAATATGCAGCTTTAATACGTTCTATTGCTTGCACAGCATATACAAGCTCTCAAATTTAATAATTTTCTCTCAGAGAAAGTTCCTTACATAGTCTCTCATTAAATGAGAATTTTATCATAAGAATTGCTTTAAGAGTTTAACTTATAAATCAAACATTTAATTTAACCAACAAATAAACATACATAGAATGATTAGTTGATTGACTTTCTGTAACCACGAATGAGAGGAGGCATAATCTTTGCTCTCTTTTCTCTTCTTCTCGCTTGAGGTGTAATAATTCCGCGATATTTCTGTTCTAATGCCAAAGTTGGCTGTGATTTTGATGAATTTGGCTTGGTTTGAGACATATAAAAAGCAGATTTGATTCTTGTCTTGAAAATAGCTCCAACGATAATGTTTTTCATTAAATCCTTGCATACAAAGTCCTCACATTTGTATTTCTGCTGTTCATGAGATATCATATTGTCAGCGATACAAATTCCATCAATCATTGATGCAATGTCTGCTTCCATAGTTCTGACCCACTGATGACTCAATATTTCATCAACTGTAATCCTCTCTTTAGGATTTCTAATGAGCATTCTTGATATCAAATCCTTAACTTGTAAACTGAGATGAGAAGGATAAACGATATCATCATAGACGATTTTTTGGGCAAGGTTGGTCACACCAAAGTCAGAAAATGGAAAAGAACCAGTAACAAGTAAATAAAGGAGAATGCCTGCACTCCAAACGTCAATCTTTTCAGTATACTCTTGGCCGACTATTAACTCTGGTGCAGCATAATAAATGGATCCGCATTGAGTGGTCATAAGGTTATCCTTTGAAAACAGATTGGAAAACCCAAAGTCGATTAATCGGATGTTGTGATTCTCGTCCAATAGTATATTTTCGGCCTTTATGTCTCGGTGTGCAGCATGACAATGTTTATGTAAATAAGATATTGCCAGCATTAGTTCTGAGAATATAATTGATGCATCCCTTTCATTCATCTTACCAGATTTGTAGATTTCATCAAGCAAGGTTCCGCCAGAAATGTATTCCATTACGATATAAATAAACAAATCGGATTCAAATGCTTCATAAAACCTGCAAATAAATGGGTGGACGGCTTCTTTCATAATGCAAATCTCTTTGTTTAAGAAATACTCTATTTTCATTGTATCAATTGATGTTTTTCTAATAATTTTAATTGCAACATTTGTTTCAGTAGGCTTGTGAATTGCAAAGCATACCTTTGAGTATTCACCTTCACCAAGCGTTGACTTAATTTCATAATCTCTAAGAAGAGACGCGTCTATCATTTTACCAAAAGGCAAATTGAACTACTCTTTCAATTTGAATTTGACAATTTAAACATAAATCGGTATGTAATTCATAATATCTTTAATAATATGAAATATTCATGAGAGCAGATTTGACATTATTTGAATAAAGCTCACAAAAATTTCCTATCTAAAAATTTGAATTGCCATAAATAGATAAACAACATAAAATCTTTTAGATTATAGTAATATGGAATATTTTCGTTAATCGAGATTTTTAAGATCACCGAAAATCTTATTCTATTACTATATACAAGATATTTCGCACACGCATGAATAATCACATTGAAAATTTGTATTAGATGTCAAAAAAATCAAATTTTTCAATAATTGAATAATTTACAAAATTCTAATAATAGTGGAAATTTTCTTATCGCCAGGACCAATTGGCTATGGTAGAAAATTTCCAACCTTTTATTTTTAAAATTTGATATTGTGGATATATTTTTCAGATCTCGACTTTACCAATCCTAAAATAAATATCCTTGAATATGAACTACCAAACTTCGGCGCATCAAAAATATATATCTCCCCAGCGTTCTTGCATATCTATAGTTTTTACCGAAAGATTTTTTTTCTTTTTAATTCAAAATCAAATCGTAAGCATCTTAATCCATCTACTGCATTCTATGGATATTCCTGTGAATTATTTCTAAAACATTTACCCCAATTTTATTTATCAAATTCATCCATGATTTTTCTCGCATAAAGACATATGTGTTCCATATTAAGTTCTGTCAAAATGTAAGCTATTCAATTCTATCATCGGGGGAAGTATCACAAATCTATCAATTTTTTTGTAAAAGTATACAAAAACATATGGTGTTCAATTAGTTTATAATAATATAAATATTAAGATTATCCAAAATAAGAAAAACTAGGTTTTGAGAACACTTTTGAGATGATAATCAAAATATTTTGATTGAAAAATAATATATTATTTATCAGATATAGCATGGATTTTTTCAAATTTAAAAATTCTGAAAAATAAAGAGTTTTGTAAAGTAAAAAAATGAACGAAAACTCGAGACCTCGTATTCCAAATGAATGGGTAAGATATATGTATGAAAAACTTGAAAGTGGTGAGTTAACTTACGCAACAGTTTTGAAAAAGTTCCATATTCATATCAAAATGTTACAATTTTCAAACAAATTTCAAGAAATACTCTCAAAAAAGCATTCAAAGAAATCGGTGGTACACCAAAAATTAAAAGTGGTCCTCCACAAGAGGAATTAACTCCAGAATTAATTTTGAAGGTTCAGAATTCTTATGAAAATTACAAATGTGGGGTTCAAAAATTGTATTGGACTCTCAATATGAATCCAAAACAATTTCAAATCAGTTACAATGCAGTTATTAAGGCAGCAAAATTTCTGGGAATTTACAAAGAAAAAGATAAAAGTAATCCAAAAGCATATTATGTGGATTATGAAGCAATTCTTCCAAATACAATCTGGCATGTGGATATTCATTTTTGAAGAACCAAAAACTTTACCGGTTTATGGAATAATTGATGACAAAGTCGTTATTTGTTAGCATTGAAATTGCTTCGTAACAAAAGTTCAACAGAAACTTCAAAAGTGGCAATTGCAACAGTTCAAAAATATGGAGCACCTTTCTGTTTCTGGTCAGATAACGGTAAAGAAAATGAGGGAGAGTTCACAAAATTTTTGAGTACTTATGACATTCAAATCAGAAAATCAGCTCCATACATGCCACGTCAAAATGGCAAAATTGAACGCCTCTGGCCATCACTGGACAAAAATGCTCCAAAGTCTTCAGAATTTGAGAGCATCAATCAGGAATTGGAAGAATTCAGGCAAAAATACAATGACATGCCACATGGCGCTCATCCAAAAATTGGAGTTCGACCATACACTCCAAGAGAGGTTTACAACAAATTTAAGAAATGGACCAAGGATGATAAACCGCTCTGGAAAAAATGTGTTAATAAGCAGTGGGAAGTTGAAGAGATTCCAAACTATTGAAATATTCTATATTTTTTCAAAAATTCTCATTCAAATTTGAATTTGGTTTTCAAAATTATGAATAAACATTATTTTTATTAAACTTGATTTTTAGCTCTAAAGAATCAAAAGAATTTAGCGAGAAAGAATATGCAGCTCACATAGGGGTAGATAAAGATATATCTCGAAAAAAATTGAATTTATTGTAAAGAATGAAGAAGTTCATTTTAAGATTGAGTTGATTTTCAACCAAAACGAGAGAGCATGCAGGCAAATGAAATTCGAAAAGTGAAAGGAATGACATATGCAAAAGAAAAGATTCAAATAACGCAAGCGAAATATAGATCAGTTAAAATCACAATAAAATTTCGATCTTTTCTACAGGGAACTAAAGGCTATGAGGCACTAATATATAATCAGTGCCTCATAGCCTTTAGTTCCCTACTAAAAGTGAGAAAACTTGTTCGCAATGCGAAATGATTGCGAACAAGTTTTCTCACTTCAGCGAGGGAATTGTTCCTTATGATGCATACATTATAAATATATACATCATAAGGAACAATTCCCTCTAGATAGCTGGGAAACTTTCTCTAAATAACTTATCATTTGGAGAAAGTTTCCCAGCTATCTACTGGGAACTAAAGGCTATGAGGCACTAATATATAATCAGTGCCTCATAGCCTTTAGTTTATTAAAAGAGAAAACTTGTTCGAAATGAAAAATTGCGAACAAGTTTTCTCACTTCAGCGAGGGAATTGTTCCTTATGATGCATACATTATAAATATATACATCATAAGGAACAATTCCCTCTAGATAGCTGGGAAACTTTCTCTAAATAACTTATCATTTGGAGAAAGTTTCCCAGCTATCTACTGGGAACTAAAGGCTATGAGGCACTAATATATAATCAGTGCCTCATAGCCTTTAGTTCCCTACTAAAAGTGAGAAAACTTGTTCGCAATGCGAAATGATTGCGAACAAGTTTTCTCACTTCAGCGAGGGAATTGTTCCTTATGATGCATACATTATAAATATATACATCATAAGGAACAATTCCCTCTAGATAGCTAGGAAACCCTAAATTAACTATTAATCTTTGAGATATTTTTTATTGAGGTTAATACGTTTTTCTAAATAATTAAAATGTAAAATTTTGATTATGAACTCATCTCTAATATTTTGGCTCTTTAATATATTTGAATCATGATCTTTGAGAAGAGTTCTCAAAAGTATTCACAAAAGCTATTTTTCCTTGAAATTTAAAAATCCTGTTTATCATATATTACCAAATTCAATTCCCTACATATTTCAAAATATTCTATGAACATTTCAATTTTTGAAAAAACATATTTTTTTCCAAATATATTTATTATCATATTTCTAATAATATTTCCTAAAGCGTCACTTTTTACTTCCTCGACGATTATTTCCCTCTCAAAAATTCAATAGCTTACATTTTGACAGAACTTCATATGTAACAAAATTTAATAACAAACAAACATGATAAGTTTAATACATATTATTCAAGAAATTTGGTTTCTTATTTGTTCTCAGCTTGACTGGAGAAGACATATGGATCTTTCTTGACATGGTTGGTTGAATCTTACCGGAAATGTTCTTGGAAAGAGGAACTTTTTCAATTGAGATTGGTCTGAGCATTGGAAGAGATCTAGAGTTCATTGGCTTTGTCTGAGACATATAGAATATAGACTTTGTTCTACTGGAATAGATATCTGAGCGAACGATGTTCTTTATTAAATCATCACTTACATCTTCAGAAGTTTTGTATTTTTCAGCCTCAAGTTCCAACAAATTGTCATCAATGTATATTCCTTTGATCATCTCATCTATTTCCTTAGCGTAACTCCTTAGCCATGGATGCTCCAATACTTGGTCGATTGAAATTCTTTCCTTTGGATCTTTGGTAAGCATTCTCATAAGGAGGTCCTTTAAGCTAAATGAAAGAGAACCTGGAAATTGGACCTCACTCATGACAATTTTTTGAAGACAGATTGACATGTTTTCATGATAAAATGGGAAAGATCCGGTTGTCATTATGAAAAGCATGACTCCAGCGCTCCAAATATCAACCTTTTCTGTATATTCTTCACCTAAGAGTAACTCAGGGGCTGCGTATAAAATTGAACCGCAATGAGTCTTGAAACAGTTTCCGTGGTCTGTCTCTTTAGCGAATCCGAAATCAATAATCCTAATGTTGTGATTGTCATCAAGTAATACATTCTCAAGTTTAATATCTCTGTGTGCTATGTGAGCTTCTTTGTGTAAATATTGTAGTGCTAAAGCGAATTCAGCGAATGTGATAGCTGCATCGCGTTCATCAAGTTTCTTCTTGGTTACTTCATCAAGAAGTGTTCCGTTCTTCAAGCATTCCATGATTAAATAAACATAATCATCTGATTCGATAACATCGAAGAATCTGCAAATAAATGGATGATGGACTTTCTTGAGTGCGTCAATTTCATTTCTTAGTGGAATTCGGTTCTTATCCTTGGCTTGTTCCGCTTTTGGAATAATTTTTACAGCAACGCGAACACCAGTTGGCTTATGAATGGCTTGGTAGACTTTGGAAAAGCCTCCTTCACCAATACTGCTCTGAAACTCATAATCACTGATCAATTCTGCATCCATTTTTGAAGAATGATATCAAGAATTTTGAATCAAGTGTAAATAAGCTAAGTATTCAAAATTGAAAGTATGCACAGTAGATAGATTTTACACAATTGAATGGAGTTTTGAAAAGCTATTATAATAATCATTGAAATATTAATGTTAAGTTATGATAATATATAACTTATAAATAAAGTTTTGAAGCATTTTTATTTTCAATTGCATTTTATATTTTTATACCACTTCTTTGTTATTTTATAATATTTAAGGTCATGATGGATGAATATACACTCGCCAAAGTATCGGCCAATCTGTCAGAAACGATAAGGGTGTTTATCTCAAAAGTAATACATCGATAAACGGAGTTATATTTTAATTTCGAAAATGTTTAGGTATATTGCTTGATCAATATTTTTAATTATCAAAGATCTGAGTTAAAATTGAATACAATTCAAATAAATTATGACTACTGTTATCTTCTATTTAAAATAATAAACAAACAGAATATCTTCATCACATATGGTGAATTTATCAATAAATTGAAGGTCGAAGTAAAAATTATTTGTAAACTTAATTTGATTTTTATTGAATGGTAATTACTATTAAACATATATTATTGATATTTATAAAAAATTGAAAAAATGTCAAAAAAGTTTCTTTCTCAACGAAGTTTATTGTTTATAACAAAGTTCTGTAATCTTTTTTCATAAGCAAATAAGTGAAAGAACTCTGCGGATATGCCTATTTAAAAAAAAAAAAAAAAAAAAAAAAAAGGTAGTGGGGCTTCCAGGCACTTCGTGCCCTCTAGCCCTGAAGATGTTTAGTATAAATGAAGTTTATATTCGGAGGACTCTTCTTCTTCCTCCATTGCTTCTGGGAAAAGCCTTCTTCTGGGTCGAAAACATTATATAATGTGTCGCTTTTCACAAATTATATATGTTTTCATGTTTTGTCACTTTTCTGTCACTTTTCAGGGAAAAACATTTTTATTATTATATATAAATGAATTTTACAAAACCACCGTTACCGTTCTTTGGAAATAAGAGTAGATGTAAAGATATTATATTGAGAGAACTTAAGAAACTACCGAATGGTCTAACATTTGTAGATTTGTTCGGTGGAAGTTTCTATATATCCCATTTGTGCCATATAATATTTCCAGACTCAAAGATTATATGCAATGACTTCGACAACTATATGGACCGTCTCAAACATATTCCAGACACAAACAAAATATTGAGTGAGTTAAAAGAAAAGATACCTATAGGTAAGATGGAACGTATACCATTAGATAACAAAAATATTGTGAGAGAGGTTTTGAAAAAAGCAGAATATATAGACTGGAATAGTATATCTGCTAGACTATTATATAGTGGTGCTATAAGAGTTCATGACATTGAAACACTTATGTCAAAAGTTTTATATCTTAACTATACAAATGTTTTCAAAGAGGACATAGATAAATATATTGAGGGTATAGAGTTTGTGAGATGTCATTGGACAGATTTGTATGAAAAATATAAAGACAAGGAAAATGTTTTCTTTATAGTGGACCCGCCGTTCTATAACACATGGGATTTTCAATACCAAGTAGACTGGACTTTGAGAGACTCTTTAGAAACTTTAGACGTTTTACATAACCATCCATGCTTTTACTTTACATCCGATAAAAGTGGTTTGGAAACCGTTATGAGATGGTTAGAGGACATACATGACTATGAGTTTATATATGACAAGATAGAATATGAGAGAGGTCCTATAAACTGGAGAAAGTGTCACAATAAAGAAATTTTATTAGTAAGTAAATGTGGTTTGAAATAGGACTACTTGTTTTAGGTTTTTTCCATTGTGTCATTTATTTCTTTGACGTGGCAGAAAAGTACAGAGAATATGAAGATGAACCAATGCCTGCAAATGTTCAGTATATGTACTCGTAAGAGATATTTTTATCTAATATTAAATGGACGCACAGAACTTAGCGAATGCACAGCAACCTGGACAACCAAACCCAGAGAATATTCCAAATGAAGTTAGAATACAAACTGCAATGGCAAACTATGGTCAAGTGCCAACAGATGTACAAATGCAAACTGCCATGTCAAATGACGCTGCGTTAGGTTTGCCACCATGGTATGCAAATATGAGATGGAAAGAGTTTTATACAAACCCTGAAGTGGGATATAAACAACTTTATGCAGATGACGCGAACACAGGAGTTGACCCAGAATATGTTTTCTACCAGAGGAGAAACAGAATGTATGAGCTCCAGTTAAAGAATGCTATGGAACTCAACAGGAAACGTAAGAGACTAGGCGGACATTAGATTTTTACATATAGTAAAATGGGTTTCTTCAGTAAGATAGGAAACTTCTTTCGAAATGTTGGAAGAGGTATATGGAATGGAATAAAAACCGTAGGAAGAGGAATTTGGAACGGAGTCAAAAATATTGGTAAAAGAGTAGGTCAGTTTGTTGGTATTATACCTAAAGACCCTGAACCAGAAGAACAAGCTCCTGTTATACAACAGCCTGAACCTGCACCACAGTCTAGTTGGCAACCAAATCCAACACCTCAACCGTATTAAAAAGTTATATTTTTACCGTTCGATAGTAGTTGTATATGAAACTAAGTTCTAAGTAAAACGCATGGTATAATGGAATTATTCTTTTTCTTCCATCTGTAGTAAACCATACTTGAAAGTCTGAAATACTTCCACTTGGTGGTTCGTATAACTTTGTAGGTTTTTCGTAAAAGTCATTTGCCAAGCATAAGAAAGAGTTTTGGGCGCCAGAAAATGAAGCATGAACAATAATAGCAGCTGGGTCGAAAACATCTTTAAATAAATATGGTTCATCTCTTGCATATCGACTGTAAATATTTGCTAAAGGAAGTTCGACTTTCTGATTTAACATTCTTTGCAAATAATACCATGACATTGCAGTGAATTCTGTATATATTTGTTCGTCTTTCTTTGGATTGTCTTCGTAGATTTGAAATGACACTTGTGAATTTTGTTTGTCATATACAATTCTCACATAAAGTGTGCTCTCGGTATTTGCATATTCATCAGCATATTTTGCATAACATGAATTTATTTTATCTTCTATATTTTTTAACGCAGTCTGTAGAGAAGATGAAAGGTCAACTTGTATTAGCTCAATTTCTTCCCACATTTTTCGTTTCCCTTCAGATATATAATCTATATGAAACCTTACAATAAATGGAAAACTTTTATCTTCTACAGACACAAACTTCATTCTACGAAAGCCAATAGCTTTTGTGACAGATGGGTCTCTTAGCCATCTTAATGGGTAGTCAAAACGATAGCCTTCATGCTTTACGGTCTCTGTCTCAAACTTTTGACCGACATTAGTAAAAAGTTCATCTAATGGTTTAGTTGTAGCAACTCTTGAATTTTCTTTTTCTATTGGAAGCATATTTTATCTAGAATAAAAATGTCAAATGAAACAGCGTCTATGAGAGAAATACAACACAACCGACAACTCATTATACAAGCTCTAAATAAGAACACAACAAACTTTTCAAACTATTCTAAGATATCTGAGTCATTGAAAGAAGGAAACTTAAAACTGACATTAAACCCAATGACAGATGAGTTTCTGTTTCAAGACAATAAGAACCATACTGTCTGTATAAATCCAACAAAAGGAACTTTAAACGAGAAACCTATATCTGAACTTCTTTTGAAAGCAGATATTGACAACAAAGCTGACAAAGAATATGTCATTGAAAAAGTTCAAGAAGAACATGACAGAGCAGATGCAACATATGCAACGAAAGAACATACTCATCCTGAACTAGCAGACAAAACATATGTTGACAATAAAATGTCAAGTGAAGTGACAAGAGCTGAAAACGAATATTCTAAAAAGACTCATACACATTCTATATCTGAAATAACAGACTTAAACGTTAGCCTTGAAAATAAGGTAGATAAGGGACTTATGGCTAGTGTGTTAGTGAAGAAGGCGGATAAGGAATATGTGGATGAAAAAGATAAAGAAATTATAGAAAGGGTTGACTGGTACCATGAATGGACATCGAAGACTTTAAAAACTAAAGCCGATACAGGATGGGTTTCAGGATGTTTAGACCTTAAAGCAGATAAAACTTATGTTAACGATGAGTTAGAGAAGAAAGCAAATAAGAACCATACACATACAAGTTTTACAACTGTTGCTATAGAAAGTATTGAAGGAACGGTTGAAGAAACTGGTGGGGATGCAATATATTGTAAACCTCCTAACTTTCCACAAGGTTTAACATCGGATGACGACATAACGACGATGAGAAACATTAGATGTAAAGATGTTTATGTCATGAAGGATGAATATAATATTAAATTCACTGCTCAAGATTTATATGACAAGAAGCAGACAAAACAGAGCTTCAAACATTAAAGACAGAAATGCTTCAACATTATATCCTATAGGCTCTATTTATACGTCAATGAACTCTACCAGACCAGAAACAGTTCTGGGTTTTGGAACTTGGACTCAAATAGTTGACAGGTTTTTGTATTGTGCAAACTCTTCAAAGGAAACAGGAGGAAGTAAAACGATTTCAGGTGAAAATTTACCTGCGCACAGTCACTACATAGATTTAAGTACATCTCAAGCAGGTTGGCATAAGCATAAATTTTGGGATTGGTCAGCAATGAAAAAGGTAAAGGATATGATGTTAAAGACGACGTTCAGTTTGCTATAAATTGTTCTGGGGTGACACTCAGGGAGATGGAAACCATACACATCGCGTTTCGGATATACGCAAACAACGGGACAAAGTAAAGACTACATGCCACCTTACATGACAGTTTACGCATGGTATAGAAATGCTTAGTCGTCATTTTCAACTTCTTTAGCATATTCGTCAGGAGTTGTCTTATATTTGTTAGGAACTGTCTTTGAAAGTATACCACCTTGAACTTTGACAAGTTTGAAACGAGGTCTGACAATAGTCGTTTTATCTTCTGCTTGCAGTGTGTACATTTTGCCATGTTTGCCTAAAACTTCATAATATTCTCTTGTATACTTTCTTCTATTTTTACGAACACGAATGTGAGTACCTGTCGGGTTCCCATTGTTGTCATAGTCAATAGTATTTTCATATGGGTCGCGTTTAGGTATTTCTATTTTTACTTTGTCGCCTTTCTTAAGTTTGAAGCCCGGCATTCTTTCTTGTTTGTCTCTTTTGACTAAATTATTAAATATATAGTCTTTCTCTAAGTCAGGGTTGTTTTTCATTTCTTCGGGGGAGTGGTTTCCAAACCTTTTTGTTTACGGCTATTGTAAATATTTAAAACTTGTCTCATCTTTGCCATGGAGAAGTGTCTATATTTGTCGTCATATGAATTTCATTTGCTTCACCACCTTGTGGTTGGTTTAAGTCTCTTAACATTTTTATACAACCGTCAATGACACCAAGAGCAGAATGGTTTTGGTCGACAATGAAATATTGGTTTACATTTTTTGAACGCAGATAGTTTTTAATATCGTCTGATTTGAAAGAACTTTCACAGTCAGATGTCAGTTTTGTTGGATGGTATTTGTCAACGAATATTGTCAAAGCAGTTTTCACATCTAAAATATTTTTGGACCATAATGGTATGGCTTCACAGTATCTTGTGTTTTGACCGACAAATATTAGCCAGTATGGTGGTCCATCTTCTCTATACCTCGGAATGTTTTCCAAGATATCCATAAACCAAGCATTTGGTGTTGAACTAAAGATTTTTATCATGAGTGCTTTCTTTGTCGCTTTAGAAACATAGGGGTCCTTGTTCGGATTCGTCATTTTTATCCTATAAGAAATGGTTTATTTGGCGCATTAGCAGGAGTTGCATCCAGATTTTTGCCCGCAGTGGGAACAATAGCCAGAGGTGTATTTGGAGTTGGAAGGAAGATTTTGAGTACATTAGGTATACTTAAAGAGAAAGCACAACCTATTATACAAACTGTACAGAAAGGTTGGGATGTAGCACGAGATGCAGCAAATCTTATTCCAAATCCTGAAACAAGAGGAAAAGTTCAAGGATGGATGGACAATGTAGGAAGACAAGCAGGAAACTATTATAACAAAGCAAATGACTACTATAACCAAGCAGGACACTATATGGACCAAGGTGAAAGATTCTTTAACAGAGGATATAACCATGCACAACAGTGGGTAAACAATAACCAACCGCAACCACCTCAAACTTGGGGAATGTAAAGTTTTTTACTGAGATGAAATGAACAATACAGCATTGAGACAAATGGGTTCAAGATGGATTTGTCGACTTCCAGCAGTTACACAACGTGTTTGTCAAGTTCTTCCTATACCTCAGGAAGTTTTAGACCGACTTAAAAAACAACAACAACCAGTTGAAAACAAACCAAACTAAAATTTTTTACTGAGATGAAATGACCGAAGAAGTTGAAACGGTAGATTTGACACCAACAAACAAAAAGTTCAGAAACCATTGTCAAAACCTGTCAAAGAACTTACAGATGAAGAGAAAATTCAATAATAGAAAGTGCCAGGTCTGGAAATACAAACCCTAACTACAAAGTCACTTTTCATAGAAATGGAACGGCTAGTATCTCAAAAAAGAAACAGACTCTCACAAATAAAATATTGAAGTCTGAAGGAGCTTTCGAGACAACAGATGGAAAAGTTTACTTCACTGACCAACAGTTCATTATAGAACATCTCATTGACTTAGAGTCGAAATATTCTAAACTTTACAACAAACACAAAAAGTTGAAAGGAAAACAAAAACAAATGGCATATGATATTTATGAAGATGTTAACGACACAACTGTTCCTGCAGGTGGGGAAAAGTCAGAGGAACCGAAAAGTGACGAAAAACCGATAGAAGAAGAGAAACCAAAAACTGAAGATAAACAAAACCAAAGTTTAGTTTCCAAACTAAACCAAGTCAACCTTCATTAGCTGGTATGGGTTGGCGTCAAAGACTTATGGCAGCAGGTGGTTATGTAAAGTAAAGAAAAAAATATTTTTTATTTTTATAAAAATGCCCCATATAGAATGGATAGAAAGTCTGCTAGAATAAAAGCAGAGTTGCAAAGATATGGTTGGAAGTTTCGAAGAATTTTAAATATAGGAAGGGAAGACCCATAAAAGTCTATGACAAACTGGCTGGTCTTCGCTACGAAATGGATTTGGAAACAGCACGTGCAAATTATCCAAACAGACTAGAGAGGTTAGAAGAAGAACGTCTTATGGACATGCCTTTCGATGTTAGTGAACCTCAAGTTGAAGGACACGACGGCTTTGCCAGATTCTACTGGAAACATGACGAACAATTGCATCCTTTGAGAAGGAAAAAAGTAGTGCAGAGGATGGTCATGCTCCCATGGAAAGAACAAGATATGCATATGAAAAGTATCGTGAAGTTAGAAGTCAAATTACATCTGGTCGAACCTTTACAGTAAACTTTGACGAAGGAAAGAACAAAGAAGGCTTCATGGGTGTACTTGCTGCAATTCAAGATGGAAATAAGAAAGGATACAATCTCAGATTGACCATAACAGATTTGGATGGTCACATTTACTATGCACATGGCAATGTCACAACAGCTGCAATGCTTCTTGACGCTTTCAAGACTACAAAGAGAGACAAATGGTTGACTCCGACTCAGACATTTTGAATGCAATTGAAGGAATTGCAAGTGTCAAGTTCGAATGGTACCAACCTAACCCTCAAGCAGTCAGACAACATGCTGGATACTTCCCCTTCATAAATAAGTCTGACATTGACTTGACAAGGTATGGAATTTACAATTCAATTGAAACAATTGTCAACGAACCTTGCATTCTTACATGTCTCAGGAACTCTGGTCTTGTTACAGATGAGAAGATGAAGTATCTTGAGTCATGTGTGAAGACAAGGTACATTCTCAGAGGTCAATTGGCAAAAATTGCACCGTTGGCAAATGTCAATATCCGAGTCAACATACCTACAGCTAAAGGTTCTTCACATGACGACTATGTTGTTGAGTTCAATTTACCATGGTTGAAGATTGCAATTGTCCACAACCACTTCATGTTGAACGAAAGTCTTACAAACCCATTGTTCGGAAAAGGCAAGTGCAACATTGTCAGAGCTGTAAACATTCTTTTCGAGAAAGGTTTGTTGGAACCAATTCCAGATGACAAGCTGACAGAAACTTTTGTACCAAAAGACGAAACAAACTTTTCATTGTTAGCAAGACCAAAAGTTGTTCCAGACAAAGTTCTAGTACAAAAGAAGTACACAATTCCACAAGGAGTTGGATTGTTCGGATACCAACCTGAACCAGAAGAACTTCCAATGAGGTTGCAAGAACTTCAAGATGCTATAAACAAACTTCCATTGAGACATCCAATTGACGTCAAATTGTATTGGAGAGCATCTGAGTTAGGTCAGAAGGTTTTATATGAAACAGGTTGCTTCGACGATGTTTATGAGATAACAGGAGAAGTTTCTCAGAAGATAAGAGACTCACTTGAATTTCCACAAACTGGACCAATTGGTTGCGACAAGTTCGACTCAGATGAAAAGATATACTATGTCGACCTTAACGCTGCATACATGAGGTTTGTCCAATATATTCCGACTGGAATTCCAAACGAAGATGGTGAGTTTCCGGGAAGGAACTATACAGTTGGAAAAGTCATACAACAACTGTATGATATTAGGAAAGCTTCAAACCCCAAACTTGCAATGACACTCAAATTGCTTATGAATTCGACATGGGGATATTCCATTAAGAAACCTCAAGAGATGAAGAGTAAACATTATGAGAAGGTCGACAACTTTGTTGAAAGGTTTTCTCCTTTTGTTTTGAAGTACGAATTCACTCAAGGTCAAAGTGGCTTAGTAACCACATTAAAACCTATTGTCGAACATTGGTCTTACCCTCAGTTCGCAAAGGCAGTCCTTGACAACTACAACAAATTCTTCTCCGAAGTCAAATCCAAAGTGAAGGTTTACTATGAGAACATTGACGCACTCATGACGAACGAAGAAGGGTACAACAAACTCATTGAAATGGGCATGGTCGGTGAAAAGATGGGCTGTTTTAAGCTAGATAAGGTATTTTCCGAAGTTCATGTCCTCTCCAAGCGTAAGTACTGGGGCATACTTGAAGACGGCACAGAAATAAAACATTGCATGAAATAAAAAATTTTTATTCGAAATGTACGCTGAGTTTGTTGGAGACGACCGTTGGGAAACTTGTTTGTTAGATGAGAAATATGAAATGGCATACTATTTTAAAACAATATATTTTTACATATATTAAATGCTTCAGGTTGAAAAACAAAGAACAAAAGTAGTAGATACAAAACCGTTAGACTATATCTTTACAAATGCTGGTAGGACAATATCAGATGAAGAAATTTCATCCCGAATATACAGGTTTGACTATCCAATTCGTTGGCTTCAAAGTCCTTCAGATGCAAAGGCAATAGGATTTAGAAGAGTTTTGTTTTCAAAAAGAACTAACGCATTTATGTTCGCAGTATATTTTCATGGGCAGTATAAAGATTCTGATGGTCTAATAGACAAATTTGACGAAATGAGAATCTTTACAGTTCGTTCAGACGAAAGTCTTGAGAAAACTCTAAATGACTTTCAAACTCAAATGAACAAATATTATTGGGAATTTCAAGAAAAATACGACTCTTTACTAAATGGAACATACTATCTGAAACTAGAATATGACAAGATGAACTCCACCGTTTCATTTCAAAAGATTGAAATTAACCCTCCAAGAGATACACAGTTTTTATTTTGGGAAGTAGACAAACGTTCTTGGCACAATTTCTTCGGTTACTAAACCAGAACGAACCATTACCACCAGATGGTCCATTTAAATTTATACTTCCACCAGCAAATTTGACAGTTTATAGAAACGTGTTTGACCCTCAAAATGTTATGTGTCATGCAAGTTTCAGTTCAAGCAACAATAGTTTTCTATGTATTGGTAAGGACTTTTATGACTTTGCTTCTAAATTCTACGAACCACCTAGTAACAGTTTCTCTGACTTTCAAGTTTGGTTCACAACAAATGGTGTGCAACATATTATTCCATTGTACTATGACTTTTATCTCGAATTGTCTTTCATATATAACTACGGAAAAGTGCTGAAAAAGTATTGAAAAATATATTTTAGGGTAGAAGGTTAGATCTAACCTCTTTTCTAACCTGTTTTCTACCCTCTTGAATTTGTCATGAATTTTATACAGAAAACATAGCACAAAAATAATGTTTAGGGTAGAAGGTGAGATCTCACCTGTTTTCTCACCTCTTTTCTCACCTCTTGAATTTTCATGAATTTTATACAGAAAATGCTTGTTTTGAGGTCGAGCCACTTTTGGCTCCACCGTATTCTTTCAACCAAAACTCATGAATTCAGCAAAAATATAATTTAGGGTAGAAGGTTAGATCTAACCTCTTTTCTACCCTCATTTCTACCCTCTTGAATTTTCATGAATTTTCCCGAAATAAAAAATAAAGTTAGTTTTATTTTTTTATTTTTTTTTATTTTGTATGTAAGGACAGATATGTCAGTCGAAGCAAAAACATTCACGAACAAATATAATGGCGAAACATTCACGAAAGGCACTTATAACGGTATTGAAGTCTTACGTAGAGACAAGGATGGTTATATAAATGCAACAAATATGTGTCAGCAGTTTAGGAAAGACTTTAGAAAGTTGTTGGAAAATAAGTCCTGGGAAGAGTATTATAAGGCATTTTGTGAAGAATATAGCAACCGCCGGAATTCAGACGGTTGCTTTTTATACAAAATTCATGCCGGAATTCCTGATGAAATCAAACAGGTTAGAGGAACGTATGTAGACCCAAGACTTATAAACTATATAGCAATGTGGGCTTCTCCAAAATATTGCATAGCAGTTGGAAAAATTATGGACTCCATAGACAAGAAAGTTCATGAGAAGTTAGATGAAGAAGAACTTGAAGATACAGTAGAAAATGCAAAACATTTGTTCGAACAAGAAGTTAGAAAAATGTGCGAAAAACAATTAGAACATGAACGTGAGATATGTTATGGTTATAGAGACTCTCCATACGAACTAGACCAATGGGAACAAGAAGATTTAAAGAGAGAATTTAGAGAATATGAACTCGCTAAGATAGCATTTGAAGCTGCAGAAAAGAAGTTAAAAGTTTGGGGTCGTTTTGTAAAAAAATATTGTGAGTAAATGAACCATTTATTTTTATTGAATTCAGCAAAAATAATGTTTAGGGTAGAAGGTTAGATCTAACCTCTTTTCTACCCTCTTTTCTACCCTCTTGAATTTTCCCGAAAATCATGAAATTTACACCAAAAAATAATGTTTAGGGTAGAAGGTTAGATCTAACCTCTTTTCTAACCTCTTTTCTACCCTCTTGAATTTTCATGAATTTTCCCGAAATAAAAAATAAAGTTAGTTTTTTTAAAAAAATATTTTTTATTTTTATTGTAAGAACATGTTAGCAACAACAGCACCAAACTCTTTAGTCATGAATCCAACATCTATGTTAGTAGAGATGAAAAGCTTCATTCCTTCTTCATATACTTTCGAAACAAAAATCCAGAAGATAAAGCAAGAACTGTTAACAAGTAATTTAGACTGTAGTGCGAAAGATGAAACAAATGAACAGTATCTTTATGAAATGCAGGACATTATTGACCATTTGCCTAAACTACCTGAAATCCAACAACAAAAACTCACTATTCCTGAATTCGACGAAATTGAAGTCAAAGCAACTGACTCAGTAGAAATAAAGAAGTTCATTCGTAAGGTAAATTCTGAGTTTCTAGGATTTCATTGCAACCATAAGGTTATGGACAAAGATTGCGACATGGTATATAAGAATGTTTCTGACATATATAAATCCGGGGAGTTTAAGACCTACGACAACTTTGTTTCGTTAGTTGCTGAATGTGTATGGCAGATAAGAGATAAAGATAGAAGAGGGAAGGTATGGAACAAACAGATAAAACCAGCAGCTTTTGAGATGAAGAGAGCAATTGACGCTTTAGTTGTTTTAGCTGGTAAGGTTTCAGAATATAACGCAAAGATGAATCCGCAATGTTCTAAATGTAAAGCAGCAATGAGGAGATATAACTACTCCGTCAAAGAGATAGAACGTATGAGAAACGACTATGCAGACTTAAAGAAAGAAGCAGAAAAACCAGCAGAAGATAAAATGGACATGTTAGAATTTTTGAACAAAAACTATCCAACAGCAGAAGATTTCCTTCTATCTGACGTCAAGAAGAAGTATAAAGAAACTTTCGGTATCGTTAAAACATTCGATATCCTCAGCGAAGAAATAGAAGCTACAAAACTGTTTAGAGTCTCACGAATTCATAACGTTTACCATGTAAAACGCTTATAAAATAACTGGGGTAGAAAAGAGGTTAGAAAAGAGGTTAGATCTAACCTTCTACCCTAAACATTATTTTTGCTGAATTCAGCACAAAATTCTGAGTAAAATAATTTTTAGGGCTTGTGTCAAACCGTTGAGTTTTCACAAAATTTAAAAAATAACGTTTACCATGTAAAACGCTTATAAAATAACTGGGGTAGAAAAGAGGGTAGAAAGGAGGTTAGATCTAACCTTCTACCCTAAACATTATTTTTGGGTCATTTACACTCATTACGAAGAAGTCTTGACAAAACATTTACGATGAAATCATGACAAATTCAAGAGGGTAGAAAAGAGGTTAGAAAAGAGGTTAGATCTAACCTTCTACCCTAAACATTATTTTTGCTGAAAAAATGACCAAATTTCATTATATAACTGTTATTTTTTTACGAAGAGAACTTTTGCACTTCGTCAAAAAAATCCCTGAAATCATATCTTTTATACAAGATAGAAAATCTTACTCGCCAAAACTCTATGAAAATCATGAAGAACAGCGAGTAGGTAAGAAATCCTGGTCGCCTAAAACTCATGAAAATCAGTGAAGAACAGCGAAGAACAGCGAGTAGGTAAGAAATCCTGGTCGCCTAAAACTCATGAAAATCATGAATTTCCTTAAGACAGAAAAAATAAAGTTAGTTTTTTATAAAATATTTTTTTTATTTTGTATGTAAGAACAGAAATGACAAACACTGAGTTTGAAACAGTTAAAAAGATAGACAATAACACTAAATTGGTTAGAATTGGTGATTTAAACGTAAGATACTCAAAGAAATACAACAAATATTCTTTGTCAGACATTATATCTCCATTTGGAAAGAAAACATCCCACGACTGGGTTAGAACTGCTTCTAGTCAGAAAATTTTGACAAGAAATCCTGAGCTTATGATATCGGTAAGATTCTATGGAACTACAGCATATCTTATAGACAAAAGTCTTATACCAATAGTTTTGTTATGGTTAGACCCAGTTGTTGGATATAACTTCATAACATATGGTTCATTCGATACGGAACGTTGCAGTGAAGGCTTACTTTACATCGTTCAGAAACCGAAGGACTTCAATACAAAGAGATATAAGATAGGAAGAACATATAATATAACTCAAAGATATGACAGTACAGTCAATAGAGTCAAGGTTGTGTTCGTTAACGATATGAGAGCTGCTGAAACAGAACTACTTGAAAAGTTTGAGAAAATGTATGGTGCTCCCACGAAAGGTAAAGAAACGTTTGAAGTAGATGAGATAGATAAAGCTATAAAATTATTTGACGAAGTTGCTGAAAAATACATGTAAAGCGTTTATTTTTGGTCTTTTGTGAAAGTCAGAAAATAAAGTTAGTTTTATTTTTATTTATTTTTTTATTTTGTATGTAAGGACAGATATGTCAACAACAGAGAACACAACAACAGTTATAGTCCATGAAGCTATAAATGAAGAATATGAGTACATACAGTTTAACAAACAACTCCGTCTCATTCGTTCGGTCAAAGACGATATGTACCAAATGCAAAGTATTTTGAATGCTCTTCGTTCTACAAAGCAAGCATATCATTGGTTTGAAAACCAACAGACAAAAGAACTTTTAGAAGAATTTCCTCATATGTTTGCTTCCCTCGGAAAACCGAGGAATGAGATTCCGTATGAAAATCGCAAGAATTTGGCTCCTTGTTTGAAAGGATATTATGTACATAGACTTCTTGTAAATGCTGTTGCAATGTGGGCTTCACCTCGTTACGCTTGTTATATTTTCATGATGTTAGATGAAATTCATAGACAAGAACGTGAAGAGATGGAAAAGAAACTTCAAGCAAAAAATGAAGTCATTGAAGCAAAAGACAAAAGCATTCAGAAAAGAATACCACGTTCGGTACCAAAAGGAAAGGAAAAGAACTATAAGTATATGATTTATACTGAAGAGATGGAAAATGAAGAAGATAAAGATATGGTTATGTTGCATTTAGTCAGAAGAAACAACAAAAGCTTTTACGACCTTGCTAAGATTTACAAATCTGACAGAAATTGGTTCTATCGCGAAAACTTACCGATTTCAATGACACCGAATGAAGATGTGAAACAAATAGTTCAAGATACGTTACCTCAAACACACTATGATATGAAAGGTTGTACAATACTTACCTTCAAAGAAGATTTGCCATTGTTAAAGGAAAAAATAACAGAGTATTTTGACAACTTCAAACAAGCAGAGTAAATGAACTCTTTATTTTTCAAGCTTGACTTCAGATGGCTCAGGTAGCTCTAGATGGTAAATTGGCTTGTCAAATCCTTCTGGCATTCCGAGTCCTTCCTTCCGACAGAAAAAGTTTTTCCCGACAACTGGAAAAAGTTCTTCCTTCCAACAAGAAAAAATTTTCCATCCGACAAGAAAAAGTTCTTCCTTCCAACAAGAAAAAATTTTCCATCCGACAAGAAAAAATTTTCCAGTTGTCCGTCCGTAAACCATTCAAATTTTCGAAAATTGAGAACTTTTTGGTCGAACTTCAGAAAAAAATTTTCCATCCGACAGGAAAAATTTTTCCATCCGACAGGAAAAAAATTTTCCTTCCAACAGGAAAAGTTCTTCCTTCCAACAGGAAAAGTTCTTCCTTCCGACAGGACACAAACGGATGACTGACGTTCCTCTTCCTGAATGCCTTCCAAAGCCAGAAGAACCGACAGCCCCAGCACCACAACAGACTTACTAAGACTAAACACTTACATTTTTCAAGCTTGACTTTTTACAATTTGAACTTTGTTTGCGTAGATATGAATTCTGAAAGAAGTATGAGGGTCTTGTATGACTTTGTACTTCTCCCATAGTTCATGTCTGTCAAACTTACCTGCCATGGACTCTTTCATAAGTTCCATGAAATCGTCTTCGGACAATCCGGGGAAAAGTATAATGTCAGTAAGTATTCTCTTTACATCCTTACTTAAACTCTTTGCTGTCTGTACACAAATGACAACTGAGATGTTAAAGTGCCTAAGTTTCTTAAGAATTCGACACATATCTTGTTCTCTATTCTTTAACAAAGGATGAGAGGCGAAATCATCTAAGATAAGAAGACATCTATGAGGGTAAGTCTTCCAATCGTAAGATTGCAATTTCTTCGAAATGTATTCTATCTCTTTCTGTTTGTTTCTGAAGTGTTTCTTCTCTAATATTCTCTGCATTTCCTCATTTGGGTCTTTGAACTTAGAATTTATATACTCATTTATAGCATTATACTTCAAAACTCTTCTTTGGTACTTCTTTATCCAATCTAACAACTCAGTATCCTTTATACATACTAACTTAGACTTCTTTATAATATCTTTGAACGAATTGACGGTTTGGTCAAATTGACCAGAAGTACTACAAATAACAACTAACTCATAGAATGGGTTCTTCTCATCTAGTTCTTGTTGTTGTGCAGCCATTTTAAGATAAGTGAAAGTCTTACCCGACCCAGGTGGTGCAATTAGACCTGTTATACCATTCTGAGCAAATAAGAACTTGTCATGTATGGGTTTTATCTGAGCATTTTCTAACTTCCTCTTGTTCTTATTTAAAACATTCTCAAATTTCTTGTCAATGTCAGCAAACTTTTTTTCTAACATATTTTTAGAAAAATTAAAATTTTTATCTTTTAGAAAATGTCTAGCGATTTCGCTATCTATATTCGAGACAAACTTTTTGACAGCAAAACATCTGTCGACCATAAAATCTTACATAGTGTAAACAAGAAAGGTGAATTTGTTCTAAAGTTCTGTTTCTGGGAATATGACAAGAACCATAAAACATTAAGCAGAGCAGTCTTAAAATTTGTCAATGACAGACTTTTGACAGAGATGACGCCTCTTGGAGAGATGAAGTCCAACAAAACTTCTTAGAATGCAAAGAAGACACATGCGCTGTTCTTGAAGATGAAATAAAAAACAGAATAGATGAGCTATTAAAGGACAAAGAACTTTTACATAAATATGGTTGCGCCAAATTTGACATAACTCCACCAGAGAAGAAGAAGAAGAGAGAAAAGAAAGAAAAGAAAGTAGAAGAGAAGAAAGAAAAGAAAGTAGAAGAAGAGAAGAAAGAACCTGAACCAGTTCCAGAGAAAAAGAAATTTGACATGTAAAAATAAAATTTTATTTTTAGAACATTTCTGGGTCAATGTCAATGTTCTCTTCCTCTTTAGGAGTAAACACTGGCTTAGACTCTAAAATCTTTTTACCCAATTTACCTTGAACTTCAACTATCTTAGACTCATAATATTCATAGTCGTCTGCTTTCTTTGGTTCATAAGGTATAACAAGTTTGTATGCTTTGCCTTCTTTAAGGTTTGAGAACCTTCTGTCAAAATTTTCTTTGACTGCTAACAAACCTTCTATGTCTAAGTCTTCAAATTTCGCACCATTTTTAGTCACAATAGCAAACTTAACTGGTTCGATGTTCCAAACTTTGCTGAATGAAGACTTTTCAAAATGGTAGAAGTAAACATTCAAATATGTGAATGGGTCTAGTTCTTCTTTAAGTCCTGACATGTACTTGTTTACTGAGATGAATTTTGCCATCTTTTCTATCGGATAAAAAAATATTTTTTTTAAATTTACTCATAAAAATTTTTCTTTGTATATACACCATTCTG